TGTATCTGGCCGACTGGTCTTGGCTTGCCAGTTGCATGTTGCACTATCTTTTCCCCGAACTCTCGGTCTGTCTCGGTTTCGGTCTCGGTCTCTATCTCCGTCTCCTGCTCTATCTGTCCGTCCCGAAGTCCGACTTTGAATGGGCCGTTTCCCCGACCCCTTACAGAGGTGCACTGGGAAAAATTTAGAAAATTGTGGACCTGGTAAGAAAAATTAAAAGAGGTTTTTAGAGGTAAAATACAATTACCTTTCAGGTTTATAAAGTATAAAGTATATCCACTTATACCTTTTAAAAAGTTGTTATGAAAGATCCTTAAAGAGTCCCTAAGTAAAGGAAATTTCAAAAATCATTGCATACCTTAAGGAGTTGATATAACTATCTTATCTTAAACATCCATATCTTCCTTAATAACACTCCGATTTTCAGATTTTTTGGTATGCAGTCTCATAAAACCCAAACGCACATATCCACATTGATTTCTCTCCGTGTACCCCTACCCCCGACTGGTTCCGGTGGTGTGTTGCTGCTTTGTATCTGCGGCTCTGGAGGTGTTGCTATCGCTGGCACGACGTTAATTAGCAGAAAAGTGCAAACGATGCGGGCCAGCCGAGTGGTGATGGTGCTGTAGATGCAGATGCAGTGTGGTGCAGTTTCGGCTTGGTGGTGCGGTGGTGCCATTACCCATTAGCGGAAGCGGGCCAATTTGGCTTACCCATGCACATGCACGAGTCTCCGATCGTCCATTGTCATGATGCAATAATTTGTGCCATCAACTCACCGAACAATCGTACGATTTTCAGTCAGCTATATGGAAAAAATACAAAAAAAAAGTAAAAAAAAAAAGAGTGACGGGGGGCCAGACCTCGACCTCTCTTTCTCTCTCCATATGTATTTTATGTGCGGCTGTGTGCGGAGTGAAAACCAGCTATCGATCGTTTCTAGGAAATGGAACCTATAAATCTACGCTTCGCACGAAAGACTTCGATGACAATGATGCTGTGCCCTGTCCACCTGAGATCAGAGGGGCGTTGATAATCGATGATATTGGTTTGGATATTCAATTGGTTTGGCTGCGGTGCCGGCCGGTGACGATCGCCCAAGTCGATGGCCACATGAATATGTATGCCAAGCCAGGCCAAGTTAAGACGGTTCCGATTCCGATCCGAAACGATCCGTGGTGATCTCATTTGGGTAGGCCCCTAAATCACACTTAGAGAAATGCACAAGTCCTGATTTATAGGGTGCAATCGAAATATAATTAAAAAGGGAATATTAAAGAATCGCAATGCCCTTTATAAGTAGGCTACCTTTATTTAACTCTCTTAAAATATCCACAATCATGTATGGAACACATTTTTTTTCCTGTTAGACATCTTATAATTCCCAAGTCATTTTTCAATTGAATCAATTTTAGCTTTTGATTGATTTTCAGTTTCACATTAAAATAATAATAGTATTACATGCTATTTATAAGTATGCTATCTTTAATGAACTCTCTTATTTATAGTATATTCCCAATTTTATTTGCTATCATTTATAAAACACCTCTATTCAAAGCTCTTTTTCTTTTCCTGTTTAATAACTTATAATTCCCAAGTGATTTTTTATCAATTGAAACAATCTGAACTTTCGATTGATTTTCACTTAGTTAAATCACACTCTCGTCAAGTTTTATTGGGGCTATCAAATTCAATTTACACTCAAAATATTTATTTCTGATTGCTCGCTTTGATCCCGCTCAATTGCATCCGTGTGCGAGTATCTAGGAAGTGCAACCCCTGACCGCGTCACACTGGGAACACAAATGTTACGTGTGGGGATTGGATGGATCGTTTCGTTTCGAATCGTTTCGAATCGTTTCAGATCCCTCCTATTGTAGAAAGTGCTCCCCAAGTCGCATCAAAAGGCCATTTCAATTCAGTGCCCCTTACGTCAGCGTTACGATATCGTTGGCAGTGTGCTTTAGCTTTTGCTTTTGCTTTGAGGTGTGCCGTCCAAGGCTGATGATGAGGTGTCCAGGGGGCGGAGGATGAGGAGGAGCAGGAGGAGGAGGAGGATCTGCGGTCTCGAGGGGATTGGCGGTGCAAACGGAGGCAGCGGCACGAGACACAATTTCAAGCACCTGCAAGATTTTTCTCTCAATTGAATTTCGCTTTGTGGCTGGCCCGATGCCGCTTGCCAAGTGATTTGGGGAGTACATGGAGGGGGGGAGGCGGTTTTCAGGAGGGGGCACCCGTCTGCGGTCGGACGATTTGTGTAACGTGCAATAAATAAATTACTCGTAGAATTGAATCTAGTTGTCGATGTGGCTTGTCGATAAAGCGAAGAAAGAAACTAGTCGCGGTGTCTCTATAGCAAACCAACCCCCTCTCCATTACCCCCCTTTGACCACAAGTAGCTGCCGCCCGGCAATAGCGGAAAGCGAACACGCGATGTGGCTGCCAGTCTGTCTGCCATTTTGACTGCACCTCCACTCCCCAGTCCCCAGCGGCTCCCAGTTTCCAGCTCGCAGCTCTCCGGCCGGCAACGCCAGCTCAGACTAGTTTGGTCCGCCCTTCCGACGCCCCTGTCCCCCTCACATATGTACACTTACATTTACGAGCAGGCAATCAGCAGTGCACTTGGCCAAAAGGGGGGTAGCATATCATATAATATCAGATCCTGAAAATTACTGCATTTTCATTATTTAATTTCTGAAACAATATATCATAAAGTTATATTCCCAAAGTCGTATTATTAAAATATAAATATAATACAATATAAAAGTAAAAATGTTAGGATCACTTTAGTAACATATCCTGAAGTTATAGTAGTTCCCTACGGACTTTTTAAAATTTAGTTTTTATGTGTTTTTGTCCGATTTTTCTCAGATCTAAATACAAACTTGAAGTTAGGGATCGTAAAAACCTCAATTTCCATTGTACTTCTTTTGAATTTGGATATCATTTAATAGTTTTCGAAATGGTAAGAGAGTAATATCTCTTGCAATTTGATATGCTACCAAAGTTTTTTATTCCGTATTAGTTCCTAACTAAAATCACCGATTCTTTCTCCGAGTGTAACTTGTGGTATCGTACCTCCGATCCTCCACCTCCTCCTCCTCCTCCACCGCTTCTCATTCAGCCAACGATCGCCGCAGACAAACTGGCACTCACACTTGATTGCAATGAGGCGATCGGATCGCATGGACAGATCGGACAGATGGACAGAGAAACGGACAAACCAGTGACTTGGACTCGGAATCGGAATCGGACTCGAACTCAGACACGGTCTCGGCTAATGGAACCTTGCACCATGCCAGTGGCAAACCCACCCCACACTACCCTTCCCTACCTCCAAAACCGAACCGATCCCCAAGTAACCAACTCCACGAATAAGAAGTTTTTAAGTCTGTTCTCGGCGAGACATTTGAATGCCTGCTTACACTGTCAACGGGCTTTAAGCCAAGTTCTCTTGCTCATTGGTGGTTATAAAATTGGGAGATTGCTTGTGCATATCACAAAATCAAATCGAATATCACAAAAAATAATTAAAACCATTCAGATTTGTGAAATCAAGTCAGCAGATTTAATTTATGGTCTTGATAACTACAGTTAAACTTCAATATCTTGAACAGCTTTGTGGTTTTAATATGGGGCACACAAAAATAGCATCTGAAGCTGAGTTTATTTATAAACAATTTACACCTAAGAGTGATACATGAATGTTTAACGACAAGGTGTCACAACAAACAAAATGCAATGATTATATTTGGTCTTTTTTTTCGGTCTTCACACCTTTTTATACTCAGAGATCGTCTTTCTGATGCCAACAGCTCCCAGTAGTTTTGAAGTCTCTTTTGAATTTGTTTTTTAATTTATAAAAGCAAAAGATATGATATGTGATAATTTTCTTCTTATTTTACATGGCTAAAATATCGTATATCTTATGAAAATGAAGGATTGATCTAAGAAAATTATCATATTATTATGAATTGTAAGTTACCTTTTATCCCTCAGGGACCTCTGATTAAAAGTTAGCCTTAGAAATACCTTGATCCCTGTTAATGTAGTACAAATATCATGTATTCAAGATGATATATGGGTCTGAATGTTATCCCCTGTCCCGCTTTATTGGAGCTTCCAAGCTGCAGACGTCCGACTGTAGATAGGCAGATCCCGAGGCGGATAATCGAAACCCCCGTCCGGTTTTATCTGTTTTGTTCCGCACCTTCCCGGTGCTGCGGCGGTGGCATAAAGAATTACGATCTGAGAACGAGTAATTGAATGCTGGTCGCTTGTCATTCGGTTGGTGGGAGAGGAGGGAAGAGCGGGAGGGGGAATGGGGAAATGGAACGGAAGGGAGCGGCGAAGAGAGCCGGGAGAGATCGAAGAGCGGAAGAGGCCAGAGGCGGAGAAAAGAGCGAGGCGAGCGACGAGGCGATCGGCGATCGTAGCGCAGCTGTGTTGGTGAGCCGGCGTCGCATATAAATGGAAGAGCGCTGCGGTTCAAAATTCAGTTCTGTTACAGTTTTCCAGCTGTTGAACACAACTTTTGAGATCCGATCCCAACCGATCCTAACTGATCCCGATATCGCTATATCCTCGCTTTTCTTTAAATCGCCGTGAACCGATCGCAGTTCCAGATAAAACAAATCTTAAAGCCAAGCCTTGACTCGAGTGTAATGTCGATGAACCGTGCGTATTCAAACGAGTGCCGCGCCAATAAAAAACAAACCAAGACCACGTCCAAGGAGTCCCATTCGAATCACTGAGATACCCCACATCGAGGATCGAATGTGCCAGAGTCGTCAGCTAGATATTCGCTACGCCGAGACCCACTGAAGCCACCGCACCACCACCTACACCACCACCCAACCGCCTGATTTCCAAAATCAAGATCCCCGACGATCCAATACGTTTCCAATCTCCGATTCTCCCAACCGAAGATCCGGCAAGTAGCCAAGATTCCGCCAACACTGAGCTGCACGACCTCCAAGACGGCATCCAGCGCCGGACCTATGTCAGTGCTAAGCCAACTGCTCTCCAACTTCAACCAGAAAGCCCAGACCAGGAGCCACCACAACATAGAGCTGATAAATTCGTTCATAACATAACGATAAGCCCGCCGTTGATAGCCTTTGATATTGTATCGTCCAACGTTAGGGAGAAATTTGCAAACATTTTTTACCGGAAGAGAAAAAAGAAATCAAATCAAGAGGTGAGTTCGAGTCGAGTGACTAATGCGTTCAACAATAGATCGGTGATCGGAGTGACCCCTTTTCGAGTCCTATCTATCAATGTCGGGTCTTTTGAGAAATCCAATTCGTAGAAATCCAAAATTAAAATCCCCGTCGAAGGGCAAAGAAAAAAAACCGTCTGATGCAACATTCGCCAGCGATTGGCGAATGACTACAAAATACCCTCGAAACTTTTTGAATAATTAATCGGTCACGCAGTTTGTCCAGTCTAGACTCTAGACACATTAGCCCTTGATCTGCGGCTAAAGCGTGGGTGAATGTGAATTTTTTTTTTCGAATTCTGAATCAGGTTCGTAGTATTCGAACAAATTGACGTCACATTGGTGTCATTTCGTTTTCGATTCGGCCCACGCAAGATTCTTATATCATTTTTTTTTCTTCACTTTTTTTTCCGATGTCGTGGCATTGTGAAATTCGTATTGAGAGCGAAGATATCTCGGGTTTTGAGGTAATATAGGGGTTTTCTTTTCGGCTAAGGATTTGGGATTCCATTTCGCAAGTGTTAGTAATGTTCTAGAGCTCGACGGCTAAAGAAGAAGGCCATGTGTGTGATTTCTTATCGCGGGAAATAGACTCTCTGTGAGACGGAGGCGGAGACCTCCCATGATTTATGAAGCGGTGATAACTGAGGAATGATGACTGGCTGAAAACTCGGGGCGGCTATCTCCCTCTGGGGTTTAATAACCTATATTATAAGTCGCATGACAAGCGAACTTTGAACTCACTTCCGATTTCCATCCTCCAATTGCAGAAAATGAATTTACATGTGTGCGCCTTAGCGCTGCTGCTGTTCGGCAGTATCGCCACTGTCCGCGGAAGAGCCGTGGAAATGGTAGACGACAGCAACGATGTGGACAACTCCATCGAGGCGGAGGAGGAGAAGCCCCGCAACCGAGCCTTCGACGCCGACTGGCTCAAGTTCACCAAGACGCCGCCGACGAAGCTGCAGCAGGCTGATGGGGCCACCATCGAGATCGTTTGCGAGATGATGGGCTCCCAGGTGCCCAAGATCCAGTGGGTGGTGGGCCACCTGCCGCGCTCGGAGCTCGACGATCTGGACTCCAACCAGGTGGCCGAGGAGGCACCCAGTGCCATTGTCCGCGTCCGTTCCTCGCACATCATCGATCATGTGCTCAGCGAGGCGCGCACCTACACTTGCGTGGGACGCAGTGGCTCCAAGACGATCTTCGCGAGCACTGTGGTCCATCCACCGCGATCATCGCGCCTGACGCCCGAGAAGACCTATCCGGGTGCCCAGAAGCCGCGCATCATCTACACCGAGAAGACGCATTTGGACCTCATGGGCTCCAGCATTCAGCTGCCCTGCAGGGTGCACGCTCGTCCGCGGGCCGAGATCACCTGGATGAACAACGAGAACGAGAAGATCGTCCAGGGCGAGCGCCACCGGCTCCTGCCCAACGGGGATCTCCTGATCTCCGCGATCAAGTGGGAGGACATGGGCAACTACAAGTGCATAGCCCGGAATGCAGTCGGCAAAGACACCGCCGACACCTTCGTGTATCCCGTACTTGTAAGTATTCATTAAACCTTAACTAAAGCTTGAAAATTATTGATATTTTCGATATTTTATCGATAATTTCGATAATTTTAAAGTAATGTATCGATAATTTCGACATTTTACAATGTCGTATCGATAATTTCGATATTTTTACAATATCGTATCGATAATTTCGATGTTTTCCCCAAACCCGCAATTCCAACTCATCCTAAGTAATCCCTTTTATATTCTTCTTACTATTTACAGAAGGATGAAGACTAAAGAGATCCCACCACCACCAAACCAAAAAAGAAACAAAAAGGCTATTGGATTGACGACGGGAATTCATCTAGTTAGTTAGATAGATCAAATGCCTTCGAAGATGCGTGAAAAGAAAAAAGGAAAAATATGCTTAGAAAAGAAAGAAAAAATACAAAAAAAATTTATAAATGGAATGGAGCAAAAGGTCATACGATTTACAGTTATGTACAATTTAGGTTAAGCACAATCTCTAGCTCGTAATCCAGGTAATTAACCGTATCTAATGCCGGCTTAGACACTAATTTTCTAACTTACTATGATTACCACTCGAATAGCAGTCACACGTATCGCATTCGAATTATATTAGTACCTACTGTATGGTTTTCTTCAATTCTAGTTTTAGTTTTTGCATTCGTTTCGTTTTATATAAGTAGCAATGATTGTTCCTAGCGATTCAGGCAGCTCTAGTTAACGTATTTAAACTAATTGGCCGTTTACTTAAGGGTGCCGCAACCCAAGCACTTGTAATTTGTAACACACAAACCACAATCAATCAGTCAGTCAATCACCCAATTCGTATTTATGTGCACCCATCATTTCTACAACTAATTTATTGATCGACCAAATTCATCCAGCATCGCCTCCCATACACCGAATCACGGAATAGTATTCACGGAATTAATCAGTTTCATAAGCTACCCGACTATGTTTTAGTTTTTTAAGCGCCTAGAACTGAAATATGGTTTTCTAATTCTTTAGTTTTTAATTTTAATCAACCTTCAAGCGATTGTTTTTGAATAAATACAAAAGAAAATTGAAGTGAATAGTACTCAATGGGGGGTAACATATATTTACTGTGGTTTTCATCACTTTATTGACAGATCATCTACAAACTACGGATAGTCACATTATCTACATAAACTCGTACAGTTACGTACATACATTGAACGCGGGGAAAACAGTTTTACGATATTACGCGATACGATCTTAACAACAAATAACGACGAACTCGATCCAGTTGAGGACCTTTACGTACACAGATGATATATACTATATATTGCTGGAGTTGGATATTGATAGCTGCTAATCTCAAGTCCCGATTGTGCGAAAGTTCTCTACTTTTATATATGCGATTACAATCTCGTTCGTAAAATATATATGCTCAATTCACCTTTGATATTGTCGCTTGTCTTTGGAAATTCAGATTTTCAGAGTCCGCAGGGGGGTTTTCACAATCAAAGGGTGATTCGGGAATGGTTTGGTATGGTAATCTATAAAGAATTCTTTTTGTTCTGGCACTGGGTATTGTCTACTTTGGATCTGTGTGTGGACGGACTGTAATCGTGCGGTGATAATACTTTCAATTGGAAATGCTCTGCTTAATGACTCGATACCATGTGATCCGAGTGTGCGTACTTAATGGGACAAAGATCTCTGGGCTCTATTTTTGGTGTGTCTGCAGGCGAAAAGGGGGCGCAACGAAAGTGTTTCTCTTGATCAACCGAGAGCAGCTGGATGCCGTCGATTTGCCGCTGTTGCCAAGGGGCTTTTTCGGTTCTTTTTTTGGGCCAATTTGAAAGTCGCTCGTGAGTCAGTGAGTAGTAGTTGCCAAGTGCGACGACAACCAGTTTCCACCGATACGATACTTCTCCTCCGTCTCCGCTTCATTTTGCCAAGAGATATCTCCTCGCGAATGATTGATGATTTATTCAGATTTTCGTCAACCGAAGAAGAGTGTGCCATCGATCATTTTTTGTAGGCCCAGGACGGCGATCCTCCGACGACTCCGACAGGTGTTCGATAGGGAAATACTGCTTAGTTGGCATGGGACATGGAAATTGGAAATTCCTCGAATGCAATCGCTTTTGGGACACATTTGTCAACTTTCTGGGAATTATTTGGTTGGTTTGCTCAAAGGCTTTGCTTTTGGCACGTCATGTAGCACGGGTGAACGACAGAAAATATAAATCATGACAAATCACAAGACACAATAACTAAATCTAGGGTGTGTGTGGGCTAAAAAGCAGACGAAAGAATACGGGGGGTACAAAACTTATGCTTGGCAGAGAGTAAAATTCGGGAATACGTAAAGACCAATGTCCAGCTGATCAGCTCCTGCTGACTTTAGACATTAAGCACGGAATGCTTCTTGTTGCCGCCGGAGGGCAGCTGCACGGCGATCACAGCCAGGCGTCCGTCTCGCAGGGGAGCCAGGATGTGGGTGTTGCCCGGAGTGACCACCACCGTCTGGATGGGCACGTGCAGCGGAATGTCGAACACGGGCTTTAAGCTGGAAATTATAATAAAAAAAAATAGAATTAGTAAGTTAAAAAAAATTTCGCAAATACCTAACCTATTACTTTTTGATTTAAGTATGAAAATGAAATTTGATATGAAAAAAAGAATTTAGAGCTTAAATGACTTTTTGTAAAAAATATTTGGAATTACTTTTTTAAAATTTTGAAGAAATTTTGAAGTACGGTTCTTCAAAACATACAATAAATTTTAATTTGTGGCATTTTTTTCAAGAACTCAAAATTTATTTTAAAAGTGTTTTATTGCTTCTAAAGGATTTTGCATAAACCATGTTAAAGTATTTTAAAGTAGTCATACTTTCTAACAATATACAACCGCAGTTTTCAAGAAAATGACAAAAATCTAATAAAAGGTTTATCATTCAAAATTTCCTTGGGTTTTCTAATTCTGGGTCTACTTTAAGAAAACATGTTGAAGTTAAAGTAGGCTTTACACTCTAAATTTTCATAAGTTTTTAAGGTTTTTTCCCTTTTGAGAAAACTTCCCTATGACTAGAAAACTGATCTTAAATATTTCAAAAAATTCTAAAGACTTTTCTTACCCGTGAAGCCTGCTCATGGTAATGTCGCCGGCATCATCGGCCACCACCAGGTAGTCGGAGGCGCTGGCCAGACCCGTCACCCGGCCAGAAACATACTTGGAGCCCAGACTGCAGCCGTTGATGCTGTAGACATGCACCGAGTGCGAGGTATCATCCAGAGCGCTAAAGGCGATGTGACCTGTGGATAAGAAAGGATAAGAAATCGAAAGGCTTTTGGGTTAATCAACTTTGTTATTCTTTAATCGCAGCCACTTTCAGAATTTCCACCGAATGTGGGGCAGGGCGTAGTGGCTGCGATTTACGCAGTAAAAATGCCACCACCATCATCATTATGCTATTAGACGAGGTCCGGCCCACTCGGCGGGTCTGCTGATAACCTGACATCGCATAAAGACATTATCACATGGCGACATATAACGCATACTACAAGCGATGCGTAGTTGCTCTTACCTTCACAAGTATCTGTATTATGTGGCGACTATCTGTATCTGTATGCCAATGCCAAACGAAACTCGTTCAGAAGGAAGAGCCACTAAAATACTAAATACCCTAGATTGGATCTGAATGAACTTCCTAATATGACCCGGGCCACGCGCACACAGAAATAACCAGTAATAACCGTGCTGGGTTGGTTTTTGGTTATGATTTTGGCCAATCTTAAAGTTCATTCAACAAAAAAAAATCCCGAAACTCACGATCATATATCTTGATCTTTATTGGGGGGCCTTTCGGTTGAAATTTACTACAACTATTTCATAAATTTTTCAGCTGCGTCTTAAGAATTTAAAAATGAATGAATCGCGGCAGAACCGCGGCAGATATACATAGATGGTGGGGAGCATGAAGGGATGGGGATCGTTCGGTTGGTTGGTCGTGTGACTGGGTGACGTGCGATGCGATTCATTCGTTCGCGGGGCTCGTTCGCCCCACCGATTCGATTCGATTCGATTCGATTTGATTCCATTAACGACGTTGGGTTAATGCCAGAGAACCGAGTGTCGTATGGTTTGGTATACATATATATGTACATATGAGTTCGTTGATAGTCAATCAATGGATGGTCGGGGATCGGGTCTTCATTAGCGGCTATGTAATTGATTGTGGGCCCGACAAGAACGCAATTAAGTGCCCATCATTGCCCTGGAAAATGAACTGGATTGACGTTTTTCACTTCGATTCGATTCGGTTCGGTTTCAATATTTCTGAACCGTTGACTGCCGGATGTTGCGAATTTATAATCACAAGTAAGTATATTAATTCATTCGATAAGCGACCGGCTGCATGCGGCCAATGCACAGTATATATAATATTCTCTGGTTTTTTCTGGTCTGGAGGAAGGGGTATGTCTTAAAATATATATGGCAGTGGTATATCAATTTCCAAAAGTCCAAGCTGATTACCCCCCCAAAAAAAAAAATCAAGTGGCTTAGCGAATCTATATGACTGCACATATTTAAAGAACTCGATATGCACAAGCTGGCGCCATCGATTGACGTATTTCTTCGCACCGAGAATAAGAATGCAAAGCAAACGGAATTCGAGGCTTATTTATTCGCATTATCACAAGACCAATATTGTATAACAAACAAAAATGAAAGTTAAGTGCAGGCAGCTAAAATAATTTGAATTTTTTCAGAACGTGGAATTGCGAGTAATGGAAGTACTGTCTTTCTTTGGAATTTTAAAACGAGTTTTTGTTACATATTATATTAAACCATACAAGGTGGGAAACCAATTAAACGATTTTGGATAAGAATTTTAGTTTTTGTCTTACAATTAGTTAAAAAAAATATTATTTGACATATATTTTAATCCTAATAAATGCATTATAAATATTAAGAAATTTTCGTAATGTAAATAAATTTGATTGTTTAAGAAAAAAACAAAATAATTAATTTACCTATATTCAGTCTTTCTCAACAAATTTGAAATTATAAAAAATTTTCCTAAAGCAAATTTTCCTTCTAATAACCACAAAACTTTTAATCTCTTTATACAAAATACAGCCAATTTGCGATAATTGATTAACTCTCTAACGAACTCGTGCCAAACGTTAAGTGATTTATGAAATCTTTTCCACAAATCATCACCATTATAGGGCAATAATCACGAGTATGTTAATTGCCGCCCAATGTATCATTGTCGTAACATAATCGTAAAAATATTGATTCAGGTCGGTGGTACAAGTGCGCAATTATGATATTGTCCGTTATCGGGCACGTACCATCGGTGATAGTTTTTTTGTGCCAAATCAAAATCGAAAAAAACCCTGATTTATATTATAATTATACCACCTTGACAGTCGGTAAGACAGTAAATCGGTGTATTGTTGCTATGAGGAACGATGGGGAATTCCGAGGCGGCATACATTTTTCTGTTTGCCGTGACAAATTGACAAAGTCTTAACCTTGCTGGGGGGTTCGTATACTTTACGATCTCTCGCCAGTGTTTAAGCACGCTTTAATTTGGATTAATGCCCTGTCGTCGCCTTTGGCGGGCTGCAACGAGCGATAAGATATAGCTATAAGGCAGTGCATGGAACAAAGTCGGACGATTTCCGAACATCATAATGATCTCAGAAGCGGAGGGGCGACGACGCACATGGCCACACACAATCACGTGATTCTCGGTGAGTCGCCGCCTCCTCACTTATGTGGCAATTGGCGATATGAGGGCTGATTAAATTGTTTGATTGCCCCCCTCTTCAAACATAATGGGATTGCTACGCAGTAGCACGTGAGGTTTCCATTCCGGAGCACATCGGAAGATTACGGGGCACCATGAGTGGACGACGACACAGGAAAGAGAGCTGATTTCCAGAGATTATCGCCTTCAGGTGGTCACCAAAAAAGCCAGCCGCCTTATGAGTCAACTGTCTGCAGGTTCCATTTCATGGGTTTAATCAATTAACAGTTGGCCCCTTGACAAGGTTCATATCAGTTACTACTGATGAAGTACTACTCACAGACTTAATTGAGATTTTTTGGCGATTTAAAATTGTTAAAATTGATTACCATTTCAGCAGAAATAGCACTGATGTATATTTTAAGGAATTTTTAATTATTATTCAATCAGGGTCACTTAAATATATTCAAAAGTTAATCAGTTTGGAATTTGATCAAGGTCTGGAAGAATCCTAAGTATCTATTAAAATGATAAGGTTATAGAATTGACCAGTTCTATGACTAAGTTTTTCTTTAAGAAATTATTAACTACTTTTTTATAAACGCCTGTCTGAGGTTCTTTAATTTCTAGTGATCTACCAATAAATATATGAAACCACACTATCTGAAATTTGAAGTATACTTTTGAGCGAGGTTAACAGTGATTCTCAAACTGTAAGCAGTAAAACCAAGTCAATAGTGACTCTCAAACTAGAAGCAGTGATACCATTAAATTCCTTAAATCTTATAGATTAGTAATCTAATCTTAATAACTTACCATGATAGGAAAGGGTAACAAAAGAGATTTGCACACAGGACTCAGTGCAGCCAATGGGCTTTAGTGTCCTCACAAATTGACCCTCCTGCAGGGTGTAAACGTTTACGGTGCCATCCTATAATGAAATAAGAATATTATAAATATATATACCCCTTTCCGAAACTATCTATCGATCCTCACCAGCGATCCAGAGACCACCAGGTCCAGCTCCGTGTAGATGGCCACACTGGAGATGGCATCATCGTGACCATAGAGCACCGTCAGCGGTTTGGGCGAATAGCTATTCTGGGTATTCAGCTGGGTGATTGCCTGCAGATGCGACTGACCCGTCAGCGCGTGAACTGGAATGTTGCTAGTGGATCCACCGCCACCTTGCTGATTTGTCTGAATGCTCCACACTATGCAGGTGCAATCGCGGGACCCGGTGACCAGATACGAGCCACAATTGTCCAGCGCTATGCAGGTTATGATGTCCAGGTGGCGGGTGACCGAAGCCACCGCCTTTCCCTTGTTGAGATTGTAAACCCTCAAGGAATTATCCCAAATGCCGCCGGCATACAGCAGCTTGCCATCCGTGCTTACGGCAAAAAGCTGCGAGTGCGGCGGCTGCGAGGAGTGGAAGGGTCCAAAGACACGCTTGCGGTTCCTTTAAATAAAATTATATAAATATTATAACATAAATTAGATAATATTCAAACACCCACTTCAGATTAGCAGTGGTGGCATCGATTTCCAGCAGGAAACCCTGATCCTTGTCAAACGAAAGCCACGAATTGCAGCCCAAGATGCTCGACTTGGACACGCTGACTAGAACATCGGGACTTAGTTGAAGGAAAGATCGCGGAGGACTGCGCGGTGGACTCAGGTACACAATGGGATCTTTCGGAGTGGACAGCTCGCAATAGTACTGCACTACCTTGTCCAGGAACTGCGTGAGATCCGGCCTACGAAGCTCGGCACGCACGAGCTTAAGAGCAGTCTCATCTTGGGTGAGGCGACGTGGATGCGGCTCCCGGAGCAACTGCGAAGGCACCTGGCCAAAGTTGTTGATCATTCCTAAAAGATAATTATAAAATAAATGATTTGAGGTTTTATAAACTCTTCAGATTCTTTAGAACCCACCCTCAACTGCCTCCCGTTCCACAGGATTGGTGATCTTGTCCAGATCCACAGCACCTTCATAAGAGCAATAGTAGAAAACATTCAAGGCCTCTGCGGCCTTGGGTCCCTTTTGCTTATAGCCAAAGATCAGGTCAATCCAGTGATGCAGATGCTGGCTAACATACTCCGACTCCAAAGCCCTGCGGTGAATGGCTATGAACTCCTCCGGTGTGGTGGCCCAGGCGGGCAGTATGACATCGTCCACCTTTTCTTTGGTTATTTGCAGGTGGCCCAAATCGAATCTAAATAATAGAAGGTATGACTTAAATCACTCATTTTAAAATAGTACAAAATCTCCCTACTTGTTCATATTTTTGAGAAACTCTGGGAAGTAAAAGAACTCGGGTATCAGCTCCTTTACATCATTAGGATTGTCCATTAGCAGCTTCCATGTCTGAGGTATCGAGTGGAATTGTCGATCGGCCACATCGAAGCGGCCACTTTGCAACTCAATGTGCAGTGAGGTAAACGGTTCCACGCGCAGCAAATAGTGGAGCACGCCGGCTGAATTGGAGTAGTGGGTTCCATAGTGGAACTTGGGTATGGCACCAGAGGGATCCTCAAAGGAGTCGTATTTGCCACGCACCTCGGCCTCGTTTTTGGGGTTTATCTGTACAGAGAAAATAATTTAATTATATTTAAGATTTATTCATAGTAAAACCAAGGTAAAACCTACACATCCAATGGGTTTGGATAGGTCACGGAAGGATTTGGGATCTGTTAGGTCCAGCACATCACTGGTGTAGTCAGCCAGGATCCAGGGGAAGACGGGGTATTGGCTTAGATCGTTGTAGGATCGTCCTGTTGGTTATCAAAAAATGTTATTTAAAATATATAGTTAGTAATAGGTATTAATTTCTTACCTGCGATAGTGTTTAGGTACATCAAGTATTCAAAATTGGAAATCTCACGATTGATCCACCTCTGGGTGAGACCCGAGGCTCTTAGCAATTCAGCTGGAGATCTTCCCGAGCCATAGAGGATGTTCGGAAGCGGTAGACCCACGATTTTTGTAAAGACTTTATTTCGAGTCTGCAAATTAAATAAATTCGTTTAGAATCTCTCAATTTTCAAGAACAACTGCTCTCTTTTAAAGAATACTTTCTTACTTTTAAAGAATATTATCTCACTTTTCAAGAAAAAAAATCTCACATTTCAAGAATAATTTTTTACTTTTCAAGAACAATTTATTTTTAAAGAACCCAGAATCACCCACCTTTGTTGTAAAGTTAAGGAAGTAGCTGGTTTGATCCACTAGAAAGATTTCCAGAGCACTTCTGCGTAGATTATACTTTCTCAGATGCACCTCGCGTATTTTATTCGTAGAAAATCGAAAGTCGTATTTGGAACCATCCTCCGTGGGTGGACTTAGGTCCACAAAGGTAAACACACTCTGATTGACCTCGATGCGTCCTTTGACCTTGGTCATCAGGGTGATCAGTTCACAATCCTGCGACATGACTAGCTTCTCCAGTGCCACATCCTGTTGCGCCTGCGTGTCGATCAGCTGACGCAGTTCCTCCTCCAACTGCGAACTTTCATCGTCCGCCAAGAAATCGCGCACCACTGCATTCTTGATGGTGGAGTCAAATTCCGAGATTTCCCTGTGGTTATTTTTTTTGATTAGTAGAAGAATTTTGTAAGTTTTGGTTAAAGATAGGTGGATTTTACTTGGGATCGTAGGCACTGGTCGCATTATCACGCAGATTGGCGGCATTCTCATGTTTATTGGGATATAATTGAGGCTCCAACTTCAAACGCATACGAGCCACGTTCTCATGGGGCGATAGCTTCCAGAACTCCTCATCCAGATCCCTAAAAAGAAAATAGAAAACAGAATTTATGAGAAACTTATTGTTTTAGAAAAATACTAAAAATATTAAAGGATAGGACTTTAAGTAACTCGTAAGACTTTAGTAAAACTAAAATGTTTAAATAATTCTCTATGATCTCTAAAGAACAAAATGTATATAATATAATTTACAATATTATAATTTTTAAAGAATGATATCCTTAAGAATATATTCCTTTTAAAGTAAACTTTTCAGTTTATAAAAATCCACAAATAAATAAAATACCATGTTTTGTTTACAGAATTTCTTTAATTTTGGGTTTTGCGATGAAAGTTATTTTTTTAGCTCGACAATGATCGAATCGAATATGTACAGATGAAAGTCCTTTGTCGAATTGCGGTCAATCCTTCTCCTCCTCCTTAGACAACGATGGGAGCGGCCAAAGTCTTGGCGAACACGGGAGCCACTGGAGCAGGAGCAGCAGCCACGACGGGAGCAGCAGCCACGGTCTTGGCCAGAACGGGAGCCACTGGAACGGCAGCAGCCACGGGCACATCCTTCTGCACCACTGCGTTGAATCCGTTGATGGAATCGGCGTAGTAGCTGACAATGCGACGGGAACCATCGGGCTCGATCAGGGAGTAGGAACCACGCACAACATCACCATCACGGGTCTCCTCTTGGGTCTTGGAGTCACCGGTCAGCGTATCCTGGACATCGTAGGCATACGAGTACTGTGGGTGGGCATCCACGATCTCGGTGGCCAGGGGAGCAGCCACGGCGGCAACGGGAGCAACGGGGGCAACTGGAGCAGCCAGAGGAGCAGCAACTGGGGCAGCCAGACGGGCAGCAACTGGGGCAACTGGAGCAGCCAAAGGAGCAGCAATTGGTGCAACTGGAGCGGCAAGAGGAGCAGCCAGAGGAGCAGCAACTGGAGCAGCTAGGCGAGCAGCAACTGGAGCCGCGAATGGAGCAGCATAGGGAGCGGCGGCGTAGGTCTTGGCCACCAGAGGAGCAGGTGCTCCGGCCAACAGGGGAGCGTTGTAGCCCAGAGGAGCGGCGTATCCCAAGGGAGCGGAGTACGCAGCCGGGGCGGCGAAGTAGGGAGCAGCTCCCAGGGGGGCGGAGTAGGCCAGAGGAGCACCCAATGGAGCACCCAGAGGAGCGGCGGCCAGAGGAGCGCCAACCAGACCAGCCTGAGCCGTCAGGGCCATCGAGGAGAGGACTGCAACAACCTGAGGATTTAGAATATTCCTTGTTAATCTTCCGATTCCTATGGTTTACCCAGATCAGCACTTACTGCCAAAGGATTCATTGTTAGGCTTGGGTGGGTTTTTAGTGCGATTGTCACCGTTGGGTATTCAAAAATGAACTGACATACCTTCAACAAAAAGAGCTCGACTTTTATACCCAAGATGCGTTCGCGAAATTTGCATGCGGCGGTTTAACTGAGGGAACTGCGTACCAATTGCGTAGAGGTAGGTAGTTTTTGGGGCCTCTTCCTACCCAGCATTGGGCTGCCTCTTTTTTTGATCCAAATTCCCAGCACGTACTCCAATTTTCTGCTGGCCAGCACCAAGTTTTCATTTTTATTTGCCACTGTTTCACTGATTTTTTCGCCTTGTTCGGCGGTGATCGAAAGTGAATGCGATTTGATTATATTTCGGAGCAGCAGTAGTTTTTTTCGGTAATTGTCATGCAGGTTCCATCCAATGGCAATGCCTTTAATTTTTCCTTCCACCAAAAATGCGAAACTAATTGAGATATACTTTAGACGGGTTGACAAGGGTTCAAACTTGGAGTTTTAAAAATTATTATAAGATTTTTGGGCAAAAATATCTTGTGATCCTGTGTATGATGCCTTGATTGGTTTGGTTTTATAATATATTGAAAAGTTTCTTTTTCAACTTTATTGGCTAGCAATTACAAATGCTAATGAGCTACCTTTTATACATAATAAGGTAATCCCTTTGGTTTCACTTAACCAAGTGAAACTGGGTCAATGTGGTTCAGGAATATCGATTAGGTGGTAAGATATATTTAAAGAGTTACAATGTAAGATCCTCTAATATCTAAAAATAATAATAATAACATCCTCTAATATCTAAAAAGTTTCAAGAGTTAATAATTACTAAATATAAATTTTTAAAGAATTTAATTCATTCTTTTCAAGACATTTGTTTTTTATGTATGGCTATAAATAGTTAACAAAAATCTGAATTTTTATTAGTTAATATCATATTCTGTATTGTTATATGAAATATGATTCATTCTTTCCTCGATACTGATTTTTATTTTCCAATCAAAATCTTTGGTAGTTGCTCAACTCATTGGTGAATTTATGCTTCCCCAACGATTCGAGAAACAATTATAGCTAAATCTATATTTTTATAAAAAATAGGACCCATTCCTTATAAGATATTTGTTTTCCCCAGCAAATAATCAACAAAAATCCAAAATCTTTGGTATTTGCTAAACTCATTGGTTGATTAAAGATTCTCCATCGATTCCGTGCTGTAACTGGTGGCTGGTTTTTGAGTTCGTGACTCTTTTCCAAAATGCAACCAACGACCTTGCGACTTGTTGGCAGCGGATTCACAGCGGAGAGAGCCCCGGAGAAGCGAAGAGAGTGTCGAAAAGTTGGCAAAAAACTATGATCACTAACGGTAGTCGGCGTAGATCGTCAATAGTCGACGATCGTGGCCACCGGAAACCAGCATGGATATATAGAGTCGTCCAATTTGGCTTCAAAAACGAATGTGCGGAATGCTCCACTGCCATTTAAGCAGTTCCTTGCCCAATCGATTCAATTCGATTCGATTCTCCTCACTCAGATGAGAATTAATTAAAAGTGGATGAAATACTGATCACTTAGCTGCCAATTGTGGGCAAGGTCGTCTGTTAAAGCTTCCAAGTTGCCGGCTAGTTGCCTTTTGGCCTGAACGGAGGCAATTACGGTGGCTAAGTGACCGCGGCTCAGAAATGTGGGCGCTGGTTCAGCTGGTTCAGGTGGAAATAAATAAGATCGAGGGGTTCAAAATGCGTGTGCGAGTGCGTAATTGCGCCTGCGCACCGCCCATTCCCTCCCTCTGAATAACAAAAAATCCATAGAAACTTGCCTTTTTCGTTTTCTAATTAAACGAGTGGCCAGCAAAACGATTGATCTTGTTTAGATACCCTAACGGTGGGTATTTCACTTTTTATATTTAAGGTTTCTTAAGAAAACATTACCCATACGCCATGTAAACCTAACTAAGTTGGCTAACGTTTGGGCAACATGGCGTGTGAGTAATAAACAATAACTTATTGGAAGCATTCAAATTTGTTATTTAATTATAATGGTATTTTTTGCTACGCTATTTAATAAAGTCAATGAAAGTATTTATGGTTTGTGAATTTGTAATATTTAAGCTATTTATTTATCTTAAAAATTCTTCGTTATACTTAAGGCTGTAATTAATTATTTAAAATTTCTTTTTCATAAAATAAACTAAGCAAATGTCTTATACTAATTAATTGTTTTACAATTTTCGGAATTAAGTTTAGTTGCGGAATCATGGCTAAACTGAATTTAAGTTAGGATATGGTATGCAATTGTTAGGTTATGTTAAATATTGTCTTTCTGATTTTACAATCAATTTATTGAGGATTTTTATTGTCAATTTTTAAATATAATTTTTTTAATAATTACTACCCAGTTTTAGGAGCATTTACCTTTGTGCTCTTAGATCTTTAGGGCCTTTCCTGTAAGGGTACCCAAAACAGCCCCAAAACTATTCTCCCTGTTCTTGTAGCAAATCTGCAAGACTGTCCCAACATAAGGCAGCTATTACATCAGACAAAGTTCGGCTGGAGAACCTGAGAATGTGCCGAAAAAACGGAGAAAAAACGAAACCAGATTGGTTGGCAGCGAAACGGAAAACAAGTCTGCTGTTTGGAGGTGGTTAAACATATATCTCGGTATATTGGTTTTCATGGAGCGGCGCTCTTGAACGGACTCAAATGGCTTGTGAGTGGTGCAGCCGCAGCAGCAGCGGCAGCTATTCCATTGAGAAAAGCCAGCATTCATGATGAAATCCGCAGTGGAAAACACGAAATCCGCCATCAGCGATGAGGTCTGGGGTGCAAGATCGAGATCGAGATCTCGGGGCAGTCGCCAAATGAGACGCAATTGTCACTCTGCCCATTAGATTGTCCAGTTTTTTGGCCAGTTGGCGAATATAAAACTGAAGAGCTGGCGTTAAATGCATCTCACACTTCAGCTGAGTTCTCGTAGTGCAGACACAGCCACCTCCCGAAAAAAACACAGAAAATCCTTACAGCCATGTTTGCCCAGGTGAGTTGGTTGGCTAGCCAAAGGATTGAAGTTTTCTCTACTTTTCAAGGCATTCTTTCTCATCCTTTAGACTCTTTTCGCTTTGGGACTGATCCTGTCCGCCGTGGTGGCCATTCCCATTGATCCCTATGGACTTTCGGCTCCTGGCTTAACCTATGCGGCTCCTAAACTTCTGGCTGCTCCTGCCATCTCGTATGCAGCTCCTTCTATCTCATATGCTGCTCCTAAACTCCTGGCTGCTCCTGCCATCTCATATGCTGCTCCCAAACTGCTGGCTGCTCCCGTCGCCGTGGCCAAGGTGGCTGTGGCCGAGCCCTACGATCCCAATCCTCAGTACAGTTTCTCGTATGGAGTAACCGATCAGCACACCGGGGATTCCAAGCAGCAGGAGGAAACCCTCGTCAATGGAGTCGTCCATGGCAGCTACTCTTTGGCCGAACCCGATGGCACCATTCGCAAGGTCACCTATACTGCTGATAAGGTCAATGGATTCAATGCCGTCGTGGAGAAGAAGGGAGTGGCTGCTGTGGCGATTGCCAAGCCAGCGATTGCCGTTGCCGCCGTTCCTGCGATCACCAAGATTGGATACGCCTCGGCGCCTGCCCTGAGTTACGGTGGTTACCACTAGGAGGAGCCACTAGTAGTTACCACTGGAAGATCATCGAGGAGATGATGATGAATCAAGCGATGACAAACTCTCTGGCCTAGTTTTTAGGACCGCGTTGTTAAATAGTTATAATTATCACCACTTCTGTACTGTGTATTAACCCACTTCTTCCTGAGATTCAAAACCCGAAACCCAAGGACGTGCGCGCTGTTGCCACCCTCTGTTAAGCCCCACATATCCCCCCATTCTCCGATCGGACGATTGGACACTATATCACCACAGACTACGTTTAGGGATACCGTTCTGGGGATCTGGGGAACGGCTATCGGCCACTTAGCCAATTAGTATCTGCATTTACTGAATAAAAGTTTCGGTACAAAAAAAAAAGATTCATTAATGATTTTTTAATGGGTTTGGGGAACTTTAAATCAGTTTTTATAAACCCTAATTTACAGAAAATTGTAAAAAGGTTTGGTTGGATCTTTTGGGTCATTTTAAAACAATTTACAAGAAATGTTGTCAAAGTATTTCCAAATTACGTATTGTGGATAAACTTTAGAATGTATAAAATTATATTAGCTCGCCGTTTCGAATTATTACCGTATTTCGGTTTATTTTTTATATTTCTGTGTCAATTCGTTTTTGCTACAGTTTCAACTTCCCGTTTAAAATATGCCACCTTTTATAGCAATCATATTTATTTTATTAGCAAATTTGTTCTTATACTCATTCTACAAAAACTAAAGAAAATAATTAACAAAATCTAACAAAATTGCTCTATTTCTTATTACCCAGCTAAGCCCCGAGTTACATTGGGGTAGGTTCAGTGCGTCAGTCTAGCTCTAGAGTCCCAGATCTCAAATGCCGATCACGTAGTGCCAACTATATTTACGGTTATCACAATTCATATTGGAGGCTTGGGCACTTGAGTAGAGGGGAGAATTGTGCAAGTTGGGCGCTATTTGTTGGCACGTTCATTGGGGAAACCTTTTCTTTAGGGGACCAGACACAAAAATGGGCCATTACGTCAGTTTTTGGCAACGGTTTCCACACGGCGCATGTGTTGTGGGGAATGGGGAGGCCCTTTATAACCCCGATCCAATGGCAACCCAAGACAGTTCCGACAGCAGTGTCAAGCCACCAGCAACACCAAAGAAACCACCAGTTATCCAGCAGTAAATCTAGTCATGGCATTGATCAAGGTGAGTTAAGAGTATCCTTGAAAAGGAATATGATTTAAACAAGTGAGAACGACTATTAGATACCCGTAACTAAGCTAAAGGGTGTGCGAGGGAGATGGAGATAGGCCAGCGGCAAAGCGACTGCTTGCACTGCTTGCATGGGTGTCATTTCTTTATTTATTTACTCATAACTTTTAAAAGAATAGTCCGATTTAAAAATTAGTTTTACTTGTCGATAGGTAATACTAAAACCAAGAAAATTACGTTTACACTTTTAAAAAATATTTACTCTACGAGTAACGGATATAGAACTATCTTTAAGCAACTTGGATATATTTCTAATAAATATTTCTTATTTCTCCCCCTAGATCACCCTTATTTGCTGCGCTCTGATCGCCGCCATCGAATGCGCCTTGCTTCCAGCTGCCGTTCCCGTGGGAGTTCCGCTGAACACCGAGGTGGATCCGCATCCGCAGTACGCCTTTGCCTATAATGTCCAGGATGCCCTGACCGGCGATAGCAAGAGCCAGCAGGAAGTGCGGGATGGAGATGTGGTCAAGGGTTCCTATTCGGTGGTGGATGCCGACGGATCCCTACGCACCGTTTTCTATACCGCCGATCCCATCAATGGTTTTAATGCGGTGGTGCAGCGTGGACCTGTCCCAGTGGCTGCTCGTCCTCTGGTGGCTCCAGTAGTGGCTGCTCCTCTTTTGGGTTGAAAACCCCAATCCTCTAGAGCTCAAAACACACTGCTTGGAATCTAGCTTTACACATAACTTATTGTCTGCTCCTTAGTCCGTTGTAAATTCATAAATCACTTAATAATAATAAATTCAGTAAGCCAAAGATACTTTGTTGAAAATTAAAAAGAAAATGTTTTCACTTTTGTTGGTTAGTTTATAATATTTATTAGGAAAATCCATGCGTTTACACTTTTAGTTTTACACTCTAGTAAAATCCGAAACCAGTTTACATTTACACCTATGCATTTTATTAATTAGTGAGCAGATCTGAGGCAAGCTCAAGGCCTCAAATAAATGATAATGAACTAAATTAAAACGCACTTTAAAGTAGTGCAAAATAACAAGATATCAAGTTAGGATTTTTTCAAGATCAAAATATGCGTGTCATTAAGATGCAAAGCATGTAATTTTCAGCTTGAAACTAATCTGTATGTTGGGTTTTAAATTATATATTGTAACGTTGGGTGGCCAAAAATGCAAAGTGAATATGTGTTCAATGGAACTAATTACTTGATTCGATTTATTCGTGATTCCATATCATGTAAAAACTGTTTTGTAACAGAAAATGTAACAGGAAAAGAGCAATCCCCCGAAGAAAGCTGACCCACATCACAGGCCATTTTTCGCTTACATAAGACTAGACAATCTTAAATGGTAATCTCTATCTTCCCCCCGACACCCAACTGTCCCACGCCCAAAGAACTCTTCCACTCCACAATAAATACATTCACTCTCGCTGGCCCAACACGCACTCAAATTATTCAATAGCTTAATTGAAAGTAAAAAATCGGCACGAGATGCAATTTTTGGATTACGCAAACCCCAACCCGAGCATGTCCATACATGTTGCTGCCGGCGCTGACTGCAGTAACAGCAACTGCAGCAACAGCGGTAACTGCAACTGCAACTGCAACTGCAGCAGCGACTGCAACGCCTAACAAGCGGCGGTACGCGTTGAAAATTAGTGATAATGGGCAAAATTGTCCCAATGGCAACAGACCGGTGAAACAGAACAAAATCCATACACTCAGAAAAAAATAATGACAAAAAAATACTTAAATAAAAAAGTTAAATATAATCCACAGAATGGAATAATATCAATATCATGCAATAAAGTCAATATCGGCATGTAAAATATTAAAAATTTCTTAGAAAATATTTAACAGTTCTAGAAATAATGGTTTCAATTAAAATCCAATATTTATACATTTTCTATTGCTTAAAATATTTTACTTGTATATTTTAGGCAAATTAAAATTACGACTAAAAACTATTTAAGTTCTATTCCATGAGACCGCTTTAAAAATAAGTTGTATAACATTTTGTGCTTCAGTAATATTTCTTAATTAAATTCTCCTGACCGAAGTACTTTCCATTAAATTTAGTATTGTATATTATATTTATATTGACAAAATAAATTCTTTCTTCGTTTTAACTATGACCTATGTATAAAATGTATAATATATATTTTTTTTGATTAGTTGAATTCAAGAAGGTGTTCCTGTATGAAACTATAAATAAAACAAGAGAGAACGCTATAGTCGGGTGCCCCGACTATCAGATACCCGTTACTCAGCTAAAGGGAGTGCGAAAGAGATGGAGAAAAACTTTGATCCGCCGTAACCTTTTAACGAATGGTCCGATTTAAAAAATTTCTTCTACATTTCGATAGGTATTGATAAACACAATAAAACTGCATTTTTACTTTTCCAAAATATTGAAATTTTTAAAATCGTATATAAGCGATTGTGGGCGTTAGAGGGGGCGTGGTACCCTTTTGAAACAAACTTGCGCTGCGTAGGAACTCCTAGAATCTGCATGCAAAATGTCAATCTTCTAGCTTTTATAGTTTCCGAGATCTCAGCGTTCATACAGACAGACAGACAGACAGACAGACAGACAGACAGACAGACGGACAGACGGACATGGCTAGATCGACTCGGCTACTGATCCCGATCAAGAATATATATAGTTTATAGGGTCGGAAACGCTTCCTTCTACCTGTTACATACTTTTGCACGAATCTAATATACCCTTTTACTCTACGAGTAACGGGTATAAAAACAAATAAAGATATTGCTATTGATTTATTGGGATAATCTAAGCATAAGTTCTTGAGATTAATCAAGAATCTAAGAATTGACTATCAAAATCTAGAATATAATAGAATTATTATATTTTTACCCCAGTGCATTAAATGCGTCTGGCTGGGATTTTTGGGTGGGCGCGGCTTAGAGCGCTGCCAGCCAGTTTCGAAGGCTGTGCCCCAAACACACCTTTCAACAATCGACTGCTGGGTGCGTGTGCAGCTTCGCTAGCCCCAATATCTGGTGGCCATAAAACTAAGACATGGGACATGGGAGGTACTGGTACTCATATGCCTGGTACCACACACCTGATCCGCCCGGCCACCCGGTCTACATAGGTCCACAAAAAAATTCGCTTTCGAATTGAACTTTTTTGTCACGACGATGGAGCTATGAAGCCGGCGTGGGACCAGTTTAGAGCTTTGGTCCGGCACAAAACTCCTCTGTCCTCTGTCCTCTCTACTCCCAGACATGCGTGAACTGCAGAGCACCTCCATGACCACCTCCATGACCACCTCCATGTCCACCTCCTCCTCCTCCTTCTCCCTTCTTCTGATTGCCATGGGCAGCGAAAAATGAATTATTTTATATTTGTCGCGATCGAAGGCAAGTATTTCGCCTATAGCCTACAGACTCCACACGCATGCGCACACTTTTTAGTTGTTTATTATTTTTTTTGCATAAATATCATCTGGTGGCAGGCGGCGGCGGAGGCTGTGTGTGGATTTTTTGGGCTCGCGTCTATTGGGGAGGCCTATAAAAAGCAATTGTCGTGCGGCCACAGAACCACAGATCGAGTTCATTTGTCAGTCAGTTAGCAAGCAGCAGCAGCAGCAGTTCTCCATCTAAATCGCAAACCAAATCCTAACCAGAATGGCACAGAAACTGATCCTTGTACTGAGCGCCCTGGTGGCGGTGTCCTCCGCCGTGGTGGTTCCCGGTCCCGGACTGGCCTATCCATCGTATCCGGCGCTGGCCAAGGTGGCTGCTCCTCTGGTGGCCAAGGTGGCCGGACCGGAGCCCTACGATCCCAATCCCCAGTACACCTTCAGCTACGACGTTCATGTGAGTCACTCGCGTTTATAAGAAGTTCTTGGCTCATTAGTCATTTCATAAAAAGCAAAGCCAAATCCGAAATCTGCATTGGAAATCGATTGCTTTTCTGAGCAACTGGTATGCAAATTTCGTTTTTTTGCCAGACAGTTTTATGAAGTGTTTATCGGAGCTTAGAACTATTAAATCGGAATATATTGGTTAAGTAAGATTGCTGCTTGCTTAAAAAATATTTTACATTTTTAAACCTATTCCAGAATAACACGGATTTTGTACAGAACATTTTTAAACCTTTTTTAATGATCTATAAAAATCTATGGTTATTTAGTAATAGGTTTGAAAATGTTGTTAAAAAACAAATAATTATAAATTTCTTGAGGACTGTCAATTAAATACCTATTTTTTGAATTTAAAATTTTTTTCTTGCTCCGAAAATGACATTAGAAAACTTATTTCTAACGTAATAATAATACGTTTTAAATATAAAATTTTTAAATGTTTTTAAAATTGGGATTTTCAAATGTTTTTTAAATGTAAAATTTTTTGTTACGGCTTTTACTTTTTTAAATTTACATTTTTTTTGATACGGTTTTAACGTTTATTTGTCTTTAAAAATTTGTTCAAATATAGTTAGAAATAACAATTTTAAATTAAGGATTCTTTGAAGGAATATGTACAGGTCATAATAACTGTATTTTTCAGACAATCAAAACTATAGTTTATAAAGAATTTTATACATTAATTTTGCTCTTAAGAAATATTGATTAAAAAATTAATATTTTTCCAAATAAATATCCCTATTTTTTCCCCCCAGGATGGATCCACTGGCGATGTGAAGAGCCAGCAGGAGAGCCGCAGCGGAGATGTGGTGCAGGGTGCCTATTCCCTGATTGAGGCCGACGGAACCCGCCGTATTGTGGAGTACACCGCGGATCCGGTGCACGGATTCAACGCAGTGGTGCGTCGCGAGGGAGCTGTGGTGAAGGCTGTGGCTCCGGTGGCCAAGGTTCTGGCGCCGGCTCCTCTGCTCCATGCTGCTCCCCTGGTGGCCAAGTTGCCCGCCTATGGACCCGCCCTGGCGCCCGCCTATGCTTCTCCCCTGGCCCATGGATACGGACCTGCCTTGGCCCCCGCCTTGGCCCCCGCCTATGGACATGCCTACGGACCTGCTCTGCCCAAGCTGGCCCTGCCCGCTCTGCCCGCCCTCTCGCCCCTGGGCTACCACTAAGTCAGAACCCCAAAACATTGATATAATGGATACCCATGGATATTGCCGACCTCTTGCCGCCTCTGAATAATGGACACATCGCGACCAACTTCTCCTGCCCACATGGCCTCCAGTTTGAGAACGGAAGGCCATCGTGGGTTGATCGTAGTCGATAGTAGTTGTAGTATTAGTTGAAATGAAAGCGATTTATCGAAATATGTACATACGAATTTAAGGACAAAGGATTCTGAACTCTGGAAACCAATGTCCCCTCATCTACACTCAAACATTCTCGACGCCTTTCATTTATGTTTCTTGTCTTTTTAATCTTAAGGCTGTTTGACCGCGATAAAAACTCTATAATCCCCAACTTACAATCACCGTTTCAATTCTTATTTAATCCGAGCCTGTGCACTCGAGTAGAACTCGCAGAATGAGAAACGAGATTGCAATAAACGAACCGAAGCTATGCAAATGGAAAGTTAAGGAGTTTTCTAATGGGAGGGAGGGTGGAATATCTGGAAGAAAGTGTAGGAATTTTAAACACTTTTAATTTTTAATTTAAAAAAAAAGTATATATTTTTAATATATAAAAATATTTGAACTTAAATATTTAAACTGAAATGTCTACAAATAAACTATTTGGTTTGCTCACTTCATTGCTTTTTGAAACATAATTCTGTTTAAGACATTTTCTCTTAAAAATACATAAACAAACAAAAAGATATATAGGTTTAAATATTATATTTAAATGTGTTATAAATATTTCGGTTTAATAGCTTGAATGAATGAATTATATCATTCATGTGGTTAAAAAAAAAAACAATCACAATACAATAACCCATGCTCATAATAATACTTTTTAAAGCAATGCACAAAGTAATTTTTACACAATTAATTTGGTGCTAAATGTTCGTGGGTAATAAAAACTAAATAAATATTTCTTAAGCATTTACAAAGACAATTTGACCAAAGCAGCCATTAAAAGCGATTACAATTATTAAAATCACATTTAATTCTAAGTCATTGAATGTTAATCGGCGTTATTAGAACCGAAAATGCCTTTTGCTTTGGCAAAAAACGTTGCATTCATGTTAATTTTGGGACACGTAGTGGATTTTTCTGTGAGCGGTTCGACCTTAGAACAGAACGAGCCCGAACTGAGCGGGTCACCATATAGCTACTGCTGCAACTTTGGCCGTCATTATAGAGCGCAGGCTAATCGCTCAAGGCCCCGAACCACGCACCACACAAAACTGCGTAATTCGAGCGTCAATGCAAAGTGGTCTAAAATGAAATTTATGGGCTCAGTGTGTGGAGAACACTGCACTGCTGCAATCCGATGGCCAATCGATCCGATCGAGCAATTGGCAACCGGCCACCGGGCACAATGGAAAACTGAACTGCAAACTGGAAATTTGATTGCCATTCGCCGCGCCCCAATCAATTGCGTTTGGTTGGGGGGATAATTTCGACCCGTTCCGATCCGAGAACTGACCTCCATCCAATAAACCCAAACCCGAACCCCACCTCGTCTGCACATCATCAAATGGTATGCACATATTTGTGTTTATGTAAAAATTTATGGATCGCATAATGAGTTTTCGTTACATTTGCACTTGCATAATCCCCATACGACCAAGACGACGACGGGGCTTTGTTGCATTCGACATTAAACGCTTTTGATGATTTAATAAAATTAAATTGAAATGTTAATCGCGACACGGCATGGGCGGGAAAGTAGAGGGGTACCAGAGGGGGCTGAACCAAAAGACATGGGCGAAAGCGTAAGACAATAGGCGAGCGAGCTGCAGCTCCAAAAACAGCAGGTGTTACAATGGGCCCGAAAACCTCGGGGGTTTATGGAAGAAAGTATTGCGGAAATATAAGAAAACCTATAACAAATGCTTAGGGTTTGTTTAAACATTTATTTATATTATTAAGATACATTTTTCAATATATTCGAAATATGAGTATAAGCTTTTATAAGAATTTATATTAACTTTTAATAGGCATACCCAATATTTATAATATGATGTTTCTTAAAGTCAGGGAAATCCATATAAAATCTACCAGATTTTTATGATACGGATATAAAATAACTATAAATATACCATCATATTTATAAAATATTAATTTAAAAGGACAAGGAAAATCCATATAAAATCTAAGTGATTTTTGGTGTACGGCTATAAAAAGTCAATACAAATTTGAATGATGAGGTATACTCCTTATAAAATTATTCATCGACTAGGCCCCACCATTATGATAATCTCAAAATCTCACCACTAATCTCGGGGAGATGAATAAATTTAAACAAGATTTCCACTGAAGATTTGTTTATCATAAATATCCATCGGATTATCACCCATTTGTGCCGTTGTTTTGACGGATTTCACCCATTGTGGCAGTGGAACCCGGGCACTCACAACCTACTAAACGTATTGTGGTTACCACCAGCCGAGAGTGTTGATGATCATGATGACTCGACGCCACTGCGTTGCAGACTTTAATGATTGAGAGGGATTTGTTTGCATTTCGAAGTGAAATTAACACAAAGCGCGGCGGCTTCTGGCCATGTTTGAGGCTTTTGAGTCTTTCGAGTGGCTTAGCGGTGTTTGAGACCACGAGTGTGTGCCTCCAGGTGATTAAGTGATCACGCACACATGTAATACGGGTAATAGGAGTCTATAAATACACGAATAACCGTGCATCGCTGGCACGCTCGATTACAATTGTCGCCTCAAATGCGAGGCGGGCAATTAAAATGCTGAATTTCGCGTCATTTCATAATGGAATCGGGGCGGGCTCGGTGACGTTTACAGAGAGAAAAAGTTCTTCATTTTTTGATATTAATTAGTATTTTTTAGAAAATTAAAGATTTTTAAATAATATAATTTTTTGTTGTCGGAAAACCCTGTACATATTATGTTATATCTTTAAACGTTTATGTTATATCTCTAAAAGTTTATGTTATATCTTTAAAAATTTCAAACAAACAATTTCCGAAATTTGATCTTAAATATCAAAAAAAAAATCTATAGGTTAAATTTGATATATTTGCACTTTTCTATGCTATCTTTAAACCATTTTTATAGCTCTTATGAACTTAAATTTAAAAATAATAAACCTATATTAATTCTATTCGCACTTTATACTATAGGAACCCGAATCCTTATAGCTAACGTCTAATGTTTGTGTTTTAATTCCGTGTTAAATTGTCTTATCTGCATTTAATTTAAGTTTTCTAGAGTTAGTTTAAAAAATTGAAACTTAAATCACAGAACACTCATTTAAACAATAGCTTTTCTTCTTGTGTAATAATAATAGTAATAAGTAGAGGTGCTTGAAAAACTCACCCGGTATACCAGGGCCCACGGGGGCCATACAAGAAACGCTTGGCGGTCTTCCACCGCTTCCGTATGTGACTGTCGACGGTCTTGTGGTGCAGTGCAGCCGCCTGCAGTCGCTGCATCTCCTCCACCTGACGCACCTTCCACGGCATGTAGATCTTCTGCTGGAAGAGGCGCCGGTTCTCCGCCTGATTGGTGGCCCGCTGCTTGGAGGCCGCCTTGCAGGCCTCATAGCATTCCGCCCAGAATCGATTGATCGGCTCCCACAGATGCAACTCGATGTCGCGCTGATAGCGATCGTACATCGGCTTCACCTGAAAGTGTGAGAAATTCGAGATTAGTACATCAAAAGAAATTACTTAACTTGCTATAAATATATTTTTAGAAGTAATCAAAAAAAATTCATAATATTTAAAATGATAAATTAAACAAATATTTGTATTTATAACAAAATTGAATTCTTAATATTTATAATGATATATTGTACAATTCTTTGTAAGAGTAATAAATTTATTAATTTATTTCCCAATATTATTATGATAAATTTGTTTATTTGACATTATTTTTTCTTTAGTATTTCATCTCTGGATATCGGGCATTAAAAGGGAAAATTTGATTTGTCTAAAATATAAAAGTAGGTCTAAAACCCCTTCATTAAGCTTAAATTCTTCAGATACATAGAACTTAAGATCCATTTGATCTTATTAATATCACCGATATTACAAGCTTACTCTAATCCCCAAATATTACCAAAGTTCATATTTTATATCAAATCAATAAAATCAAGTGCAAGTCCCGAATTTTCTTTCAGTCTGCGAATTGTGATCTCCAATCAAGATTGACGATTATGGCAGCTTGGATTTGTTTTCGCTTTCATTCGATTCGGGGGCACTCTTCGTGCGTGTTCGAGTTCCATCTGCTCTATCTGCTCCAACTGGAGGACTACTCCGCGTCCAAGTCACGTCCGGTCAGGTTCAAGTTCAATGTGCATATAGCCGCGGGCACAGGAAGCACTCGATTGCAGTAGTTTATGTAAACCAGTTAGACGCGCTCCTCTCGATAGCTGTTTATTTGAGGGGTTTGAGGTTTATTTAACGCCTATCTCTTGCTGGATAACTAGCGTATCCAGGAGGCATCCGCATTGCGATGGTGAAGGCAACGCGACGGGAGGTTCTTTGCATAATCCAACCATCTAAGGTGGCGCCTCCAGCGATCCAACCATCCGTCGTTCCAGGGCACTGGGCACACAGCGAATTAAATCGGTATAAAATAAAATGGAAAATAAAAGAGGGGAGCAAAATATTTCTGGTAAAATCTCCGCCAGGTGGGTGCATCGGCAGCAGCGACGACGACGACGCCGCTTTGTCATTCGACTGGTTCCAGCTGCGCCTCTTCGAGCTGAGCCACAAAACCAGACCACTTTCTTGGCGCTCAGCTCAGTTGCCGAAAGAAAGTCCGACGAGTCGTGACCACCGGGAGCCGCGAGGAAAACTCCAATCTCAATCTTTAAAAAAACAAACTCCAATTTGGATTTACTTGGGGATTCGGTGTACGGATTTCGGAATCGCTGGGCTGTGCCGCCGCCAATGAAAGTTGTGTGTTTGATGTTCGCGTCGATTTGGAAGTTTGTTTTTCCTAGCGCCACTGCCACTGCGTAGAGTTTAGTTCGCGTTTTGTCTGCCACTCGAAAAATGTGCAATTTGTTTCGGCTTTCGGCCTGTTTTGTAAGTGATTAAATAATATGTGAATTAATTATGCTGCCATCTCGCGTGTGTCGTTGTGGAGGTTTTCAGTTAAGAGGAATAACTTTGGTTTGATTTTTATAAAAAGGATTCTCAAAATCAGATAAAAACTGTTGGCAATACTTAAACATATTCAAGATTATTATCCTTTGTTGAAATTGGAAATGGTTTATTTGGTTTGCTTGGTTAAGCAATTATGGTTTATAGCTATAACCATAAGATACTTATTCTCAAAATTTTTAAAAAGTTTTTAAAAAACAATGGAAAGTTAATCTAATTTAATTAAAATTTTGGAAAATGATTGCTTTTATATAGCATATTTAAATCGTTAACTATTCCTGACTTTAGAAAATTTGTTTAACCGGTTGAAAAATCAAATCATTATAAGAGTTCTAAGCTTAGGATAAACATATTTTAAAGAATAAGAAGAAAGTACTTGGCAATGTTAGAAGTTGTATAAAAAATGCTACATTTTTCAAAAAATAGTGATTCGTATCTCCATTTATAAGAGTTTTACCTTTTTTTCTATGCCCACAATGTAACTTTCTGATCAAAAGGTAATTTTCCAACAATGTTAACAAACAAACCTAAACAAGTCATGGTTAAAAATAAAAGTCAGCAAAAGCAACTGCATTCGACTTCGCACACCTGAACATGGCGATGATCAGGTTCAATGCTTGGCTCCTTTGGGTGCTCCATTCCATTCCACCTCACCCTCCAGGCCATCCTCCTCCTTTCGCTTGGATTGCGTGAGACCAGCCAGCCGGCAAAGTCGCCTAACCATCGATGCAACAATTACGAGGAGCCTGGCGAGCGCGACTCGTGAGGTGATGGCAACCATGTTACGTGTGAAGTGAGCTAGGGAAACTGGGAGCCACTGAGGCGGAAGTCTTGAAGTTGGAAAGTCAAAGGTTAACCAAAGACGAAACCACACAGAGATGACAGCATTTAAGCATTTTGGAGGGAGAAAGTTTATTTGTCTGATGACATTTTTTTGCGGAAGATTAACCCACTCACCCTTTAACTTTTGTTTATTTTCCCTTTAGTTGGCTGTCTGTCTGCTGCCCTTCGCCCTCAGCGAAGCCAATGCCACGAGTGTTCAAAAAGATCTTAAATCTGAACCCAAAGATGACTTGGTGCCCACGGCGGAGAAACTCATAAGATACAGAAGACAACCCCCCTATTCAGTGATCAAGCGATCCAAGCAGCGACGACGTACAAAGGGTCCACCCAAGATCAAGTATGGACCACCTCCACCACATATACGCTACTCGTCAAAACCCTCGTTTCCATCGCATCACGAGGAACCAAGCTTCTCGCTGGATGACTTTCAGCACCTAAAGTTCGATGGTTCGGACTTTAAGATACCCACTTCGAGCTACGAGGCGCAGTCCATGGATCTGGATTTCTATAACCACGATACGGAACCGGATCTCTATGGAGCGCACAAGTTCCCCAGTCTGGATTTTGGTTTGGTCACCACGCATGAGCATGTGCCGCACCAGAAGTACGGATTACCTGAGCAGAGTTTCCAACCGGATCACTCCTTTGCCTCGCACTATGAGCCACCTCCTGCTCCTCCGGCTCATATACCATCGACTAAATATGGAGTACCCACTGCCCCGGTTGCAGTTCCCAGCTACTCGCATCAGGATCTGCCATCTCCGGACTCCTATTCCATTTACGAACAGAAGATCCCCAATGTGGGTTATCATCAGAACTTTGCAGAGCCACCCAAGAAGCCGCATAAGCATGGTTCTAATCATAATCCCAACTTTGAGATTGCCTATTCCCCGCCTGCTTTCGAGATCAGCACTTCCTATCAGTCGAATCACCAGCAGAGCTATGTGCCTCCACATCCCTCGCAGCCTCATGAGGGTTTCGCTGAGCCACCTGCGAATAATTATGTGAAGCCTGCCCAGCATCCTCCCGCAAATAGCTATGCTCCACCTCAGCATCCTTCTGCGGGTTATGAGCAGCCTCCTCAGCATCCTTCTTCGAGCTATGATCATCCTCCTCAGCATCCTTCTTCGAGCTATGATCATCCTTCACAGCATCCTTCTTCGAGCTATGATCACCCACCATCACATCCCTCCTCCACTTATGATCAACCTCCTCAACATCCTTCTTCCAGCTACGATCACCCACCTTCTAGCTACAATCAACCTTCACTGGATCACCCCAGCAATTACCAGCATCCTCCATCCTCATCCTACGACCAACCACCTCAGCATCCGCCCACCAACTACATATCCTCAGACTCCCATTCGCATTCCATCAATTCGTATCCCCAGGACGACTATGCACCACCCACGCAGGAATTGCCCTTGAATCCGCACCACAAGTTTCCCAGCTTTGATTTTCCAAAATCCAGCTACGAAGTGCCCATCTACGATCCCGTGCCCTTCGAGGCCTCCAATCGCGATGAGCAGGAGTCGTATCCACCCATTCTGGTTTCTTCTCCCGATCAGAATGAGATTACATCGGATGCACATGCTTCTGGAAGTTCCAAGCGGCGGAAGAGGAAGCGTAAACCCAGTGGAGGTGCAGCGGGAAATGTGCCCGCAAAACACACGTTAGATGTTCCTGAACTCCAGCAGGCCTACGATGCAGATAGCCATTCGGGGGAGTCCCAAGAAAATGCGGATACAGATACAAATAGCTCACACTTTGTGGAGAGGAAGCAGACATTCTACAACTTTGTAACGCCCACAACGACGACGACGTCGACGACGCCGGCTCCTTGGAGTCCCATGAGGGGCAGGAGTAGCACCACGCGGGTGGCTTTCGTGCCCACCATAGTGACAAGCACCCCAGGAACTCCCACCACGACAAGGAGTAGAAATCGGGGTTCATCGAGGTATCGCCAGCAGCCAGTTAATCCCAGTTCACCGGATCCCAACGTTAGAATCGATCAATCGCACTCGCAAAGCTATTACGATGGAACCATTGCACCACCCACCAGACAGAAGTTTACACCCACGACTGGAGGACGAGGAGGATCGCGACCCACGCGACCTGGTTATGTGAGGAACCATGGTCCAGTTTCTCCGCTCGCCCTGCAGCCAGCCAATCCACCCACATCCAAGCGAACCACCAAGGGCGTCTTCGATACGACGCTCTTCAAGAGTCCGCTCAGCGATCGGGAAATGCTGCGTCAGAACTTGCCAAAAAATCACAAACTATTTTGAATTCTCAAAGGGAATCGAAGAGGAGGCATAGCTTAAAAAGACTTGGTTAACTATTTCCTAGAATTTAGCTGATAGCTCTTAAGTTGTATTGAAAACTAGGCTAAGAATGTTGAATAAATTAAATAAAAAGAACTTACTATTCGCTCAATAAAGTTTCTCCACTTTTTGCTGGTGCTATACATTTGGAAATCATTGAAGAAGACAGGTCCAGAGGAAGTTGAAGGCAAATCGGGCAGAGTGGAGTCCAAATTGAAGGCAAAACGACATTTCTCCAACAGGGCCTTCATCACAGGCATCAGAAAAGAATACTCCTCCGGATTGCCAACTGTGAAAAATAAACATAAAATTTAAAAATAAATATAATAAAAATATTTGATGAGAACCCCACCTTCAATGGCATTATCCAGAGCTCTATTGATGCTAAACAAAAGATAGGATAGCTCTGCTGGATCCTCAGTAGAACGACTTTGAAGAATAGCATGTAGCTTAGCCGTGGCCATCGCCACAATTCCAGGATTCGGGTGATGTGAGCACTTGAGCAGGAGACCCAAGCACAAGCGGATCATATCCGACCAATCGTCAGAGGAACCCTGCTGGAAGATCATCAGGGCGTCCAGCAAAGCGAGCACACCATCCAATAGCTTCGTGGAACACTTTTTCGACTCGTCTTCGTTTGAGCCCAGAACCACCAGTTCATAAACCATGCGCAGGATGTGCGAGGCGTTCTCCTGGTTGACTAGCGTCTGACTGCCATGCTCCGATAGATCGAAAAGCGAGGCCTGCACAGCCATTTCCAAAATCCTGAGGCGCAGCGAGAGATGCGAGGTAATTAGCTCATTGTTTAGAGCCAACAAATTGATGCAGCCGAGCACTTGGCCGCGCTCCTGCCAGCATTGCGGATGATCGTTGGGTATGCCGCGCCAGAAAATGTTGAAGAGCGTATTCGAGACTAGATAAACCAACTGCTCCTCGGTGTCCACATCGCCGTCGGCCACAAAGTCAAAGGCGGAGGTGCTCTGCGGGGGGAATTTATGTCATTAAATGGAAAATCTTTAAATTAAAATAGCCTATTTTCACCTCCATGGAGTCACTTTTCTTGGGCGGTCCGTGCGGCGACTGTGTGGAGCTATCGGAACTCAGCGATTCTTCGCGCTGAATCGAAGGCGTCTGCGAGCCATCGGCAGTGTCCGTCGAGCTGCCCAGTGTCAAGGACTCGAAAGTATCCTGCAAATCATGGGTGGTCTGCCGGATGACCGAGAACAAACTGCTGGCATTTTCAACCACTGCTCCGGAGACAGATTCAGCTAACTCTGAAATATAGATTAACATTAGTTAATTTACAAATTAATATTAGAGCCCTGCATGAATGGATTTAATGAATTATTTTGAATTTTTTGGTTTACATGAATGAATTAATTAGAATTTTGAGTTTAATAGAATCGAATGAATGAATGGCATGAATTCCGAAATAATTCAAACAACAATTTCTTTTGAAGAAGAAAGGGCCATCATTTTGTGAATTAATCTGCATGAATTTTATTTTCTAAGCAGTTAAGCAGGTTTCCACTACTAAGATAATTACCTTTAATTTCACTCTCGATCACAGTGGCTGCCTCGGAAACACTCGCCTGGATTTCGTTAAGTATTAGGCCACTATCACTGAGCTCCTCTTGCTGCTGCTGCGACTGCAACTGTGCCAGGCCAATCTCCTGCTCCGAGAAAGTGATGAGATCCGCCTGGGCCAGAAAACTCGAGTTATCCTCCAACAGCACATCCAAGTTGATGCCAAAACTGCGTCGCTTTTCCTCATCCGGAGGCGAACTGGTGATGGGCTTCCGGATGAGCAGACGGGCAATGGACTCCTGCCAGCCCGTTTGCTTGGCCATCGCCACAGTGGAATGCTGCTTCACGAAGGTGGTTTGAAGCAGTCGCTTGGCAATCTCCAGTTTCACGGGGAGATCACAGCTGCTCACATGATAGACGAGGAATATAAGACCTGCATAGTCCGGCTGCAGACCCAGCATTTCATCGACCAAATGAAAGAGGATCGTAGAGCTTAGCGATAAGGGTGTGATGAAGGAGAAAAATCCAGGGAACATGCTCTGCTCGGTGGCCTGATCGTACAAACGCAGCACTTGTTTGTACTTCTGATGCACCCGCGATGTGGCCAACAAGCCACTGATGAACTGGAAATACAAACGTTAGAAATAATAAATATAAATAATATGTAATAATTAGACATAGGATTTTAGGCGAAATCGTTTTTTTAAAATATGATTTAAAGCCACATTTGATTGGTTAAATTCTTTTTACAAAAACCTCAATTAAGTTTGGCCTAAATCTAATTATATATATAAATAATATATATATAATAATTAATACCCTAATAGCCGCCTCTTGAATCTCATTGGTGTAGCTCTTGTCCACGAAGAAGTTGTAGATCAAATTGGCGGACTGAGGTTCGTGCAATAAAAGAACCATTTGATCCTTGCAGTTCTTCCCACGTATATAAAAAGTCATCATCTCCAGAAACTCCACCAGAACCACATCCTGCCGCACGGAAGCCAGAAAGGCAATCATGGAGTTCACCTCCTTGATGTTCACTTCCTTTTGCAGATAGAACTTAATGATGCCGAAGAGCGTGGCCCGAATGGTCTTGGCATCGTCATCGGTGATGCTATCGGGCGTGGAGTAGTACTGACGCACCACATCCAGCACAAACTGGACGCCATACCGCTTGCGGAAGAACTTCCGATCGTTCTTAATCATGGCACTCAGATACTGGGCGTGACCCAAAGTGATTTGGAACTGCAGTCGCGACCAGATGGCAAAGTCAAAGACAATGTGAGCATACAAGGCATCCAGCAGCTGTCCGCCCGCTTCCGCCTTGTGTCCCTGCAGCGACTCCATCAACAGGTGGGTGGCCATCAGGGCATTCACATCAAACAGATGCGGCGGACAGCGTTGCAGCATAGTGCCCACAATGGCCAGGCATTCGCTACTTAGCAGCTGTTCCTGGTTTGTTTCGTGTTCGTGCGTGAGGTAGCGCAACAGGCAAAGGAAACTGGCCAGCGGATGCTGCAGCATCTTCCACTCGGTGTAGGAGTTCGAGGAGAGCATCTCCCAATCCGTAAACTCCTCAGCCGAAGGCGTTGGAGCTCCGCAGGACAAGGACTCCTCGCTGACGCTGCCAATTGAGATGTCTGCCGTCTGATCCGATGTCACCAATCTATGCAGAATGGGCAGTATTGCACTGATTCCACCAATACTGTTGATTGTCTCCTGGATCTTCACGATCTTGCAGTGCTGAGCGCTAATCCTTCCCGGATACTTTCCGCCTGGTATGAGATCCTGGCAGGTGCCATGCCAAACTGCTCCCGGGGCATAGCAGAAAACAAAGCGAGAGTTGAGTTCGAGTAAGTCATTGTCCTGGGAGAAAATCGAACTGAAGTTGGAGCCTGCATCAAAGATTGTTTTCAAACTGGTGGTTGGATCAGCTAAGAGGACTCCACCCAGATGTCCATGCAGACAAGTTGGCTCTCCAAACACAGTATCCTGCATGCCAATGGGAAAGTTCTTCACATTCGGATCAAAGGCTGTCTGGGTGCGCATGGGCAGGGTGAAGTAGTTGGAGACCTAAAGGGAAAAACTAAGTAAGTAACTGAACATTAATTTAAAATCTGTATTCTCACATTTGCTGAGAGCGTTCGCTCTAGAAGACTGGGCAGCATTCCCCTATAACCACTCGATCCGCTTTCCTGCGACGACGACCTGGGCATAATCCCTGATTTAACCACCTCTCCTGGTTGCGGTGGCGCCACCACTGCGCCAATGGAGCACACAGTAAAGGGTTCATTGACTGCTTGAACTTTCAGCGTGGCACTCAGCTTCTGTACAAAATCCACGTAGATATTAATTTGACTATAGGAAAAGGGTCGCTTTGGTGGCGTTATGGCCACCGTTAGGTAATGCCATTGGCCATCCATCAGTGTCTTGGTGGCGGTGGAGGATGTCAGGTATTCCCGCTTGGTCAAAGCGGCCACCACAACATTGCCATTGGGCTGCACAAAAACCTCGAAGCCACTGCCACTGGCTGTTTGCAGGGTGAGCAGCATTCGGCGACTGCTCGACTGATCTTTCAGCTGATTGAAGCGCACCAGGATGTGGAAGATGAAGCCATACGAGCCGGAGATGGTCCATTTTCGAATGTCCGGCACTAGAATGCCATCCGTTGGCTGATCGATGGAGAAGTACTCGGCGCAGGAGTTGCTGCCCCTTAAACTCTGCAGAGCAATTACGACTAACGTCTGCTGCAGCTGCTTGTTTTGCGGAAACTTTGTTCCCTGGCGCAACAAAGTAAAGATGCACTTTAGCTCCGCGGGCACAATACTGAGCTTGCTTAGTTCCTCGATCAGCTTAATGAGATTCTGAACGCAGTTCTCGGCCAGAGATTCGGCGGTCAAGAGGCAGCCACACACAGCCTTGATGATATGACTGCCACAGGCCACGGATTTCCTATAAAATATTATAACTATTATTTGTTTTAACTTATGTAAGCCTTTACACATACGTTCCATAGTTGTCAGTGCAGCCCTTGAGCACAAGATTGGTCACATGCAGTTGCTCCCGCTCCTGCAGCGTTGGCACCCAATTGAGCAGCTGCAGCATAACCTCGGGCAGCAGCAACAAGTGTCCACTTTCATCGTAGCCCAGCATGAAGCTAGTGTCCAGCAGACCGACCGTTGGATTGCCAAATTCCTTTAAGCTGGCGAAGAGCCTCTCGATGCGTTCGCCCTGACGCAACTGAGCAGCGGTTTGTGGGCAGTAACGCGTCAAAGTGGCCAAAGCCTCCATGCTGCTGCACAGCGAGCTCGAATGGTTGATGTGCCAGGGCTAAAAATTAGGGAAAATCATTAAAAAAGAAGTTAAATCAATTGACATTCCTCACCTTTATAAGTTTGGGAAGACTGGTGAGCAATTCGAGTAGATTGGAGTCGGCAATTGCCTCACCAACACCTTCATCGCCAGTCACAAAGAGTTTCACAGCCGCCACCGTGGTGGACAAGGCAGCCATGTCGATGGCCACATCATCCTGGTCGGCATCGCTGGCGATATCGAAGTTGGCATCGCCGCTATCAAAGTGCTTGGTGGCCAGCAGCTCTTGGAGAGCATCACAATAAAGTTGAACTAACGTAACTAGGTCTATTTGGCGCTGTTTTTGGAAGATAATATTATAAGTAAGATATAAAATTGATATATCAAGCTACTCACTTCCTCTGGACTAGATTTCTGCAGCACAATGACCATCAGGGCATAGCATTGTAGGGCCACGCGACGTGGACTGTGGGCACTCTCCCACTGACGCAGAATACTCATGGTGATGGACACCGTGGCGGGGCAAATGGCCTTCATGCCATTGCGCTAATCAAATCAATAGCAACATTAAAAGGGTTTTAAATTAAACTAGCATTCTTGGGACATAACAAGCAATGGCATGCATGGTTAGGGCACAACAATGATTCGGGACAACAGATGGTTCAGCACCACTCACCAAGTTATCACAGTCTAGCAGCCCATCACCCGAGCAGGGGGCAAGTGAAGAAGTGGTTAGATCGTTAGTATTTCTATTTGTCAGGGTCGAGGAGGTCGAGTTTAGAGACTTCTTCAACTGCAGCTGGACGTGGGGATCCAGCCACATCAACGAAACGAGACGAAATGAGACGAAAGTGGACATGGAAACAGAATGATAGAGCTCTAATGAACATTAATAGCGAAAGCAGTGAGCAGGAAAGGAAAGCTGTCGGGAAGTGAGGTTAATAATTAAACGGTCTTCCAGAGAGAGAGATAAATAAGATAAAGGACTACACAGGAGGACGGGGGACTGGAGACGTTTTCTGGCGCTACCTGCGAGCCGCAAATCACAGCGCCCAGGATGTTGAGCAGGCTCTCGCCTATTTCCGCATACCGGATGAGCTTCTCCTCCTGAAAGCAATCTGCAAAACAAGGCAATTGGTTAGTAAGTTGAAATATTACAGAGCAGTGATGGGAGGGAGAAACGTAAAAGGGTTTAAGCTGTTTTCTTCGAGCATTTTACATGAGAGCTTGAAAAATATCGACATTATCGATAATTCCGATATTTTTGAATATCGATCTTAATCGGAACCAGCACTGTTTTTGTAAATTTTTTCTTTTTCCCCTGAAAGCATCGATATTATCGACACAATATTGTAAAAATATCGAAAATATCGATTTCTTTCTTTTTCAAGCTCTATTGGAGAAACATTATTTCGATATTTTTAAAAATCAATACTTCTTATTTATCGGAATCATTAATGTTTTTGTAACTTTCCTTTTTTATCGTTATTATCGACACAATATTGTAAAAATATCGAAAATATCGATTTTTTCTTTTTCAAGCTCTATTTTACATTCATCGCTGCCTTGTAGCTTAGCTTACCATAAATAAAGGGCACAATTTCCACATGAACCGAGTGGGGTTTATAGGAGAGACGACTGTAGTCGGCCGTTTGACCTCGCACAAAGCTGCGCCACGTGAGATACGGATCGTACATGACCTCCAGGAAAGCCGAGAAGCTCCCAAACAGATGGCTTATAGCGGGCACGCTTTGGGGCAGCTCCATTTGCTAAAAAGGCATAAAAAGAGGCTTTGTTAAAATAACCAAAAATGAGCTTAAAAGATTTACTCACTTGCTTGAACACCCTGGTGAGTATGGCTATCAAATTGGGCTTGTACTCGTACTTTATAACAGCCAGGATGTTGTCAAAGTGCCGGCACACGATCACCAGGCAGTCCACCAGTATGGCCACCTCCTCGATGGCCTCCTCCTCCAGTTTCCCCTGCGTTTCGCATTGATCTCTGGCCACAATGATAAACTTGCCGATGGCGGGCAGTAGTTCATCCGGCAGGCGACCCAAATGTGGACCACTATCCGGTTGAACCTCGTGCCACATGGGGCAGTCCGCCGCCTGAAAGTCCAGCTGCAGTTGGCTCCTCCAAATGGCCACAAAGCGGGCCACAAACTGCCGGAAGTGGGTTTCATCGTTCTGTAGGAGAGAAAGAGCGAGACAGAAAGAGAGGGCAGGATTCAGTTTGAGCCTGTGTCTGGGGATTATATAATCATTACACTGTTTACACAGAGCCCTTGAAAATAAGCTGATAAACAATTGCTTTTTGTATTTTGCGGTGACTAATGCGTTAAACATTTTGCGGCCGCCCCCGCAAACGGAGCACCTCCCCCGCCCCTTAAGCGCACACCCACTTTTCCACTTCTCTTATCACTCGATTTAGACCCAAAAGTAGAACCTTACCTTTGTCGTGTACTGCACCCATAGATTGTATATATCCTTCTTATTGTCCATCGTCGCGATTTCCCTTTGCCAATATGCTCAGCTGAACGGCATTTGTTAATTACTAGCTGAGTTTTTTCGCTCGGCAAATTATTTGTTTACAAAAAAAATGTTGCCGATTGGCTGGCTCACAGCTCAGTTTTTACTCTATTTCGGCGCTGTTTTCGGTGTTTTTCTTTAAGATCGGGTGTCTATATGGTTAAGGCTATAGCCTGAATAAATTTTGTCACCCGCGATTCGTATTTAAGCACATTTACAAGAACTTAATGGGCAAATTTTCGCATTTCTGGGCGCACAGGTGAAAACGGCAACAGCTGATTGCTTCTTCTTCCTTGCCATTCGCAGCTGACTGCTTCCTCTTCCTGCCATTCACTGGTCTGCGGCAGTGTTAGAAAGTGCGCAGGGTAGCGGTAACAAATGGCGCCAAATTTTGAATTTTATTATAAAATACATTTTTGTATGATCAAACCTGTAAAATGTTATTCAGTTTCCAGCCAAAATAAAAACACCATTATAATTTTAGGCTGCTAAATGCGTATTTATTTCGAGATTTTCATGTATTTGGTTTCAATTCTAGTAGCATTTTGTTATTTGTTTGTCTGTTTTACATGATATTAGCTAATAGTTGCGCTTCTGTTTTGCCATTGCTTTGACTCTCGTTAACTATATCTTCCATCTCCAAACTGGTCGTTAAAAACAAACGATTTTCTGTGTAGTTCCATTGCCGCTTATCATTTATCATAGATACATTATGCGCAAAAGTGCAGTTTATTGATGCGGATGCGGATGCTGATGCGGATGCTTCTATATGCCTAGGCAACGAATTTCGAGATTATTCGCCTTTGATTTTAGAAATGTCTTGGTTTGGTTTTTGGTTTTGTTTGTAATATAAAAAGGAAACGTTATTTTATATTTAATTTCAGACCTAAATTATTAAGATTTAATGCAATATTTTATTTGTAAGTTTTTTTAATTGAATAGCTTGAACCATTTGTAGGACCTATAAATATTCATTATCCGTTAATAATCTTAATAAAATAAATATGTAGAAGAAAAATCTTATGCCTCCGTTTCAGTTAGTTAAAGCTGTGAGTTTTTATCCGCATTAATTTGAAGGATAACAATTGTTAGTTAATTTACTTTAATTTAAATTTAATTTTAATTTAATTTAATTTACTTCAAATATAGGCATTCGACTTGCTTTCGTTTATCATTACGTTTAAATTAAATACACGACGCTTTTCATACGCTAAATTTAATTTGTTTTTCTGGTTTCGAGTTTTCCTCGCTTGTGTTTTACGGTCTGCAGCACTTGAATGGGCATTACAATATTTAAAAAACCTCAGCGCCTCGATTTATCGATTTGTAAATAAGTTGCGCGCTTTACTCAGTTTTTTCTTTTATTAGCTTTATTCGGATTTTTGGTTTTTTTATTTGATTTTTGTGGGCAATGGGTTGTGTGGAGTTTCTGTGTGTTCTCTGCCTTGAGACGACGACGATTGTTGCGAATAGAAAAATAATTCAAGTAAATATTTGTATATGCGTGTATAAGTATTATAGTTTTGTCCTCTAGGTATATGAATAGCACTCCATGCTCGAGTTCTTGCGGCCTATGTATTTATTGTATTTGTACCAATCGCCTAAGATCGATCCTCCAGATATCAGATACTGTGTGCAGATACTATAATGCCCGTGTATTGCAATTTTGAGTGGGTGGTGAGTGGCATGTCCGGAGTTACTCCGGATCTCTAGCGTGCTTCTTTATGTGGGTGAATGGTTGTGTGGGTGTCTGAGTAGCTAGTTCATAAGGTAAATATATATAATCTATCATAGTTCATTTAGGTGCCGCTAACAGCTCTGAAGGTATTCAGGTTCGGTCGCATTCGCTGCGTTGTTGTCGATTGTTTCGGGTAGAAATACTTGGGGTTATCTTTGGGCTTTTCCTTCTTTTTTTGGTTAAGGTTGGTAGGGTCTCTGCTCCGATGATCTCCGCCTGCTCCGTGGTACCCGATGTCCGCTCGGCGGCCTACGAATCCAGCAGCGGCTCATTTTCCGAATCGGAATCTAACATTTTCCAGACCATGCGCCTGACGTTTCAGACTGCCGCCGTCGGCCCAGGAGGAGTTGAGATACTCGTCGTCATCGTCTTGCTCAAGTTTCTGGAATGGAAAGTTATGAAAAAGATTAGTTATTGAACAAACTTTGGGTCTACTTAAGGTTTTAATCAAAAATAAATTCAGTAAATCTTATAAAAGAGGTATTAATTGGGGGTTTCAAGTTTCTGTAATGGAAAGATATGAAAAATATTAGTTATTGAGCAATCTTTGGGACTAGTTAAGGTTTTTATTAATAATAAATTAAGTAAATCCTTTAAAAGAGGCTTAAAGTTGGGTTTTTTACAGGTTTAACCACATTTTAGGTTTTGCCCATAAATGTATGCTACAAATTTAGTACAAAGTATCAGCGAGCAGTATTACGTATACGTAATATTCTTTTATTAAATTGTTATCTACATTTGGCTGTTTGTTTTACGTAATCTAAAAAAAAAAAAAAAAAAAAAGCAAAAGCCAAACTTTGGATAAAATTGTTTATGTTAAAAAATTAAATACATTAATTTGAATTTAATTTTTAAAGTTATTTCACAATACCTACTCCTAGAAAAGAGGTAATTCTTTTTTAAAATTCGTTATTTATTTCCAGTTTCTTAAACAAATACCTACAAAAAAGATTGTTGGTTACCAAGAGGATTTTAAGGAAAACCTACAAGAAAAAACCTTCAAACCTTCTGTCATGATTATCGAATTGATAAATAATAATTTTAAGACCCATGTCCTATTATGATCTTAAGTTTTCCCATTACTAAGATGTTTTTTTTTATAAAACTGGAAGAACCCAAGATCCATTTAGTCCTATTCCACAGACTCCTCTACCACATCCTTCAGTCTTACCCTTGCACTGAGTTGGACGTGGAGATCACTCCGTTCTCCAGCGAGTCCCTGGACAGCTCGTCGGCCATCTGGACCTTCAGCTGGTGGCCGAACGAGTTCATCTCCGAGTTGGGCGTCATTTGCGAGCCCGCCGGACTCTGGGCGATGTACCCATGACCGGGGGTGGTCACCGAACCACCCTGCGATATGGAGGCGGTCATCCCGGGACCGCCGTTGGGCAGGACGCCCTCCAGACAACTGTCGTTGGTGGTGGAGTCCATGTTGATGATCTGGCTGCCGGCCACATTGTCCGCCAGCACAGCACCGTCACTATCGTCCACGGCATCGATGTCATCGATGTCCATGTCCTCGGCATTCTTGTCCAGCGGCGCCGTCTCCTCGTCCTCGTTGTAGATCTTAAAGTACGCGTACGTCAGATAGATCACCGAGATGATGAACGAGGGTATGGGTATGGCCATCGAATACACCAGATTCAGGGTGTTCTGCCAGTAGTCCAAATCGCTGATGACCAAACTGGGGTCCACCTTGGAGTAGTAGCAGGGGAACTTCATCCCAATCTTGGTGTACCTCTTCAGCCAGATGGTACAATTGAGCATGGGCGGATAGCCACAACCCTTGACGTTCGGAAAGAGCCTGGCTCCGACATAGTAATACATGGACCTATTGCCCATTAGCCCCTCGTTCAGCTCGGAGATCTCGTCGAAGGGCCGACGCTCGTCGGGAATGAGGGTTCCCGAGGCACTCAGACCCCTCGTATCCTCGGAATCCTCGATGAGGTAGCCATTGGAGCCATCGGCATCGCCGAAATTCAATTGCTCCAGCCGCCCGCCACCCAGGTCGATGTCCAAGCCGGTGCCACCGGTTCCACCGCCCAGGTTATCGTACTCGTAGTCGCTCCTCAGAGCCCTCTCATATCTATCCGTTCTCTTCACAGGCGGCAATATGCGTTCCGCTTCCTTAAGATTGATGTGATACTCCGTGAAGTTGAACTCATCGGTGTAGTTGTAGAGATTGAGGCGATAGTTCACCCGGATCTGGGTGCACGTGTAGATGTCCTTGGTGCAGCCCTCGCGGCACGATGACCACGAGCAGTTCTTGGCCCCGTAATAGATCTCCGTGTCGTAGGTTTCGCACAAAGCGGGGACCTCCTCGAACTGCATGAAGATCGTGGTGAAGGCGGGCTCGATGACGAAGGGCACCAGGAAGAGGAAGGCGAACAGGCTGAAGGTTCCAAGCAGGATGAAGAAGGCGGTGGTGTAGAAGAGCAGCTTCTCCTTGCCGGTTCGCTTGTCCGCCTCGTCTCCCATATTTTTAGCTCGATTTTGGTCGGTTTACTTGGAGTTTTACTATATTATTATTATATTCTTTTAGTTTTTATATATTTTTTAGGCGCAGGTCTGGCGGTTGTGGCGGCGGCGGAGCAGAGCGGCGATTAGAGTGCTGTGTGTGTAACTTAGCTTACAATTGCGGCGATTATTAATCGATAACGATAACTACGAGCTAGATTATTACGATTACGGTGCAAGTTATATCACAGGGAGAGTTCGATTTCTCGTTTCTTCGTTTGCTTTTGCTTTTGCTTCTTTTTCTTTGGTTGCCTGGCTGTCCGGTGTCCCGTTATCTCGCACATAGCTGACGTTTGCAGGCGGAATCCTGCATTTTTACACTCGGCGACGGCAGCAACATCACTCGATTAGGCTAAATACTCCACAGAGTCCGAATACGAATCCCACGCATCCTCTCCAGCTTCCTCCTCCTCCTCCTCCTCGTTCTACACGTGGCAGTGGTGGTGCTAATTCCGAACCCTGGCTAATTGCTTTATTTGTCCCAATGGAGATGTTTCGTCAACATCAGCACGTTGCAGCAGTCCTTTCTGCTTTTGCCTGATTTAGCTGCTTCTTGATTATTTTATGACTGCGGCAAAGGCCAGGATATTCGTGCGTGTTTGAGCGTGTGTGAGCGTGTCGTATCGTGTCTGGTGTGTGAGTGTGTTCGTGTGTGTGTGTTTGGCCTGCCAATGGCCAGTTTTGAGGTCTCTCTCTCTCCTTCTCCTTTGCTCTTTCTCTGCTTGCCTTCACTTTACATTTACATTCTTTAAATGTGTGTAGAATAAAAAAAGAATGCTGGACGGACAGTTAGTTTTGTTTTTCTTTTTCACTTTTTTGCTTTGCTTGGCTATTTCTCGCCTTCTCGCTTTCTCTTTCCTTTCTTTCGCTCGCTCTTTCTCGCGCTATCCTTGTTATCCTTCTTGCCACGTGCAATTCAGTTCACAAACGCTGCAAGAGAGTGTATAAGTGTGTGTGTCTGAGTTTTAAAATACCGTTAGGCCGCGCTTTGCCGTTAATGCGTGTATATTTTTGAAGCCCAGAAAGGTGACGATGGTTATTTTTATGTAACCTCGAGTGTTACGAAACGGAAACACGCGGCACGGCACCAATGAGCTCAACTCTCGTCGTCGTCGTGTTTAAATAATAAAACTCCTTCGATGCATTTGAGAGGGTAAGGGGCGAGGCAGGGGGCAGGGAAGGGGGTAGGAGACAGAGCGGAGCCACATGTAATTTTCAATTCATTTGGCACGCTTTCACTCACACACATACTCGCACAACCGACTGGAAACAGGCCGTGCACATGCAAGCCCCCCTAACACACATACACCCCTACAAGCGGGCTAGAAACTCTCACATACACAGGGGCGTAGAGAAAGGGGGTTTGGGTTGGGGGAGAGAAAGAGAGCCAGCTCCAATCGAAATTATGCGGCAAAGGACCTCCGCCTCTCAAAGGAGTGAGTGAGTGGGCTAGAGTGGAGCCAACTTCTTGTGCCTAGCACGAAACGATTTTTTAGGAGGCCCCATATAAAAAGATTTTGTAAGAACCCCTCCCATACGTTTTTCCAAGATCAATTAAATGTAGTTGAACTACAATTTTCAGGTATTTTGGTTTGGGGACATTCTCCAACCCCCCTTCCCCCCACCGACCCTTTCAAGCTCTTGTGACGTAGAGTTGCGTGCTCCCGTTTGTGAGTGTGCCTATGTGTGTGAGTGTCCGACTTGCGCCTGTGTGTGTTTACTCAAGGTTCAGGTTACGCGGTGAACACGATGACAACGGAACGGGGATTACGCATTTTCAATCACAATTCAAGCAGCACACTTGCTATATTTCTAACACACTGTTTACCATGATGGCACAAGAACAATGGTGACCTGATTGCGCACGGGGTCAAAAGTAGCTAGCACTGAACAAGAACAATCGCCTCAACATTCACAACGCTCCACATTTTCTTTCGTGGCATTTTTGGGTTCCTCTGTTTCTTGTTTCGGTGGCCACAATACACAGAGACACAGAGCGACAACGACAACAACGACAACGACAACTACGACGGCGACAACCAAAAAAAGGAGCAGAGGCGACAACACGACGGCTGAACTCTTCAGCGAAAGGACTGCCTGCCACTGGCAACGCTGCAGCGGAATTAAGGGCCCAAGTCCATCTGGAGCTTCGGAGCGGAGCGGAGCTTTTGCCTGCACCGCCGCCAACGAGGGAGCTCAAGTTTCCCTTTTAGCTAGTAAACGGATAGATTTAGCTACTTTGGCCAGGAATGTCTCATTGGAGGCTATTTAAATGCTCTCCATTTGGCTAATCGGGTTAAAGCCTGGCTATTTCTAGCTTTTAAGGTCCCTGCTCGGGCGCCATGCTATAAAATAGGTCCTCGTAGTGGGTGCTGTATTTTGGTTGTGTTCAGAACAACATTTTCATATCATACTTATTTAACACAACATTTTGTAAAAGATTTCAACCGAGTCCACCCCCCAATAAGGCCCTCGAATTCCATCATGAATTCGCGCGTGACTCCAGGATTCCCCCAAGGAATGTTTTATTTGAGGCAATAAAAATGTTCTTTGTTTAGCTAATCTAGTAACTTGCCTATATTTAGCTTACTCCATTTTGTAATGCGCCATGTCAACAATAAGTCCAATTTTTGTTACATTTTGTACATGATGTTTTATCAAACCTAAGCTATTCTTAGTTGATAAGTCATAATAACCGAAGAATCGATATTTAAAATGGCGTTGGTTATGACAAAAAAAAAACAAGGATTACTTACGAACCGCTTCACAAGTTATTAAAAATATTTATTTAGTTTTAATTAAAATTTAGTTTTATTTACAAAAGGTGTACAAACTTTATCGCCGCCTAAATATTAAATTTTTAATTATTTTCTGCTCTAAAATATCATATCCCATTTTATATTTATAACTTATAAGGAGACATCGATGTATGATTAAAGAACTGTAATTTTTGTTATAGTCCCCGCAGATACATTTAGCTATCATTATTCTTATCCCTGAACCTTTTCCGTCTTGGCATCTCTGCCCAAAGCTCTCTCTCTGTGGCCCATTCTCCCATTCTCGGAGCAACGCAACAGCGGCCAGCGATGACGTAAAGCCAGCCGGCGCAGGCGCCCGCCGATCCCCGCCAGAACGAGAGAGGACTTGGAGTCCGCTGGGCGAAAGCTGAGAAGTGTCAGAAGTGGCGTAAACAGCAGGGAAACGTAACGAGTTCGAGTTCGCCTGTTTGGAATTTTCTCGGCTCGCCCAGCCACACGGGGAAATGGTGGAAAAGTGCAGAAACGCAGCATTTGTGGCACTTGGTTAGCTAAGGATCCGAAAAAGGAATTCCAATAAACCGTCGAGACCCGTCGAGGAGTGAGCCATGTGCGGGTTATGAAACGATTTTGGTTGGGCACACAACTGTGCAACTGTGACTGCGATTGCGATTGCGATTGCCAGTGTATTGGTGTGGTTAAACCTGCCCCCCATTTCCACGCCCCCCTTTTTCCCCTCGTGTGCGTGTGTCCCAGTGGAAGGAACGTAAATAAACCTCAACACTCGAAGCTGAAACATCCATAATTTACATGTGAGTACTGCTGCTGCTGTGGCATCTGCCCCATCACAATCGGAATTTCGATCCGAAATGGTAATCGAACACAGATCCTTCGATGACCCTCAAAATCATTGCCTACTTCTAAGCGCATTTCCTTTTCCATTGATTCGTTTGGTTTGGCATGCAACTAGAATTTCTCCCCGTGGCCATTGATTATTCCATTTGTGAATGTGACTGTGCCAGTGACTGTGATAAAACAAAAGTGGAGCGTGTCCAAGTGGTGGTGACAGTGGCAAGAACAATTGTGACCAACATTGTGGTACCCTGTAGAGAGTTTAAGTTCTAAACTAATCGCCTTCAAGTAGTTCTATCCCGATCCGAACTTCCCTTGGTCAATATTTTACCACTTGGGAGTCAAAAGATTTTTAAAACTATTAACAACTACGTCATTCCTTGTTTATTTTTATCAAACCAACTTTGTGATATCCTGTAATCAATTGAAGATTATTATATTCGTCACCAAGTATTTCTATTCACATGCGAACTTTCCTTAAAAGTTACTCTTAAAAAGTTCTCTCAAAAACTACGTCATTCCTTTCTAGTTTTATCATACCCGTGAAATTAATTTTTAATAGATTTCTTGTCAGAACACGGAAGTTTTTTATAAAAATAGATAGGAAGATTTCCTTTGTTCAATAGGTCAAAACGAAATCACAAAATATCCCTAAATATAAATAAAAACTTAAATACAATATGTACACATAAATAAAACGCTGAAACTAAATACTATTTCATAGCATAATTAGTTTGAACATTTTATAAAGAGTTTAATTTCATATTATTTTATAGCTTTTCATAGTTGTTTCAGCATGAAAATTTCTAGCAATTAAAATAAATTTTCTTAGTAATGGCGGCATAATATCACCTTTATTATCAATCGTACTAATTACATTAAACAACATTTAATAATAAATAATTTAAGCAATTAAAAATTAAGCCGCCAAAGAGTGTTGAAAATGGGCTAGTGTTGGGCAGCGTTCGAGAGTAGGGGATTTTTGGTGAAACGCGTTAGGCACTTTCAGCCATCACAGATGATTAATAAAAACAGAATTTAATTTGACGCAAAAGGAAAGTTAAACAAGAAATAAGGAGCTGCCATGGAAGTCATGCTGATGATCATCTTCTTCACCATCTTCTGGGCGGCGGTGGCCAAGTTCGGACCCCTCCTGGTGACCAAGGACCCCCACGATGACCTGGTGCGCTGCATATTCCTCCTCACCGCCGTCGTCTGCTGGCTTTTCTGGCTCTGCTGCTATTTGGCGCAATTGAATCCGCTGCTGGGACCAAAACTCAATGGTAATACTATCAGGATCATCGCCGCGTCATGGGGGAATCCCATCAAGGAGGGATAAGGAAATTCCCGCAATGAAATCCCCACATAGTTAATCTCATCATTTCCGGATTTCCGCATCGGCAGCCACATCACACAAACGGAGATTACGCGGAAACAATAGCAATTTGCTTAAATATTTTTGTACTTTAATACTGGCACGTTGATAAGGTCGGGCTATACCATCCCCAGATACAACCCACTATTTCAAAACTAACATCATTAACTTATATCTCCCGATATTGTAAAACTCCCACTTTGAACTTGATATCTCAACCACTTTGATCAGCATATCACCTCTTTTCTATTTAGTGTTTTTTGTTTATTATTGTTTTTTTACAAAGCACTAGCCATGTTCTTCATTAATACAACTTATGTGAAAACTTTATAGAACAGAGATTTGCGATTTAACACTTTACAGACTTGCCACATATGCGATTTTTGTATAGTAAAAAAGATTATTATGAACCTATTGTTTCCCCTCTTTTTGTAGATAATTGTACTAATCAGTCATTGTATTTGTGATTTAGTTATTGGCAAATATAGAACAATTTTTGCGTTTACTATACGTTTTTTGTATGTTTCTTATTGGTTTAGTTGTAGTCATCATAAGTTTCCTAGAACAATTTTGATAAGGTTCTCAGTAAAAAGTTCTTCCGTTGTAAAATTGAACTGAAAACTCTGGAACTGATAGCCTCTAAATGTCGAAAAAATCCATAGATATTTCCTATAACTATTTGACGAAGTTTATACTCTTCTACAGGCCTGAAAAGCAATTTTCATTAGATTTTCAGTAAAAAGTTCTTCCGTTGTAAAATTCAACTGAAAACTCTGAAACTAATAGCTTTTAAAAATCGTAGAAAATATTATACAAATATAGATTATTTCTATCCATAAATATTTTCTATACCTATTTGTCCAAGTTTATGATTTCATTTGTAATTAAATTCGATTTAATTTGTTCATTTAAATAGCACTATGATCTCATAGTTTATTTCTATAATAGAATGATTCAGTAACTTCCTACTCTTATGTACCACAATCTCTTTCCAAAAGTGAAAAATCTTTTAGGAACTTTGTATTACTTTTAATATGTTGCATTTCCAAATGGGTTTACTGTATGAGCACATTGATATGAACATGAATATGAAAGGGGCCTAGGGGAGTGGTTGACCACCCATAACCATAACTGGAGCAAACACAAAGCCACCGCACATGGCACTCGGTGCACTTGCACTCTTTTCGCCATGTGGAGGCCGACTTAATCAATGGGAACTCTCGCTGGGAACGGGATGGATGCCGATTGGAGCCAGCTTGGCGGGCGTGGGCGGAGGTGAAGGGTGGTGTTTTCAGGTTTCAGGGTTCAGGGATCCGGAGTTCGGGTGCTCGGGGATGCTCTGCTCTTTGTGTGGTGTGTGAATGCGGAACTATTGATTTTGCAATAAAAGTGCGCGCGCAGAACCGAGATTTGTGTGCCAAAAGTGAGAGCAGAAATTCACGAGACCCGCCACGATGTGTGGCATGTTGTCGGCGGTCAGTGAGCTGGAGGAACCGAAACCGAAGCCGGAGAGCTGCTGAAAAGCCAGGAGACCCCACGGAGAACCGAGAGTCGAATGCAGTCGCCAGTGCGGAGCAGAAAGCCTTGGGTCACGAGCCACCAGCTGCCAGTAACTCAGTCGAAGGGAAAAACTAATAGCACTGCTCAATAATTAGGAAATAAAATTTAAATAAATTATAAAAACCAATAATAAGCCAGTAATTACAGAAAAAAGATATAACCCAACTACAAAGGCATTGATTCCTTCGAAAAAAACACCAGGACACGTGATGCAACTAACGTATGGCTGGGTAACCCAAGTGATTAAAGTGAATTTCTGTGGGGTCAGCTAGTTAGCCAGCCAAAAATCGATAGGTTGTCCCAACCGTCGAAGGAAAAACGTGTCCTCCAGCTGGAGAAACGTGCGCAGCCTGCAAAAAGGACTCACGGAGGAAAAGCCAGAGGAAAATCTCAACCTACGCAGGGTTATATAACAACATATATACAACACCGCCCACGCAGTTTTTCTGCAGCTAAATCGATAGACTAAAAACCGACATGACGAGCTTCTAATTGGATTGCACGCGAGGGATTAACCACTGGGCTTTACCACAACTACAAGTTAATACCAGGAATTACAGGGTAACAGCGATGGGCAAGAAGAAGGTGCCCGTTGAGGACCTAGTGGTCCCACCGCAGGACACTCGGATATGCGGAACCATATGCATTTGCCAGATGACTTTGGTCCTGAGTTCCGTGGCCTTGGTTTATCTCACGGTGGCCATCTATATGCCATCTACAAGGGCTTTCAAGAGCGGCATCGATCCCACGCCGGTCATGTGCACCACCACGCGGGCGGTGAACAAGGATAACTGCGAGTGGGGCAGCTGTGGTGAGTGGTGCTTGAGCAAAACCTCGGGAGCCTGCATCCAAATCTACGTGAATCTTCGCAGCAATGGCAGTAATTTGATATTCCAAAATTGCACCAACTCGGCGAATAAAACATGCTATGGAATAGATCAAGATCGGGCGGATAAGGCAAGATGCATCAATGATGAGTGCAAGAATCTCACGGGAACCTTCAATTGCACCGCTGGTCAGTGCTTGAATATCACCGATGCCTTCGAGTGCGTCTTCCACAACAGTGATGCACCAGTCAAGTGTTCGGGGCGGAGAGGAAAGATCAATTGCATGGATATTAGTGGGTTATATTCCTGTAGTCGAGGAACCTGTAGGAAGATAAGAACCCCCTACAATTGCGATAGGCGTTGTGTGGATATACCAACCAGGAATAAGAACGTGGTGGTTCTCAGCGGCGATAAGGTCTATCTATCCCAATGTCAAAATGCCATTAATGCTGAGACCCTCGAGGAAGTCTGGAACGAATCCAACGATAATGTGGCCATGACATCCTGTTACTTTATCAAACACACCTCCGATCAGGTGGATGCGGTGGATTGTATCAATGGTTCTACGCTAGAGCACAATATGCTAAGTGATCTAACCAATTTCACATATCTGAGCCACCTGCACGTCTCGGTGGCTACACCAGTTCCGGAAATAGCACCACCCGATGTGGATTTGACCATTTCCAATGAGTCCAAGCTGATGATTAATCTGGAGGGCTGTGTAAACACCCTAATGGATGAGTGCAAGGAGTTCCTGAAGGACTTTGGCCGAGATGGTAGCGATCATAATGCTAGGGCCAGGTTCCCCTGCTTCTATTCACCCGGCAAAAAGGATGTGGTGGTGGCCCGTTTCGATCTGGAGGTCACCTATCGCCAGTTTGTGTTCGCCTCGGTGGTGCCATCGGTACTCTTTGTGGTCTCCTGTTCGATCCTGATCATGTGCCAGACCACCGTCTATGTGGGCGATGATGCCAAGATGCGGTTCAAGGGATGTGTGGATACGGAGACTGTCTTGAATAAGAACAATGTGGGCGCACCCACCAACGGAGACATGGGCGGGGGCGGCGGCGATGAGGTTATGGCCCTATGAGATCCGTCACGTAAGATATATATACTATATGGGATCTTAACTATAATGTATTCTATTCTAATGACTTGCAGTCTTTGCGGTAGCCCACATGTGACAGGTCTACCAGGTGTTCTAGGTCTCTGGAGTGTTCTACTTTTGAAATCTTTTATACCAAATTCCATAGAAAATAGAGCAGTCTCTAGAATTATCCTAACTAAATAGTCACAACTTTTCTTTTTTTAAGAGCGAATATAATAGAAAGTGATCTAGTAAATCTTTACAACAATTATTATACAGATATTTTAGATAGTCTTTTATTTTTCCCTGAAAATCCTCATCTAAATACTTTAAGTAACATACAATCCTATGTTTTGCAGGCATATAAGAAATAGAAATAGGTCATTTTTAATGACATAACCTAAAAATCAATCCTAACTTTCTCTTTTGAAGAGCTAATAGAAAAGAGCTTCCTAAAACGTATCTAACAAATTTTAATAACTCCTATTTCCACAGATATTTTAAATAGTTTTTTACTTTTTCCTTAAAACCTTAATTTAAACCCCTTAACTAACATACAATCCTATACTTTCCAGGCATTCCTCTGCTCCAGGAAGACAGTCCGACACACCAGACGGGAGTCTTCGCTTTGCAATAATTGGAGTTGGGCACCAGCTGAAGTCAGAAACACAATCGAGCAACTTGAAATTCTTTGTAATCCTTCCATCGAACTTTTGACACTCCAACAAACACACAGAATACACACACAGAGACACAAAGACCACACCTCCTAAAAAGGCTTGCAAGGACACTACTGAGCTAACTGAAACTCAAGAACCGATATCCCATGCGAGGCGCTTGACATTCTCAAGATACGACTAGATCGACAGATCTGAAGACAATATTAGTTTTAATTTTCGACTCTTAAGTTGAGCATTTTTTTGGGACTAGAGGGCCAGAGGCTGCAGGACTTGTAGGATAGCTGGAGATTTAAGGGCGGTGCGAGAGATTAAATTTAAACAAATATTTGCTATTATGGAACTTAGTTTTATCTAGGAAATAAACGCACGCACACACACCCAAATGCACAGCAAACACACACAACCACACAGAGATACACCCACACTCACACGACACCAGAATCGGCTGAAGATATAGAAGATATATACATAGAGAAGAACCAGGTTCAGTCACCGGGAGAGAGGGCAGAGAAATTCAAAAATGGCTTAGAGTGAGGGATGCGTGATCAAAAATAAAAATCTAAAAGAAATCTCGTAACGACAAACTAGTCGATGAAGTCAAAGCAAAAAAAGTTAACCCCCAAAAGGCTAACAGAAAACATAATAAGCATTAATTTAGAACTAATCAATATACAAAGAGAAAAACCCAAAAACATAATACAAAGTAAGAAGAAACATTTTCCATTTCGGCTATAAAAATAAGGGAGATGGGCAGAAGGAGATTGTTAGAAGATTAGGCTAAGTGAAATCTCCAAAGAAAGCGAGAAAAAGAGAGAAAGCAAGAGTAGAATCTTAATTGTTGTAGAAAGCGCGCATGTTAGCGGTGTTCATTTTAAAGGCTTTTACCGATCCAACAACTACAATCTAAGCACCCCAAACACACACACACCCAACACAACCAAACCAAATCTCCGCCATGAAGAAGAGCTCCACGCTGACCACGACCACGTCGATGCCGGCGAGTCCGACGCTCTCGGCGCAGACGCTCTCCGCCAGCAAGATCAGTCTGAACAGCAGCCGGTGCGGCTCGGCGGCCTCGGGTTCGGTATCGGGATGCGGATCTGGATCCGGATCCGCAGCAAGATCCGCCTGCCAGTCGCCGGTGCGGCCGGGCAGCGGATGCGTGGACGCCATCAAGGCCAAGCGCGAGGAGATCGAGATGGAAACGCTGCTCGAGAAGGCAAAGTTCTATACCTCCGTGTGCCTTGGTGAGTCTAGAGTACCAGCTGTAAACGATGCAGCGTCCTAAACATTTTAAATTTTTCATTCTACACTGTCTTTTCAACTTATTGGACTCATAAACCTACTATTACATTGGTTTAAAACTAATAACAAATCTTTAAAGCTGCCGCTGCATCGTTTACAACCTATTTAACGCTAATTAGAGTACTGCCTCTAAACGATGCAGCGGCCTATACATTCCAATTTGTCATTATAAACATTTCACTGGTGTAAAACTAATAATAGAGGTTTAAAGACAGTTAAATTTATATTTAGAGGCTGTCGTTACATTGTGTAGAACCTATAATCTACCTAGAGTACTAGCTCTACACGTTGCAGCGGCCTATAAACTAGAAATTTGTCATCATACATCTTTCACTATCTTATTTATTAGTTTTATGTGCTCATGGGTGATATATCCATTGTTTCACTGGTGTACAACTCACAATATATCTTTGAATACACTTAAAACTATAATTTACAGTCGGCCGCTGCATCGTTTAGAACCTATTTTCTACTCTGGCACTTCCTTAACTAACTAGCCTCTATTTTCCACACAGGTACGACTGCCATTTTGTCGGTGTTCACATTCCTCTTCCTGATACCCTTCGTCGTGGACCCCGCCATCTCAACGATCATAGCCGATTATGATCCGGTGCCGGTGACCTGCATTGTCATCGATCACATCTATGCGGAGGGCATCAAGAACTGCAGCTGGAGCTCCTGCCGCGAGGGCTGCACCTCATCACTCACCAAGTGAGACTCTGAATACCAAGAAAATATATAGTTTTACTAAGACATATTATCCGATAACCAGGTGCCATCAGTTGTTTGTCAACTATACGCGCATACCGTTCAGCGAATGGGAGCGCAATCCTCGGGACCTGGACACGGTCAACTGGGATGTGAGCTATACCAAGTTTCTGATTAACTCAGAGGGCTGTGGCTATCCGCCCACGACCAATTGCAGTGTATTTGCCAGGCAATACGGGTGAGTTACGGATTAAAGCTTGAAAAATATCGATAGTTTCGATATTTTCAAAATGTTGTATCGATAATATCGATATTTTCGATATTTTCAAAATATTGTAACGATAATATCGATGTTTTGTATTAAGAGTTCCCCTACTTAAACTTTATCTTAAATCTTTAGGTTCTCACACATCGGAGAGCCCTTTCCCTGCTTCTACAGCAGGGCCTATCCAGAGGTGGTCATCGGTCGGTACTCGTGGGAGAACAACCTGTACCATTTGATCCTATCCTTGATCATACCGAACGTGCTCTTCGCCATCTCGATCGGGGTGCTCAGCTATTGGTACTGCCCGTGTTGCGAGAAGGCCTGCAATAAGTCCTCACGGGTCTACGCCGAGAAGTTCCCGACCAAGGAAGAGTGAGTGTGCCATTCATGTACCAGCGCTGTCCTGCATCTTGTTCTCATTCATTGCGAAAGTTTGGCAAATTTACCCAAAAAAAAACCCCCGTAACCCCCCGTATATTTGTATATTGTAGTAGACACTCACCCAAAAACCATGGACATATAAAAAAACTCATTGTGCCTTGTATGAAGATATTGATATTGTCGAAAAACAACAAAAAAAGTCGTATTGTCATGAATGTAACTTTTACTTTCTGTTAATCGTTAAGATATTGGCCTGTTCCATAAGTCGAAACATGAATGTAACCCTTAGTTTTCGTATTTATTTCCTTCTTCCTCCTATAAGCCTTTATATTTGATTGGCTCCTTTGTTATCTATCTTTCTCTTTACTACTCTATATTACTTTCAGGATCGTTAACTGCATGAAATGTAACACGGAAAAGTCGTTGTCCTTGAATGTATTTTGAATATGATCTAATCTAATCAATGCCAGAGTGCCTGAACTTTGATCCCCAGAAAAATGTATTGTGATAGGTTAAGTGCGATGGTATTTGATATATTCATTTGAATCCCAGGATCCCTCGATTCGGATAACTTGCACATATATTGTGTGGCACCCAGTTCGCTTTTCCACTGAAAAAAAAAAACACCCACATCAAAATGAAAACCCTAAATGTTACTCTGAAGTGTCCTTAGCAATTACTGCCTTCCTTAATATTCTCCAGTTGTAGTCTTGGAAAATCCAGCACCTCAAGGATTTTCTCAAACGCACAATAAGTAAATCCCATTCAAAGGGTATTTCGTATGCTATATACACACATTCACTCAAAAAATAAATAAAACAATCAAAACTCACAAGAAAAAAACTCAAAATATTACAGATCTAGATTCAAAACTATACAGATAAATTACAAAAAGGTTTCTTTCAGGTTTAAACTAATTAGATCCCAGCATTTCCCTCATTTTTCTCTATTTATCTTTACCAATAGTTATATAATTACATATCGCATACCTTGCAAATTTAACGATCTTATACTAGAAATGCTTTAGAAAATGTTTTTGCATGCTTTTGGTTTAAACCTCTTATCAAATATATTTGTTAGTTTCGGTTCTAGAATGGCATGATCCGTTTATCCCAATCTACTTAGCATACATATATATTATATCCGCTTATATATCTGACTAGCATTGATTAAGAACTCTCTGTTCCAATCGCATTCCAATTCTAGCAAACTTCTGTGTCACAGTGACGAAGATGATGATATGGAATACTAGCAAAAATAATATTAGTTAAAGCCCCTAACAAATAGCAAATTCAACTTTGTAGTCTGTACCACACACACACATAGCTTACCTAGATATATATACAAAAAGGAAACATACAATATAGAAATTCCATTTGCCATCACATCGGACGATATATATGAAATATATATATGCAAATCAAGCGGAGCATCGCCGACGGAGTAACTTTTTCTCAGCCATTTTATTCGAAATTTTGCGCTCAAGAGATTTGTTAACATAACATACAAAACTTTGCCATCATATTGTTACGCTAGTTATAAATAATATAACGAACTTTGGTTGGCTTAACTGGCTTTTTTGGAGGCGGCATGCGATGCTCCACGCTCTCGACTTCGAATTCCACAGAGATAATACCAATACCAATTAAAGAATCGCTTGTTTTCAACAAATTGTGATAGTAGTCATAAAAATATTAAGTAAATTCGTAAAACTAACTAAAACGGAAAGCGAAAACCAAAACCAAAAAAAGAAACCAATCAAACTAAAACAATTGTATAGAACCGATTCCGCTCCGGGCCGTAAAAAAGAAAACCTAAACTCCCGGCAAATATTTATAGAAAACGCGGGGCGGTACGGACACATCCAGAAAGATAGAAATACCACAAGATACCAGATACAATCCACATTGGGGATAAGCAGCGGAACCAAATTATATTCACTCACAACAACACGCTCACATTGGGACACTCTCAACATTTTTGAAATAGTTTTAACGATCTTATGTAAAAACCAACATCTAAACGGATTATAACAATATATATATATATATACATAGATATATACGTATACATATAGCTTAGCAGAACCGATATAACGCACGTTGCTTATGAGAATTTTTTAAATCATACAAACCAAACCGAAGAACAAACCAATTTGAATGCAAAACGATTAAAATTTTTTACTTAACGTGTCTTTATCAATAAACAAATTAAACCAGCTAACGGCCTATTTAATAAACAATTAAAAAAAAATGAAAGAAACCAAACAAATGTGGAGAAATGCAAAAAAAACCAAAGCTGTTTTTATTTATCATGTTTTTTTGGGAGAGAGAAAAGCGTTTGCACATTGGGACGAAGTATCATTTTTTGGCACACAGTCCAAAATTATTTGGTGCAACTTTTTTATTTTAATATTTGTATTGATAATATATTTGTTGACACATTTTCTTTAAAAAAAGAATTAGATTTATTACCAAAAATAATACAATTCATCCCAATGTGCGATTGAAGAGGGGGAATTCTCTCCAGGCGCAGGCGTGTTTCTAAGGATCTGGAACCATTTGTTGAGCTGGCTCCATCCCTGTCCCGGTTTCCATTTCACTCAAGGGTTTGTGTTTGGCTTTCACTTTCGTTTGAAAAGTAAAAGTGCGCAGTGTCCTTTTTTATTCGCCAGCCCTGGCATTCCGCACTCCTTCCGTTCTCCCGGAAAGTTCAGTCAGGACTCGGTAGCTGTTGGTTGCGGACGTGCGAAAGTCGGGGAAACTAAGGACCACCAAGCAAAACGGAACTCATTCATCAAACATAGACGTCCCAAATTCCTCACCTTCCATCCATAGAAACCCCCTAGTTTTAAAGTCCAAATATAAATAACTAAAATACAAAGCTAACTAAAATAGAACACCACCCACTAAATACAAACAAACAAACTACCCACCAAACCACCAACCACCACCACCCCAAAAAAAGAAACCCACCCAGCAAACAAAAAGGAATCACCTTGAAAACGGAATAGGTTGAAAATATAAAGACAACCTTTGTGGGCCGGAAAGTGGGCCACCAAATCAACAAGTCGTAAATTAGCTGGCAATTAGCATAGGAAATTCAGGTGGAGATCTCCTCCTCCTCCCAGGATAAATGGCGCGGCGCAAGGACAAACCGCGGGTGATTCCCGAACAGGATACGCGCATCTGTCGCGCCATCTGCCTGTGCCAGCTGACCATGGTCCTGTCCTGCGTGTCCATCGTCTACCTGAGCGTGGCCATCTACTCTCCCTCCTTAAAGTGGGTACCTAGTTATATATAACCCTGAAACCCCCTATAATATATCCTGTTTTTATAGAGCCTTCAAATCGGGCTTCGAACACGATCCTGTGATGTGTCAAACGGTGGATCGTCAGATGCCCAATAACTGCCCCTGGGCATCCTGCGGAGAATGGTGTTTGACCAAGACCAGTGGCTTCTGCCCCCAGATCCACTCGATAGTGCGAAGGAATGGCACCGATATACAACTGAACAATTGCACAAGGGTTACGAACACATCATGTGCCATGGTGAGTTGGGGAATTTAATTTATTTAATTTAATTTACTTATTTCATCTCGAAATAAAAAGTCAAGGGAAATTTCGCCTTGATTTTAAGAACGTTTCTTCTTAAAAACGTTTACAGTTACATAGTTCCAGTGTCACAGATTTTGGGTAATGTTTTTAAAAAAGGGTCTTTTATACATTCTTTTTAAGAAATTCCAGAAAAGTTTTCAAATCTCTTTAATTTTGATTTTCCTATACAAAAAAATTGTGTGACCCACTGTAGAGCTACAATTCTACCTTAAACTATAGGCCCAACCCTTGACCACCCACTGTCAAAGACGTCATCGTCTTGGGCATCCCACTATAAATGAAGGGAAAATTCTACCATGACTCATCCCTAGCCCACTTAAGGTTGTGGCTAATAATGGCCAGGCGATGAGGCATGTCAAGTATTTGCCCCTCAGTCTTAATGGACACTTGGCGCCACGAGAGTTTAACGATCATTGAAAAGCCATTATCCTTCGTTCGATGTATCCTTGCAGATTGACCTGAGTCGCCTGAACAAGTTCAATTGCAATAATGGCACCGCTTGCAATAACATCAGAGGGGTCTTCAACTGTTCCAATGGTAAGTTATCAACTAGTAAATATCTATAAGATATCCTTAACTGATTGCTTTCATCACAGGACACTGCAAGAATATGTCCGAGTTTTTCCTATGTCACCACAAGGCAGATGGACACACGATCAATTCGCAGAAGGACAACACCAAGCTGAATGGATTCTTTGAGTGTCATGGGGTGCATTGCACCAAGATCAAGAAGCCCTTCAGCTGCGATCGTTATTGCTCCAAGATAACAACTGCGAATGTTAATACGCTTATTATGCATGTAAGTTCAAAATAATAGATACTATCATATTTGGTATTCTTAAAATCAAGATGAACTCTTCGCAAAATCGAGAGCTCTTTTGCCTTGATTTCAAGAACTATTATGCATTTAAGTAGGAAATAATAGATAATCTCATAATAGGTTTTCTTAAAATCAAGATGAACTATTCTCAAAATCGAGAGCGCTTTCGCCTTGATTTCAAGAACTTTTCTTGTCAAATAAGTGAGAGAACCAATTCTCAAATTGTGACATTCAATTATGACCTTATTCTTTCTAAATGAAAACCTTAATATTTCATAATAAACTAAATCCCTTTTAGGAGGACAATGTAATCGCAGCCGATTGTGAGAACGCAGTGGCTTTCAACCAGGCCCGTGGATCCGAACATGGCGTCCGCATCGAACCCTTTGAATTTTGGAAGGAGGATGATGGCAACCTGTTGACCAACTGCGCCACAGTAACCCGAGAATCCGATAATCGCATCACGTGAGCTTAGAACCCTTTAATAATAATGAACATATAAGCTAACTGTGTGAAATCCCGAACAGTGCCACGGATTGCCTGAATGGCACCCTCTTGGAACACGACACCTTGCCCGCTCCCTTCATGAACTTTACCCAGTTCTGGGCGATCTATGATAATAGCACTAGGTCGGTGGATCCTGAGCAGAAATATCTGCCCAACCAGGCCAACCTGACCATTTACTCCTGGAAGAAACTTTTCATCAACCTGGAGGGCTGCGTGAATACACTTCGCGGGGAATGCAAGGACTTTGTAGCTCGCTATGGCAACGATGGCGATAACAACACCGCCCAGTCACGCTACCAGTGCTACTATAACAAGGTTCCCTACCCCATTTAAAAAACCACTTCTGGTTTCGGATTACTCAAAGGTTTCTATTACTTCTTTTTACAGGATTCAAATGTGGAGTTTGTGGTGGCACGCTACGATTTGGATAAGGTTTATAGGGAACTCCTGGTATCGCTGATAGTGCCCATTGTGCTCTTCGTGATCTCTTCTATATCATTATGTATCATCACCAAGTCCGTTAAGGTGGGTTTTTTATTAGGGTTATATTTAAAGGATATTTGAAAAACATTAAAAAGGTTTTAAAACAATTAATTGTTTTCAAACCCTGTTATCCCAAAAGAACCAATTTATCCTAATCTATATCTCAAATTTTTAGGTTGGCGACGATGCCAAAATGCGATGTGTTTGTGCCGGCGACGATTCGGATAACGATGATAATGTCTTTGGCGGAGGATTGGCCAACAAACAGCAGGATCAGATGTACGATACGGACGACGATGTGGTCGATCTGGAACACCAAGCAGTTGGAGGACAGGAGCTATCGGACCATGGACTACCCCTAGACAATCAAGAGATGATCGGCAGCACCAAGTCGCTGATACCACTAAGTCCCGCAGGAGATTCAGGAACCAGTGAGCAGAATTTCGACCAGGATCAGGAGAAGGCCACCACCTGCGATGTGCCCGAGAAGCCATTGGTTATACTTTAAAGGGGATTAATATAGAAATAGGATTCCAACTACTGGGAAGACCACACGAGAAACAGCACCAAACTTTATGGACCTGTGCATTGTACAAGGGGAACTGAATTTAAATTCTACTCAGCGCATTTATACAACGTTTATACACCAGCTAACAGAGAACTTTTCTTCGTTGAATAAGGATAATCACACATGTTTACTGGACTAATAGATGATACCCCAGATGGCCGAGCTTTATTTACCGGAGATTCCCACTTTGAACAGTTCCAGCAGATGCGCCTTAGACAAAAGTTGCATTTATATAGACTATATATAGCATAAACCAACTGACATCTGCTGAACCAAAAAAGGTTAAGAAGAAAAAACACCAGGACAGACCAAGGATATAGGCATCCGACTCGCCTTAACTCTCGACTTTGTAGCTATGCAATATTCAACGTTTTCTTAAACTATGTAGTTAAATCGAAGGAACAGCAGTACCTACTTATATCTGATATACTTATACTTATACTCGTATTATAGCAAATAAAACACTATTTGGAATTCTCTCTACAAAACGAGGTACTTACTTTTAGTTCCTCCTGGCGGCGAAAGGCTGCGGCCATCATCTCCTTGCGCATGGGATCGGAAATCACAGCTTCGCGTGCCGGTGGACCATCACCCAGTTGATTTAGCTTGACCACCACCTGAAATTATAAGTTAGGGGATGGTTTATAAAGTAGAGCTTAAAAATGTCGATATTTTCACTATATTGCATCAATAATCGACGGTTTAAAACTATCGAAAATATCGATTAAGTCGATATTTTTAAAGCTCTATTTTAAAAGGAGGAAGGGGTTTTTACCCACCTTTGTCTTGTCGTTGAGACCCAAATACTCGCTCATGACCTTCCCCATCAGCATCTGGCGTCCTGCAAACCAGAATTGCGCCTTGGAGGGCTCGATAACCTCCTTGGAGGCCTGGGTGCCAGTCAGATCCTCGGTGTTGGTGAACTCCATGCGAATGGTGTCGTGGGGCGGCAATTGCATGGGGTAAACGATGGTCACGGCACCACGCAAGAGGTTTAAAGCCTCCTCAATGATCTTAAGGGTCAAGGTCTTCGAGGATTTGGCCAGGCGCTAAAAGGCAAGTGGTAAGATATCAGATATCAATATCATTATTTTAAATGGATATCATTTGTAAAGCCATTTATGAGCAAACTTAGATCGCGAATTCTTCAGAACACGAAAATATCAAGTAAATATTAATAGTTATCAACTTCATATTTAAAGGATCGAGTTTTTCTAAAATGAACAGCATTTTTTTTCTGGTTAGTACAATAGCTCACCCTATCCACCATGGCCTTGGCATCGGCTATAGCACCAGTTAGGACTTTCTGCATCGCCTCAGTTGGCTGCTGTCCATTGCGACGAAGGAGCGGGTCCTTGTTGATAGTAAAACCGCCCGACGGAATGCACTTGTCCGAATAAACATCCTTCAGCTTGAGCTCCTCCCTCTGCTCCTCATTCAAGCCCAACATTTCACCTGGTAGCATGGTGCCATGCTCGGCCAGCTCCTCGATCTCCATGCAGACACGCTGGATCTTCAGTTGGCCATTGTGGAGGGCCACCAGATCTCGCAGGACGACATCCGTCTTCTCCTTGACACTTGTTTCGAACAAGAAGAGGACTTCGTCGCCGCGTTTCACTTGTAGAAGAACCATTTCGAACCACAGAAAATATAGATATAAGAGCAATCAATTGCAGATCAACCGGATAGCTATTTGCAAATGTCACAAAAAGCCGACAGCTGGAACGGCAAACAACTCGGTTGCTAGGACCCGTATCGATGGAAACCGTAAAAAGCTGGGAAGGGGGATTTTCAAAACATCTTACTGCACGTTTATTTTAGATCCTTGTGTCGTAAGGTCGAATTAATATTGCACAATGCGTTTACTTTCTCATTAAGTTCTGCTTACAAACTCCTCCAGCTACAATAAATACTAACCTAACTTACAATAAACACCTGCATCCTTCCTGGGCTTTTTTTTGTCATTTGGTTTTTTTTTTTCAAAGGTTATAAGGTGCGCTAAAGTACAAGTAGCCTAGGGATAATAGTTTTTATGTACAGGGAAGCAGCTATCCTGGGGTTGCTAGCCTCTGGCCGGTCATGTGTGTTACGAACTATGGAAGGGAAACCGCATTCAGGTGGAGGATGATGCCCAAGATGCAGCCCCAGCGATGTGCGTATGAATTAACTAGTAGGTGGAGGTTGACTGGGTTACCTCAGCACGCGCCTGAAGTTCTCCATCTCGTATATGCTGTTGGATAATCTGCAAGAAAGAGGGGAAATTAGCAAATACTGTTTTAAAGTTTAGAAAGTGATATACCCACCTGCCAAAAGCATTGAAGAGCGCCACAATCTCTGTACGCGACAGCCTAAAGATGGGATCCGCTTCGATGTGCGGCTTGTCCCAGAGGCCACTTTCCGTGGCATAATTGAGCTTTTCCGAATAGAGGATCTTCAGAGCTGTGCCCAGTCCCTGGGTCTGCAGTTTGCCCCACAGTTTGCACTTGTCACAACCCACGCAGCTCATGATGCGCGATATGTTGCGGAACTTCTCCTTGTAGTCGTGCTTGAACTTAATGGAAGCAATGCCGCTGCTAAAGAGAGCGTTCTCGTCGAAGTGCGATTGGAAATTTCTACAGAAAGAGAACTTATTAATATATTTTTAAGAAAAAAGAAGATTCCTTTACTTACTCTACTACACTCAGCATATCGTTGATGGCCAGCTTGACCTCCTCATCCTCCTCGGCTATGCCCGTGTAGTAATCCTCGCGACGCAAATAGGGAGCAGCCTTCGCCAAAGCACGCAGTTCCACCAGATAGATGAAGTACAGGTTGCGCAGCCAGTGCGGACCCTCACCGCCTGTGGTTTCCGGACTGAAGCGTCGCTTAAACTCCTTGGCATTGGGACCCCAGATGCCCTGCGGATCCAGGAAGTCCTTGGACTCGGACAGCAGGTACTTGGAGCACAGGTGGATATTTATGCTAGAGTGGAGACCCGAGATAATGCGGTAAAAGGCGCGCTGTTCCAGGCACACGTCCCGCAGATCCAAATGGGGCACATAATTGGAGAACTTGTTGGCCGTCTCGTTGTTGCCACCGAAGCAATTCTCCAAGTAGATACTCTTCCAGATGCGGTGCGCTGACTCGCCACGATAGCCGGTGTATCGCTCGGGATTTAGAAGCAAATCCACATACTGGGAGCCCTCCTCGTGGTCGTCCACTATGCAAAAGTCCTCCTCTGCCTCGTCGTGCTTGGCCCACAGCTCGAATTCGCGGTGCGCCTGGTCGCTGATGCTCGTGTCCAGGAATCCCAGCGAGCTGTCGAAATCCTCGCCATCCGAACAGGCTCCGCCCTCCACTTGCGCTTCCCGCGTGTACTGCAAAGATAGGAATCAGATGAGGAAGTCAGTAAGGTAAGTAAAAACAGTTGTGCAAACAATCGAGCTGAAGTTGTAAGTCAGTCATTATTCCATTGAAGTGGGATGTGCTGGTTTATAAAAAAGAACTGAACAAAAGCTGTTAAATAATACAAAAAGCATTCCTGAACTGCTTTTTCTTTCTTTTTGGTTATCTCTTAGTTTGAAAAATATTCTTATTCACGAAAAAATGCAATAATTAAAGTGAATTATCTTTTTGTTTGTGCAGATAAGAAACACCTGTGTGGAAAACAATTAAAGAAATGCAAAGTAAACTTTTAAATTAAAATATTTCGCATTCTTGGAGATTATCAGTAAAATAATTATTAGGAGTAGGATTATTTAAGTTAACATTATACAATATAGTCCGTATCAAATCAATTTGTTTTGTAGATAATTAAATCCGATCAAAAATATAAAAAAGGGGCGGTTGAACGCTTGATGAGATACTAAAACCACGTCAGCATTGCAAAACGAAATCAAAGGCCACATCATTAACCGCGTACGGTCAATGGGAGATTACAGATGCGGTTCATTCTTGTGGAGCAGCAAACATTCAAATAAAAATAAATCACCTGCAAACCCATTGAGTTTTTCAGTCAGATAGTGGAAATACCACTGATTTCAGATAAGAGTCGAAGATAGCTCGGTGGGGAAAATACCCAATAACTTACCTTAAAGGCGGCCTTCTCCTTGTGCTCGCCCTTGTCCTTGATGCCCTGGGGAATCGCCTGCTCCTCGCAGTTCTCCACCTGGCAGAAGCGGATCGCACAGCGACTGTCGTCCGCCCAGAATGGACACTCCTGCCGCAGGTTCACCTTGTAGAAGCGGAAGAAGTTCTTCACCAGCAGACTCTGCAGCCGGGGATACACCTTCATGTTGTTAAAGTGGTCCACCGTGTCCACATCGCAGCTGCAGTCGTTTATAGATCCCTCCAACTGTGAACAGAATATAAATATCATACAGTTCAGGTGGAGATATTAGCATCTATTTGTTTTATAGGTATGAGTATTGAACTTATTTACGGAAATTGATTTAAGATAGCTTCAGAACCAGTTTATTTTCTTGATATAAAAAGTTTTCTTTATAAATCACTAAAAAGTTTAATATTATTATCTTTTTTTCCAGAAAAAAAAATTTTTATTTTGTTTAAATTTGTGAAAATTTAAATTTGATTTATTATAGAAAAAAGATATAGAGAATTTCTAAAACCAAATCAACAAAAAGGATAGTTACAAAAGGATCTTATGATGAAACCACTGCAAATAATGATGAAATAGGCTCATTTATAAGTCCTAAGAGCCCTGAGGATATATGATATAAGTTCCATACTAAGTTTACCATATACTATATACGCTAATTCGATTTAAACCCACCTCGCAGAAGCAGTTTTTGCTAGTTTCCTTCTCATCGATTGCGGCAAAGTATCCCCTTGTGGAGTCCGTCCAATAGAGGAGCAGGATGACGACCACCAAACCGGAGGCCCAAAGATTTCGTTGGACTCTGCGTGTAGTCATTATTATTTTTTATCCGTAGATGAGTGATGCTATTTTTGTGACTGTTGCTGTAAGTGGCGCTCCGCTCTCCGTTGTTCCTCTTGTTGTTGTTGTTGTTGCTGGGTGTTTGTTGTTGCGTGCTCAGTTGTTCTCCGTTTCGCCGACGAAGTGCATCTGAATGTGGTTTTCCCAGCGCACTAAACTGAGCACCTGTGACTCGCACTTGGCCAATTTCACGAGTTTAGCGAGTATTTACGTTCCGCAGCAGCAGCATTGTTGATTTACTTTCGATTCATGATTTTGGACACGTACCTTGGCGTTGTGTGACCGCAGTGCCAGGAAATACCACAGTTGTGAAAGTGCAGTGCGGTCACACAGCACAGCAGGTGTTTTTGAATAAGTGGGAGGGGATAAACCTCGCGTATTTGAGCACTTTCACTATTTCCCTTATTATTAGCTAACTAGAAAATACACAAAAAGGATTCTGAAAAAAATCTGGGGTTGCAAGTAAAAGAAAGTTCACCCCGAGACCAATACTTGAACTACACATTTGAATTTGGCGCCATTTTATCCATAATGTGAAAGGGCAACCCTATTTTCTTTTGAAGAAAGAGGTTGCCAGATCATTTGATTTAGAACCAACGGAAAACCGCCAAATTTGAATCAGTGGAAATAGCATAGACATATATTTGTATTTGATAGATCCAATTTTTTATTTTTACAATTTATAAATTATAATATAAGAAATGTATTTTCATTTTGGATTCTTTTTGATATTTTGTAAATATTAGAATCGTTAAAAGAGATTTTTCAAAATTATATTAGGTGAATTTGTTGTGTATGACTACACACAAAAAAATTTGCTTAGTAAAATTGACCAAGAAAGATAGTTACGTAACTATTAAAATAGTTACGTGTATTTTGTTTTTGCTTTGGGTTTGTGTTTTTGGTTTTTATTTATTAATCTTCTTATTATAAAAAGTATTCACACAGATTTAAAAATGAAATTCGAGTATGCCTGCATGCCAAATGACTTTTGCTGATAATATCCAAGATAACATTCAATCGTCAATCAATTGATTGCTAAATGTGAATATTGTTATGGGTTTTTATTCTCTCCAATATTGATGCTGTTAATTAATTACCTCAAATATTGATTTCGCCTATTCTTCGGCGTTGAATGCATCCTTTGTTCCCATGACAAACCCTTGCACCCCTCAAAAGAAAAAGAGTTCGCGACCCTCGATATGCAAATTGAGGAAACTCGGTCAGATCTCGGATTGAATCTTTTACAGCCCAAGATCATCAACATCTTCGTATGTACATCACGCCGGGGGGTGAATTGCTTAGGATGCAGGCCACGACGATGCTGGCAGATCGATTATTTAAACATAAATCGCATTGGGTCTTAAGGAAAATGGACTCAACGGGCTAAATAAAATTTAACCGCAACAGAAAGGGGTTTTGAATTAGAAGTTTAGTTGATTTTAAAAAGTGTTATAAAGTACACATTACATGAATTTTGTTGTTCTAAATGGAATATTAAAAATAACAGAGCTTACAAATATTTTGAACGGATTTCTAAAATTACACATTTTAAAAATGATTTGAATTTATTTATCACATTTTTAATACAAATAGCTTTAAAATTGTAGTATGTTTATTTATATTTATATCTTATATTTTAAATTAAAAAAAATTTCTAAGTTTTTTAAAAATTATTTCAAACCTTTTAATTGGATTTTTAATAATTTATATTCCTCCTTTTAAATTATTTCTTGTGTCCTACATTCTCCCTTCTCTGTATTCCGGTTTTATTCGATTAAAATATATTTTTTCCTCCAAAAAAACTTCTTTTATTCCCCACCTGAGCATCCTATTTCTTCTTATTTCCATCCAAGCCCATCAGAAGTTCTCACGGAAAAAGTGAAATTACAACAACGGGATGACTTAAGCAAAAAAAAAAGAAGAACCTCAAAATAACGGGGAAAAATCTTGGAAAAAAAAGTACCGAACGAAAGGGTTTAATCATCATTTTTTTTCAAATAGGACGATTAATGCAGAAAAAACGCAGACACAAACATGTGTGGCCAAGGGACAGGGCGGCGACCCTCGGCATTGTTCGGATTCGGATTGAAAGGGAATCATCGCGGACTCGGGCGAGTGATTTGCATACGCAGGACGAAGGACGCAGGACGAAGGCCAAACCACCACCACCAACTCCTTATCTATTTGCCTGAGGTCCTCGGCATAAACCAGGTACGAAAACGATCTCACTCGCACTCGCACGGAATGATAAATACTTTTTTTCTCTCGATTTTTTTTTTGATGAAGTTTTTTCACTTTTTTTATACCACTTTCAGTTTTTTTTATGCAGCATTTTATTCAAATTTCTAGCCGATCTGGTCGTGTGAAGTTTTGTCTTGAGAAGATTTTGCCCCGAAAACGAAGAAGGATGCGCGACGGCTGCGTGTCTCTCGGGGGATCGATCGAAAGGATCGAAAGCCTGGGAACATCCGCGAAGGACACGCAGGATTGTCTCTCTGCTCATTTGCCTAGACATCGGATCTAGACGCTTAGAAAAGAAAAGACTAGACAATGTGTAGGAAATGGGTGGTGGTGGATACTAATTAGTATTATCTTGTGTCTATCCCAATTTTAGCAGACTGATGTTGTTATTAAATAGTAGAATTCTTATTTAATCGATGGTACTATCTTATTCTTATTATATTATTTATATAAGAAATCTTTAAATCGGATTAAACTATACAAATCTGGTATTATATTCATAATTTAATACTAAAATAAAAAAATTCGTAAATTAATATAAAAATCATTTTAACAAGTATTCTTTAATGAAATGATATTTTAAATTGAAAATTATTTATTGATTGAATTCAATATTATTTTTTCGACTTACATTATAAGCTACAAATATTATTAATTGCGAACGTAAACCACCATTTCTACTTTCTAACACAAAATATTTATTAAAAGTTCTATTATTTTTAGTTAATATGTATTCACTTACAAATAAAAACATTAATATCACTTACTTTGCAAATAGAATTTTCAATGACCAACCTAATTAAGAACTCTTTTCTTCTACTTATGCAAAATCGTTGACTGATTTCCCCAACTCACCGCAAATCCCCTGCCCAACGGCTTACTCTCAGTTTTCCCAGGCAGTTTTCCCTCTTATGCAAATGCACTTAGTTGCTCATTAGATTCGCGTACTCGTAATTGCAAATCTGCAAATATTTTGGCAACAGGGCGACGTCAACAGCTTCTCAAGAACGCAGGAGATCACAGGATCAGGAGTTGCAAATTAGCATATGTAACAAGATGTTTGGCCAAAGGAAAAAATATATATGCAAGCCAGGCACTTGAGATTTGCATAACTAAGCCGCGGACACAATGCAAATGAGTGCAGAAATTATTGCAACAGGATAGGGGTAAGACTCGTTAATCCGCTAAAGTAGGCACACTCCGGGGGTTCCTTTTCCATTTGCCAAAATCAAGATATAGGGGTGCCAATAAAAAGGGGCTGCAAAATGGCTGTAAAGTGGTAAAGAGTTGGGAATACCAATTCGCCAGTTTTATATTCTTTTTATGGCCCACAAAAAAAGGTGTGAGACAGGTAAACAGGTGATGGTAACTTAAGAGAGAGACTTAAGATCACCGCTCTTCGGGAGAGACACACTTTCTCCGGAGAATTCCCGGCCTTGGCGGCTTACCAACGCTGAGAACCTTGAGTGCTGGTCAGTCGGCTTTTGGCTTTCGCAAGGTGCAGTCGCGTCGTGATCGTGATCTTCTATCCTATTATAAAGAAAAGTGATTCTACAAAACCCCGAGGATAAATAATAAACCTTTGTGAGTGTCTCTTCCTACCTGTTTTCGCTGGACTTTGCATATTGGAACTCTAGTTACAAGTGCTTTTCGGGCTAAAAAACAATTCTCCTGGCTGCCAGCTCACAGTTATGCGTCGTCTGCAAACATACCGTTAAGATCTTGAGATCCCAAAGAAAGAAGAAAGAGACGGGATGGGTTGGGATAACGAAGATCATAATGATGATGATGATGATGTTCAACCGAGAAACAGAAGTCGCTTAACTTGTTCGTGAGCCGCCGACGACGAGCCTAAGGCGAAGAATTCCTCCAACTCTTTGACGTGGTCTTCTACGCGTTTCTTCGCGTGTCTTTTTTATTTCTCTGGTCGGTTCGGGACTTTTATGGAAGTGCTAAAAACGAAAGAAAACCAAACAAAAGAAAACTAAAAAGAATCATTTTGCAAATTGACAAATCAACTACGAATAGTTACAGTGTATTTTACAGTTAAGCCAAACGGTTCTGTTTGTTTTGAAAGAAATCTTTTCTTTTCTTTCGCCTGGCGTGAAATTCAAATTCAGCTAAGTGGAATTCCAAGTGGTAACCATATAAATACTGCCAAGAACCGAACCGAAGAATTGAAAAGCCGAAGAACAGAAAGAAGAACCGAACTGAAAGAGAGAAGAACGATATACGATCGATGTTAATGCCGTCGCGCCTTATGCATCTGACCCAGTTTTTGGTTTTGGTGCCGGACTTGGTATTCATGGTGGCGTAGGCGTGGTGGACTGACAGAATGGGGCAGGAATGTGTGTCTGGGTAACCCAGAAGAACCAGAGAAGGAGAAACGAACGAACGAACGGCTTACTTGACCCAAAATTCGTGCTAGCACTTTCTAGCTAGCCCTCGTATCATCATCAGCTGGCCAAATAAACATAATAATAATAATAATATTTTTCTTGGCCTGGTGAGAAATTTCCGGTTTCTGATAGAAAGCAACCGCACGTGATTGGGGAAGTCCGTAGTTCCGATTCCCCTCTACCGATTCATTTTCAAAGTGCACTTTCGCTAAGAGATCTTGAGATATCTCTGTTGTAGAGGTTTCATTTTGTACTAAGTACTTTCTATTTCATTCATTAAACGGTTTCGTTTCTGTTAATTGTGGTTCAAGAATGCCCTGGCTTTTACCGACCTCTCTTGTTGACTGCTGCCCATAATTATTTGCATGGTCTTCTTCGGTCTTCGGTGTAACCAGTTTTTGGTTTTCGGCTTACAGAGGAGCTCTCTTTGGCCTTAGCCGTTGCCATACTCGTTCTGGGCAACCCAGATACATGGATTATGGATATGGGATAGCCGGAATGAAGATGGAGATGGAGTAGAGTGCCCCGTTAGGCACCGCTACGTATACGTAATATTGAAATGGGGCACCTGCCCCGCAGAACCAGAACCTAAATTGTATAAACCAGTTTGGGCTTATCACATCGCACACCTTGCCTCTTTGAGTGGTACGGGTAATATCTCGATGATGATGATCTTCTTTCTAGGCCAATGATCTCTGTGGGGCAGTTGACCATGCCCCATTACGTCACTTGGGGGCCGGGGTTACATGGCCCCGGGAATCTTGATGATGATGATTCAGTCCCAGCCGCCGACTTTCACTTGACCACCGCTAATTATCTCACCTTTTTCTCCGTCTCTCCACCTCTCTTTTAGATTCTTGTTGAAGACATGAACACGTGCTGATTATTTTGGACCATCGAAATATGCAAAGACATCCCAGCACAATGATCGGGTTTGTTCTGCCCCTGATCTTCAGCATTTTGCTGGTCAGTAAGCCATTGCCTTCGGAGGCTCAGGATGAATCACTGGCTGGCAGTTTTCTATCAGGTAAAAATATTTGACGTATTTAATTTGAATATATTTTTATTAAAAATATATTCTATTTTATTTTTGGACATTTTTCGTATCTCTCTAAAATAATACAATTTTTTAACAACGCTATAGCCCTTTTTCAACCTTTAAAAATTGTAAAGGAAATTCCAAAATAAAACTCAGATAATTCTATGTAACTTAATTTCTTTAAGTTTTATAAAAAAGAAAATATTTTATTAATGTCTTTTTTTATTTTACGTGAAATATATTTCCTAATAATTCGATGTAAAAATAGTTAGCTTAATTGACACATATACAATACATTTTTTTCAAGGTTTTGGGAGAATTCTTTATTAATCATTTGCGTTCTATAAAGACAAAAATTCATAAAATTATACATTTTAATATACATATACATTTTATTATACATTTTTAATCCCACTTTAAGGCCTTTTGGATACCATAACGAGCACAGCAGATGCCAAGGATTGTCCGGGAGTTTGTGTCCACACCTTGGCTACTTTAATTTGCTACGAAGTTCTAGACGATGTGGCTTGTCCTTCGGCCAGCATGAAGTGTTGTATAGAGAATGCTCCAGGTAAAGTTCGACCTTCATATAAACCCTATAACAAACCCTAAAAAGATAAAAACATATTTTTTAGCTGGTAAAAATGCAACTGCTGTGAGGGCGACGACAACGCCAAAAACCACAACCACTGCCAGCACCACTACAACTCAGAGGACAACCACTACGTTGGCCACTACTAGCACCACAAAGCGCACCACCACCACTAGTACCACGGCAAAACCCAAGCCAAAACCACAGACAAAGCGACCCGCCACTAGCTCCACCACCAAAGCCACAGCGGCGACCACCAAGAAACCCAGCACCACCAAGAAGGTGGCCACTGCCAAGCCCAAGGACAAGGAGGAGGCCTCCAAGGCGGACGATTCCAATAGTCAGTTAAAGAAATTCGTTTAAAATAGTATACAATATTTCACAGCTATTAAAATAAGTTTAAGAAATATTTAAAATTATTTTACAACTATTGGAATAAGTTAAAGAAATTTTACAATTATTGCACTGCAGACCAACGGTGTTCTTATAAAATGGATAAACGTCCTTAAAAAAGTTCCTTAAAAGTACAATGAAGTAAATATTTATTTTATAAATTATCCGTTGACTTGTAATTTTTTAAAATTTTTGAGCTTACAAAAATTAGTCTGAATATAATTTTTAACGAATTATAAATGTAAATACCTACTCTTAGGTACATTTAATTTTGAATAGGTGTATACGTATTTTAGTAGTATTTTTGTATGCACATAATATTTTAAAAATGTTCTATTTACTTATTTTTTATTTACCCATTTTTTAAAGAACGTTTCCAACGAATACTAATTATTTTTCCCATATTTTCAGAGGACTGCACCGGAGTTTGTGTAGCGGATCGCATTGCGGAGTACTGTGAGGCCTATTTAACTAGCGATGGTCTGTGCAAAGAGGGCACCAAATGCTGTGTTTCTCTGGACGAATACTCCAACGGCAAGCTGCCTAAGGATATCTACATTCCAGCCAGTAAGTACTAGCCACCACAAAATAATAATTTTCTTTTTATAAAATATTTTCTAAATACCAGAACACATGAGCAACTTGAAGCCCAATCAGACGCTAGCCGAGAAGTCGGCTCCCTCGAAGAGTTCCAGTACCTCCACTAGCAGCACCACTAGCACCACCAGCACCACCTCAACCACTCCGGAACCGGCTAGAACCAATAATAGTTCCCCCAAGCCAAGCAAGCACAAGAAACATCCGACGACGACTACTACAGAGGCTGCCGAGGAGGATGAGGATCAGGAGACGGAGGAGGATGGCGAAGAGGAGGAGCCACCACTGAGTAACAAACTAAAATCCGGTCAAGGTCAAGGTCAAGTGCTTAAAGAATGCGAAGGAGAATGCATGAATGGGATATTCGCCATCTTCTGCGATGACATCGATTCGGAGGCCTTTTGTCCCGGCGAAGGAAGCTGTTGTGTGACTGGGAATGCTTCGGAGGCACCACCAGCCTCCAAGGCTCCTCCAACCAAACCAGCCATTAAACATGCACCCAAACCGGCTGCCAAACCAGCTCGTCCTGCCTCTCCACCTCCTGCACCACCAGCTTCCACTTCCGGAGGAGGAGGAGGCGGCGGCGGAGGTGGTGACTTCCTTTCCCAGATCATATCCTTTGCCGAGAGCACTCTAAATTCACCAGCTCCTCCACCACCGCCACCACAGGCTCCCGTTCAAGTGCCCCGCTGTCCAGGATTCTGTCTGCTCAACATTATGGCCGCTTTCTGCGAGAGACCCTCGGTGCTGGTCTCCACACAAACCACCTGTGCCAAGGGGTCCGTGTGCTGTGACAATTCGAGGGCAGGAGCACCCAAGCCCAAGCTGCCACCACCCACGCCCTCGCCCACCGCACCGCCCACTGCGCCGCCGTATGTCCTGCCCAATACCCCGAGTCCCGATCCACGAGAGGAATGTCCCGGTTCCTGCATCGTCAGTCTGCTCAGCTTCACCTGCTTCAGTGAGTATAGTGTCTTAAAGTCTATTAATTTAAGTTAATTATGGGGTATTCTAAAAGCCCATATCAAATGTCCTCAATTCAAGAAAATATTCTCCTATGATTTAAAAGAGGTTGAGTTTCTAGGGATTTTTTATGTATATTGAAAAAATGATCTACTAAAAAATTTTTTTGGACTAACGAAATTTACTTTTCTTTGAATTTTTCCAAAAATGTAAGAAAACATTTGCCTTTAATTTAGAATTTTCTAAAATTTTAGATTTACATATTTTGAGTGATTTGAGAAGAAACGTTTTTAAATATTATACGAACTACCACATAAGTTTATTTTTCTAGATCAAGCAATTTTAAATTAGAGATAAAAGTATTCTAGATTTTGTTTTTCAAGACGAAATAAGTGTCACATTCAAGAACACTTCTTCTTGATTTTGAGAATTGTATATAAAATCGATCAGCGTTCTTTTTAAGATCGCAAGATAGTTTTGAGAATAATTTTCTTAGAATACAGAATTTCTGGAAAACTAAATATTGGAAACTAAATATTTTATTTTTCCCATCTTCCATAGAAAACGCCGAGATGACAGACATGTTCCGCTGCAAGCGTTCTGGTCAGATTTGCTGTGCGCCCAAGAGCAAAATCCTGGAGAAGCAACAGTTCCAGACGCGCAACGATACCGCCTACTATCCGGCACCTCCGCCACCGCCCATTGGACCACCACAGGCGTATCCACCTCAGTCGCCACCGTACTCCTACATGAGCAACCCACCGCCACAAGGACCGCCACCACCGCAGATGCAGCCTCACCATGTCAATCCCTACCAGCCACCACCACCGGCACCGAACTACGGAGATTACTACCCAGTTTCTGGACCTGGTCTTCAGGGCGGACTTCCCCAGCAACCTCAACCGCCGACGATGCCACCTACGACCACGACCACAACCACGACGACTCCACGGCCACATGTCTACTCCAAGTACGTTTGTGGTGTCAAGGGAACCCTGCGAACTGGACGATCCCAATCACAAGCTCTTTCCCTGGTCTCCTATGCCCGCGCCAAGTACGGAGTACAGCGAACAGCTCGCCAGATGACCTCCTCCGCTGGGTATTCCAGTAACTTCAACAAATCCAACGAACGTTTGGTTCTCGGTTCCGCCATTGTGCCTATACAGATTCACAATGATAAACTAGGTGACCTTGTGGAGTCCAGCAGTCTGCAGAGCAACCAACTGCGTTCGTATCACAATCACCAGGATGCTGATCAGCCGGAACTGGTTTATCCCGAGTACTATCAACAGAAGCGATCGCTTGAAGCACTCCAGTCCAATTTCACTGGTCGACGAAGGGCTCGTGTGGTGGGCGGCGAGGATGGCGAGAATGGAGAGTGGTGCTGGCAGGTGGCTCTTATTAACTCGTTGAATCAATATCTTTGTGGAGCTGCTCTAATCGGAACCCAGTGGGTCCTCACGGCAGCCCATTGTGTCACCAAGTAAGTAAAACCACAAAAAAAATTAAGAAAGGAAAACAATCAAGATCAAATTTTTGCTCAATTAGTCTTTGAGAAAAAATTTTCTTGAAATCAAGACAAAAATGATCTCCTTTTTGCGTTAATCTTAGAATTTGTAGTCGAGAATGAATATTCTTGAAAGTGCTCTCTATTTCGTGTTTCAGATCAAGCGATTGTGATAAATGGGGAATAAAGTAGTATTGATTTAGTTTTTGAGAAAAAGTAGTCTTGATATTAAGAAATTATGATAAAATCAATGTTGTCTCACTTTTGATATTGAAGGAACATTTTCGAGTTTGATTGTTCCCTAAGTGTGAGAATCTATTTTGAAAAAATGTTGAAACATTACTAACCTCCTTTAATTTTCATCTTCCAGCATTGTTCGTTCCGGAGATGCGATTTATGTACGTGTGGGTGACTACGATTTGACCCGAAAGTATGGAAGTCCTGGGGCTCAAACACTGCGCGTGGCCACCACATATATCCATCACAATCACAATAGCCAGACTTTGGACAACGATATTGCCCTGCTGAAGCTCCATGGCCAAGCGGAGCTCCGGGATGGAGTGTGTTTGGTGTGTCTCCCAGCTCGAGGAGTCAGTCATGCGGCGGGCAAGCGATGTACTGTGACGGGATATGGTTATATGGGAGAAGGTATGGGATATCCTATAAGATCCATAAGAAAAATTACTAATATTTAATCTCCCCTTTAAAGCTGGTCCCATTCCCCTGCGAGTTCGTGAGGCGGAGATTCCCATTGTGAGCGATACGGAGTGCATTCGGAAGGTGAATGCCGTGACGGAGAAGATCTTCATTCTGCCCGCCTCCAGTTTCTGTGCCGGCGGCGAGGAGGGCCACGATGCCTGCCAAGGCGATGGAGGTGGTCCGCTGGTCTGCCAGGACGATGGATTCTTCGAGCTGGCCGGCCTCGTTTCCTGGGGCTTCGGTTGCGGACGCCAGGATGTGCCCGGCGTCTATGTGAAGACCTCGTCGTTCATCGGCTGGATCAACCAGATCATCAGCGTGAATAACTTATAGTGAGAGGAATGCTTCATCATCATGTGTGCGGAAGGAACCCCGCTCTTGTGGCAATTTCCGGGTCCAACAAAAATATAAAATAGGCCTGATTTAGCCTACGATTGTTTTTCCAGGGGTTCCCGCTCTTCGACTGCTAACGTAAACCCATCCTAGTGTAATCTATTCATATGCCTAACCCTAAAACCCTAACTCTAATGGTTCGAAAAGAAACCCAGAATGAAACTATATTAACTATTACGATTATCGGTAGCGTAGACGGCAATCTTTAAAAGTATTCCCCTATTTGATAACGCCCTATGGTTAACTGTTTTTGTATATACCAAATAAATACAAAAAATCTTCAGTTATATAAGCATTTGTTTTGAAAATTGGGAGGGGGGTTAGAAAAATTAATTAAATATGGGATCTTGTAAACTACTTTTTAGTTAAAAATCCATTAATTATTTTGATCTTTCTTTTTATCGAAATTTAAAATTTTCCACATAAAAACTTTTACAAAACGTTTCGATTTTTTCTGAATATATTTAAATTTGTATACTTTCGGTTGGAAAATAATAAAATACCGAAAAAAATCTTCAATTACGTAAATAATTATTTGACATGAGAAAAGGGTTATGCATCCTTTTTTTTGCTGAAAATTTACAGCACATCTTGCAATTGAGGAAATTTAAATATTCCCAGCAGATTTAACGGAAATTTTTTCCAAAAAAAAAGTCTTTAAAAAGGATCTTCGGTAAAGGATCTCAGGCACCCAATGTCAATCGGATCTTTGAGTGATTCTCAAGAGGCGGAGCACAAAAACTCACTCAGAAACACTCAATTTCGCAGGGAGAGAGCGAGATGTTGCTCTAATAAGAGAATTTTAGGCTTCAGCAGATAAAAAGTAACCCTCAAGTCCCTCCTCACCCTCCATACGATATGTTTTGTTTTGTTTGGTTTTTTTTATCCCTGATTTTAACCCTTTTCGCCACGAGTTGTACTATACCAAAAGAAAACGAAAGCGTAGAGCGTTTGGACTTCGGGTGGTTTCGTTTTGGCTTCGTGCGTTCGTTCGGCCGGTTTCCAAAAAGGGTTCCTGAGATGTCCGTTCTGGGATTCGAGAACAGAAGTTCGTCTGGCCTCGAGCTGAGCGGATCGCAGAGATCGTTGGTTGAAAACTGAAACGCGAATCTCGTTACTGCCGTTACACAATCTTCTGTTACACATTCTCCTGAGAAATACTAAAAAATATAACGAAAAAAAAATATAATAGTGTAGTTAAGCGTAGCTTTTGTAGTACTCATCCCTGATCCTAGTTTTGCATGCATTTCGTCTTGGTTGTTTGTGTTTGTGCCTGGTTTTTGTTCGTCTTTCGTACAAAACGCGTTAATTTAATTCAACGAGTTACATATATCTGCAATGGAGGCCAATTCGAATCCCACAACTCCCACAACGGCGGTGGCCACCACCACATCCACATCGAGTCCATCGCCAGCTGCGAGCACCAGCAGCAAAGGACACAGTCAAGTATCCGCCTCCAGTTGCTCCGCATCCGCATCTGTATCCGCCTCCGCATCCGCCACACAATCCCAGCTGCTGACCACAAGCCTGGAAATGCCCAAGGCGGAGGATCTGTACAATCTTTCGCTGGCCAGCGGACTATCCGAGGGCCAGAGATCGCTGTCGGGTGCTCCGTCGGCCTCCTCCAGTCCCATCATGAGTCCGCAGGGCAAGATCTTCGGAAGGAACGCGAATGGAACAAGTAAGTCTTATAAAATGGGAATATGTTTTAAAGGAAAGCGGTTTAAGGGCCTTATTTTCCCGGATTTACCTATTAAATATATTTTACAGTGTTCTCTTTAACCAAATTATTAGAAATCTTAGTACAGTTGTGAAAAAATTGAAGGGATTTTTTTTATCAATATCTGACCTGGTGTTTGATCAAATTTAATTGATATTTAGCTTAGATTTTGTTTAGATTCTAAAGTGACTTTTAGGTGGTAGGACAAGCTTCTTTTTTAAGCTTTTATAAATGTTAAAATGGTAATCTAAACTTTTTTTTCAGGTGGTTCAATTAAGGTTAATCTATCTCAATATGAAAACTATTATATGTGTTAAATATTTTGATTATTTTTTGGAGTAATAGCTTAGATTACAAAAATTCTCTATTAAAATTCTCGTGATTAAAAAATGAATTAAAAATTTGTTTCCTGTAAAAAAAGATCCATATGAATCTTAAAATCTAATTAATCTCGATATAAATTCTAAGCAACCACATCTTTCTGTTACTTTAACATGCAGATGTCTCCTCTTATTTAAATGTTATTGTGCCCAATCCTGATCCTTTGACCGCATCGAATCCTTTATAAAGCTTCCCTGCAGCCAAACAAATCTCCTCCAGCCACATGCTGCAATTTTCGCGCTCTTTTCTCGAGCTTCCATTGTTTGTCGCACCGTTTATGTAACGGAAAACGCTTGGAACCCAAGAAGCTTGTCCCTGGTCCTCAATCGTCCTTAGACTTTGATAACAAAGGACCTCTAAAAAGTTGCTTTGCTGGGTAATTTAATTTCTTTAAAAAAATCTTAGATCCTGTTCCGGCTTTCATTTCCTTGGTGCTCAATTGCTCGGGGTGTCTTGTTTTGCTTTGAGTTAAAGGATCCTAGAAATCCTTCAGGTAGCAATGGCAGACTTCATCCAATGAGATCTGCTCAAGACCCCAGGTAAGATGAATATTTCTAGGCAACCGTTAGATCAACTTCATGACGATAGGCCATGTCTTAGGGGTGACAGGAAAAAACTTTCAAAAGAAACGGTGAAAAAAACTCACCCCTTGCGATGAGGGTAGTAAAATATATTTCCATAAATCTCGGCTCGAAGGGGAGTCAACCAACGAGAAGCGTTCTCGTTGGAAAAATGCTCAAACTCCGGGGAAAAAGATGTCGCCACACAGTAAAAAATATTACAAATAATTAGGATTTATAGTGATAGGATTTTTATTTGTTTTTATACGAAGGATAAGAGCTATTATATATTCTTTTAAAGGGAAAATATATTACCGTTTATAAAAACGAATACATTTTTAAAGTTTTCGAAGATCTTCCTAAATAATATGATCAAAAATAAATGTAATTATTAATAATAATAATACCTATATTATTACATTTAAAATATAGAGTAAAGAATATGGAAATTTAATCTTAAAAAGAAAATGTTATAAGATTAAGATCGCAAGATCGTAATGAGCCCAAGTACAATGCATTTCAGAAATGAGTGGACATTATTCTTTCGCTGTGCAGGTTATGGTTATGGTCCGTCTGCAGGGGCCATTGGCCATTGGCACGTACGGTCCAAGTTATTGCCACCAATGGAATTTTGATCGACAAGAATTTGGTCGTTGAAAAAGTTGGCTTTTAATTTATCGTTGTATATGAGAAATAGTTTCGGTTACTTGCCCATTGCCGATGAAGCTGATGAGTTGAAGAAGGGAAGATGAGGCTGAGGAATCGGACTCAGAGACTCAGATTCAGACTGAGAGACCCAGGTCTCAAGACGTCCCAAGTCCCAGGTTCCAGGATCCGATTCCAGGTCCAACTCTCCAAGTCAAAAGTCTGCCAAGTCCGGCGTCTACTTTTTGCCCATAATCGAAGCGATCGCACGATTGACTGCTCCGCTCCACACGCACACACTAGCCCCCTCACACACACTATGAGACTTACACGCATTTTCTTATTGCACTGGGAAAAATTGTTGATATTTCTAAAAAATTATTTGAGTATGATAGTATAAACCTCTTTTGAACTTCAAAGAGATTTTTTTATTTTAATGATAAATATTTGTGGAATATTTATATACATTTTTTAGGATACTCCTTTTAAAAAATTGCTTAATAGTGAATAACTATTCATTTCGGTCAATTTTAAAGCAAAATAAAATTCTGCATTCAGAATCTCAGAATTCTCCAAAAACTGGCTAAATTAAAACTTAGACAATAAACTTCCTTGTATTTATCAGAAATATTTGAGATATGATATCAGATCTTTGACATGAGATATAACTAGCATACAATTTATGGATATTGAAATTATAAAGAAAATAAAAAACTATTAATCTTATAATATCACATCCGAAAATCCAAATTTTCTCAGTGTACCGATCCTGCTGGCCAAGTTCGCGGTTTTCCGTTTTCTGCTCCTGGCTGCTTGGGCAGCTGCTTGGTATGTGGCGTCGAATGTCATTATTGCTGCCAAGTGCCAACTAAAAAGTTACTGCAGTTAATTTTTTGTCCATCTTTAACCATTTGCCGTTCGCATAAAAACAGCATATTTAGCAAATGACAACAACAGCAGAGGCAGAAGCAAAAAAAGCAAAAAAAAAACAAACCCGCAAATTAAATAAATAAAAAATCAGCAACAATCCAGAGAAGCAGAAGCAGAGGAGCTGGAGCAGCCACAACAAAGTGTCCCCAGTTCCACCGATCCCCAGTCCGAACCCTACTTCTACCGATCCTCCCTGCTTGGCATTATTTGTGTATTGAAATCACGTCTCATTTATTTATTGCTGCCACCGTATGCCCCTCTCTTTTGCTCCACCAGACTCCCGACTTACGCAGGTCTGCGTTAAATACCCAAGTTGAGATGAGGGAGTGGGACGACAAGTGGCTCGCATAGAAGAGAAGTGTGGCCATGCTATTAACCCTCAAGCGGTCACTCTATATAAAAAATTTTTTTTTTTATTTTACGGAGATGTACTATTCTGTTTATCAATTAACCAATTTTTTTCAAATACTAAATTGAAATATTAGACATTTTTTTTCCAAACATAAATCAGTTTAATAATTTTTCCTAAAGCTGTAACTTTCCACACACTTAACCCTCTACTTAAACTAGTTTGGACGAACCTTGTCACTCGTTTACTGGATTTAGCGGACACTTACAAGCACTTTCCAGTCTCTATCAAAGTAGCGAAATAGTTTCTGTTCAGGTCGACGCAACTTTCAAGAGCGCGTAACTGCTCTGATATTTTAGTTTGTCAAACTATTTATGATATACCCAATTAAGCGGCTAAGAATGCGAATTATTCTTGGGCCCTGGCCATAAATCGTAACAACCCCATGGCGCGGAGCGTGGGTTAATGGCGCGAAGTGCGGAGATCCTTGGTGTTGGTCGGTCGTTGGTGGATGCGCTTGTGGACCAGAGCAAAAAATAAAGAACCCAATGGAAACAGAGGATGGCAATCGATGTACGCAGCTTTTTCTGCCCAGAGTTTGTTATAATTTAGCCCGGCGCAGCAGCTCGTTTTTCTATTAATTAAAGCTGCCTCCGAGACGTTGTCGCCGCCTGAAATATTCTCACATAATTATTTACGATTTGACATAATCATCATCCTCGTCATCGGAGTCCAGCCGTCGACCATTTAGAGTTGTGCTGCCATAACAGTAACAGAGCCTCGTCGATCGGGGGATTCATTAGTATGAGCAATAAATCGCTGCCTAGTCAAGACTGCGATTTTCTACGAATTTCAATGTAGGTACGATGTACCCATATATTTTACACGATCCATTATAATATTCATCCTTTTTTTTTGGCCAAAAATCGAAAGTGATAAAACCAAGAAAAAAAAGGAAAAGGAGAGTAAGATTAAAATGATCCTGGCAATCCTTGATGGGCATCTTGCAGCATGCGTGACGCATTTCTAACGAGTTTCGCCGACTCAAATCGGATCGTATCGGATCCTTCGGTCCCTCGAAAGGGGTTGATATACCATGCTTATGCAGATGAGTTGGTTCCCAGCTCTTGCCTCATCCTTTTTGTGTGCTTTTCGAGTTTTTTTTCGGCTCGCTCTCTACGAAAAAAGGGTTAGGGTCCAGACGTCCGTCGAGTTTTTTTCTTCAGTTTTTTTTTTTTTTTGGGTAAGAAAAAGCGAATTTAATTAAAATTTTTTTCTTATAGCCGGCAAGCATTGTGAGAACGTCGCAGGCCAGAACTTAATAAATATCAATTTTTTTGCTGGAACTTTATCTAAAGCCTGTTTGGTTTTTTTGTTTGTGTTTTTCAGTGATCACCACATCGCGACCGGGCAACGAGGCGGAGGTGCAGCTGTACCGGGTTCTCCAGAGGGCCAGTCTGTTGGCCTACTACGACACCCTGCTCGAAATGGGCGGCGACGATGTGCAGCAGCTGTACGACGCTGGCGAGGAGGAGTTCCTGGAGATCATGGCCCTGGTGGGCATGGCCTCCAAGCCGCTCCACGTCCGCCGCCTGCAGAAGGCGCTGCACGAGTGGGCCAACAATCCGGGGCTATTCCAGGGTCAAATGATGCCACATTTGGGTAAGGATCTGAACTGTGCTATAGGGATTTATATAGGTTTTCATTTTCAAAAAATGCTCATTTTAAAAATAAACCATGGTTAAAGTAACAAAAATATTTACATAATTAAAAAAAAAAAATTTTCTGGAGCTAATATTTTATTTAGCTCTGTGATCAACAAATGTTTTTTTTAATGGTCTAATGCTGATACGATTTTTATTTTATTAAGTCCTTTAATTAACTAATTAATTTAATACATTTCATCAATTTTAGCTCAAAGTAAATACAATTTTTTTACATATAATAACAAAATTACTAATTTTGTAGGTATCTAATATTTTCCAGCTCAATTTAAATATTTTTAAATTCGATATGTTTTACGTCAAATATTTTTGGTATTTTTTTTGCCAAAATTAAGTTTTGAATTTATTATGCAAATACTAATCAATTTTTTATCAGCTTAAAATATTACTTGTTTTTAAATTTGTCTCGTTTTTTACACACCTTAACAGCTATTCAAATTTAGTTTTTTTTTTAAATATCTTTACTAATAAATTGTTTACTTACAGGACTCTGCGAAACGCCACCGAAACCGTCGCTGGTCTTCAATCCGGACACCACGCCCGCCCTGCCCCGCCAGAAGTTCCCCTCGTTCAATCCCTCGGGCTCCGCCTTCCAACCCTCGCCGGTTCCTCAGGCTCCCCTGCCCACTTCCGCTTCGGTTGCCCCAGCCGCTGGTCCCTTGATCACCCAGATCTCGAGTTGTCCCTCAGTGGTTCCCCCCACGGTGGTGCCCATGCCCCTGGTCCTGCCCTCCACTCCGCTGACCACCAGCAGCAGTGGTGGTCATTCCTCTACGAACAGTAGCCTTCCGGCCACGAACACTGCCCACCAGGTGTCCTCCAGTTCGCCACAGCTTACACCTGTCCTAACTGAGATGCAGATTCAGAGGATAACCATGTGTGCCGAGAAAATTGGAAGACAGTTGCCGCAAAGGGAACCGCGGGCACAGACCACCAGGAAGCGAACCACCCGCGAATTGGAGCAGGTGATCGCCATGGGTGTGGAGGATCCCCGGCGGATGGACGAGATCCGTAAGTACTCGGCCATCTATGGGCGATTCGATTGCAAGAGGAGGCCGGAGAAGCCGCTGACCTTGCACGAGGTGTGCGTCAATGAAGCGGCGGCCCAGTTGTGCCGGAATCCCCAAACCATTTGGTTACTAACCAGGAGAGATGAACTGTTCCCCTTGGCCCGGCAGATTGTCAAGGATGCGGGTTTCGGGCACTCAGCCAGCATAGCACGATATGGTGGTCTCCTCACCCAACTGCCTAACCAGGGAGCGGGATTGGGCGGAGGAAGAGGTGGTGGCATTCCTGGTGACACGGACTGCGAGTCCAGTGATGCCGCCTCCATCCAAGTTCCCTCCAAGCGACAGCGACTCTCCTCCACGGAGGCCTCTCAACTGCCGCTCGACTTGAACCGGGTAAGGAAGCTTAAAGATTCCGTAGAGCCTTAAATCCGGTGCAGTGCTTCAGCTTCCTCGCTTCAGCTAAGAGTGATCCTCCTTCGGATGGAGGAGGAGCTCCCTGATAACCCAAAACATTTGCCTTGCAGCTTTCGCGATCGCCAGAACACAAATTACTAATCCTAGTCAAGAGGTTCTTTTTAGAATATCGAGACTGTTGGAGGGGGTTCCAAATTTACACTATAGTACTTTTCAAGTAGACTAGATTTTATATCTCGTAATCCTAAATCTATGTAGTCAATATGGTCTAAAAGGCCCTATTAAGTAATAATAATCGTAATAATCCTGAATCATACAAAACTCTCTTATGATTTTTGTAAAAATATAATCCTTAAATGTAGAACTATTAGCATGAAATTTATTTATTAGTAAATAGTTGCTTTTATGATACAATTTTTACTGTTGATACTTAATAAGTAATACTTATAGTATTTGTTGCTTGAAAACTTTACTATATTATTTAATTATTTTATTTACTTACCCTTAACTTGATTAATCACTAACCCTCTTAAACCTAAATAATAAGTAGTTGAATTTTTTAAACTTTAGACCCAAGTTATTTAGTCAGTAGTCGTTTTTGCAATATATTCTTGTACCTTTTCCCACTGTTGAGTCAATAAATAAATCCTACAAAATTGCCGAAAACCAACGATCCACGTGTCTTCTTCCTTGGCCTCCAAAAAATCCAAAACAAAAAACTCTTTCCACGCATCTGCCTACTTGCTTTCATCGCTTAGCTTCCAATTGGCTTCTTTGAGAACGAGTGACTTTAATCCCCCATCTTGTTGATAAATCCAACCCAAAAATAAAGGAAGCTGTCGAGGATTCGCGCTACAATCTATTTGCCATGTACCAAAAGTTCGCCAAGCCGCCGTTCGATCTTACGGAAATCGCCAAATTCTCGTGAGTATAAAGGTCGATATGGGATTGAATTAAATATCATCATTAATTTCCTCATTAAATATCCATTTTTTAAAATCATCCATTTCCTATTAATTAAGTATTATTTCATTTATTACAGTCTTGGCAAGGCGGCTGACTATGAGGACAATGACTCGCGCTTCTCGTTCAGCAACTCCAGTTCGCCGACCATGCCAGTGAGTATGTGTTGGAGCTCTACGAGGGCAGTCCGCTTGCCGGGGAAAAGCCTTAGAATAAGGAAAAACAATTTTCTCCTTCACAGACGCCGTGCAATGGAATGGAAAGTGAACGATCGCCCGTCTCCCGGCAAATGGAGACCTCTTCGCCTCCGCGGGAATCAGTGGATCTGAGTGGAACAGCCCAAAGTTCAGCTCTCAGCGGAGTCCAGGTGATATCTGCGGCGGGGGACAACATCATCGCGGTGGCCAATCCCGCCCTGGCACTCAGTCCCACCTTGAACGAGGTGCTCTCCTTGAAGAGGAACGCCGCTTCACCGGAGGCCTAACTCTACTTTTAGCTGGAAAAGATCATCGGATGGATGCCATTCGTAGTGCCAGATTTGGTTTCACCACCAAATCGTTTTAATACCCGTGCAATTCAATTAGTTTATATTCCTTTTAAGAAGTAACTTTGTTTTAGAAGAGTTAAGTCCATGATTAGTTCGTAGTCTCTGTGATCTATACTAAACACTGTAATAAAACATTACTATCCATCAATAAACAAGTTCTAATGATGTTTACGAAAATACGGAAATTCTTTGCTATTTATTTTCTAATTTTCAATTTCAAATTTGATAGAACATTTGGCGCCCAACGTGGGTCATTTGCGTTAAGTCATATAAATTAAAATATAAAGTATATTTTTAAAAATCCATAAATGAGAGTTAAAATTTGATCAAAACACAAACAGAGCAGTCAATTTATAGAAATGTGACAACAGAGCAAAAAGACAATGCCACACAATTGCCCTCATTGATCATGGCAAATTGAGAGATCATCGTAATCATAGATCACAATTGCATCCATTGATATTGACGGATCGTGTTTACATTTGCGATTGTGGGCAACTCCTTTGTTCGCCTCTTGACGTCGCAGAAAAAAGGCAAGAAAGGATCCTTGCGAACCCTTGCGAATATTTTTGTTAAGGATTGGCGATAAAGATGTCTGATCGCTGGGAAGTTGGGTAATGAGCAAATTAACACCCTTGTGGCATTCGGCTTAGGTATGCAAATTTGTGTGTGCAAAAATCCTGGGGTATGCAAATTATTGGTTGGCATTATTATTGATGATGATGATGATCGGATGATGATTGCAGATCGGTTTACTTTCGCTGTTGTGATTGCATCTTAATTGTGAGGTGAGGAAAAAGGAAAGGAATATTTTCGACTGCAGTTTAATGAACTCTTATGGTTTCTTTATAAGGCTCTAAATCATCTGCCAGATGCGGTTTGAATCTCAAAGATACAAAGATACGAAGAACATGTGGCCACAAATGCGCGGGAGGCGTTGTGACTTTCAAAAAGGATTCGTCTTGCTTTGTACTTTTCATATTTGTTTTTGATTTGTTCATCAGCTGTTTGGAGAGTAGAAAGCGAGAAGCGTTTTGGGGAAGGTACCCTTTTCTTCCTTTCTTTAGGAGATGGCGCCCATGAGATACTTTGAAGATCGTATAGGGTTATTCATTCCATTCCCCTTATTTTCTCTTTTCTGAGTTATGCAAATCCGCTTGTGGCTGCCGGAGCAATTACAATGCAGTTCATGTCCGAGAACGCAGGCTGCCTTCTTACCCCGCATTTACATATGCGAACCCCTGGCCCTTTTTTTTGGCTTCAGTTCACCCAAGACGCGATCATTACCAGAATGATTGATGGGCGTCTTGCGCTGGATTTGCATAAGATGCTGTAACCCTAAAGGGATCCTACCTTCTGCCTTCGGGCATCGGACTCAGGGATTAGACGTCCTGAGAACAAAGCAAGGAGTGTCAATATTTGCACTCAAGGAACACTAAATATAGTAGAATTTAGTAAAGGAGTTAAGTAAGTAAAAGTACCGCGTTTACTGGTCAAATTGAAAAGATTAAAATAATTGATTTTCTATATATTTGCGTTTGCATTTCAAGGTGTTTGCTGCACCTGTGGGATTATCCAGTCCATGAAGTACTGTACCGAAAGATGACCTTATAGGGTTCCGGCATAATCGCCGGACCAGCGGAGTCGCCCCGGCACGACGATGATAGCCCGAGGTGGGGGTTCTGTGATGACTCTCGGGTGCTGAGGATTCTCTGTGGCCGGTTGGTTATTTATGGAGTCTGTGCAGCAGACCTACGTGGGAGAAGCAGGGCAAGGATGAACTGATATATAGTAAGATAGATCGAGGATATGTCCCTACCACTGGAACCATGTTGATGCTGGGGACGCCGTCACAGCTGCTCATACGGCCGATCACATACTCATTTTCCCTTGCTTTGTTGACGTAGGTATTTGCTCCCAACTCCTTACAGTTGGGCAGGGGCACACAAAATCCATTAATTGCATCCTTGGTGATGCACCTCAGAGGACCTAATCAGGGTAAACAAATGTATATACTTTTAAGAATTTCCCCGAATTCGTTAAAGTTAAAAAAAGCCTGTTCCACGAATTATAAAGCACTTATATTGGCATCAAAAAAATAAAGAATGTCGTTAATAAAGGGACTTTGACTACCTTGACTGCGCTGATTAAACTGGGCGGCAGTATGCGGAGGAAGGAGTACGAGGAGTGTAATCGCAGCACTAAAACAGCACAATAACTTCATTTTTAATCCTCGATAATATCCGTGATTAAGAGCGACAAAGCAAAGATCACTGTTCCAATAACTTTCAATTACTATATTCTTCAAAAAAAGGCTCTTCTGTGATCCCAAGCTAGCGTGTCCAAAGTGATCGACTCTTCTATTCGAATGAGCAATCAACTCCCAGAGCCCAGCTTTATATCGAAAATTCGTATGTCGTAAAATATACTTAGTTGCCGATATTTAATAAACCTAACCCTTTTATGTTCAGATATTCTTAATGATATAATCACTTAATCTGCTGGCCAATCAATAAATTCTTTATTTATGTTTGAACAAACACTTCTTTTAATTACCACTATTTTACTTCTCACTTGCTATTCACTATTATATTACAATGTATCAAGCAAGTACATATGTTTTATAATTATCTTTAAAAAAGCTTTAAGAACAGCTGCAAAAAGCTTGGAAGAATAATGTATTCCTATAGTTTACTTATAAGTAGTTCCATATTGTTATACCCGTTAGTTGTGGAGTAAAAGGGAATATTGTATTTGTGCAAAAGTTTGTAACAGGTAGAAGGAAGCGTTTCCGACCCTATAAAGTATATATATCCTTGATCAAGATCACTAGCCGAGTCGATCTAGCCATGTCCGTCTGTCGCTTCGTTTGGATGAACGCTGAGATCTCGGAGACTACAAAAACCAGAAAGTTGGGATTACCTACACATATTCTTGGGCTTCCTACGCAGCGCAAGTTTGTTTCAGCCATTCGCCACACACACTCTAACGCCCACAATCGCCCTAGAGGACTTTAAAAAAGGACTGGCGGCCACAACTGTACAAATTTTGTAATTGTGTAAATGCCATTTTGTTCTGTTTATTAATACCTATAAAATCTATAAAAAATGAGCAAAAATTTAAACAGCTACTCCCTTTAGCTGAGTAACTGGAATCTGATAGTCGAAGTACTCGACTATAGCGTTCTTTCTTGTATTTTCTCTAGAATGGATAATACAAATATTTTTCTCTTTTAAGATTAAGACAAACAATTAAATCTTTTATAAATATTTTTATTTATGCTCCAAGAAATAATATTTATTAGAACAGGGGTTTAGTTTTTTAGTTAGGGATCTAATGACTTAGTTGCCTCATGCAGGCGATGGCAAATCATGGCGTGTTCTGAACCTGTTGGATAATCCAGTCCATGAAGTATTGAGTGCTGGTGTAAACGCCGGGGGTCTCTGGTCGGGCACAACCTTCGATGCCGTAGGACACCACGCCGATCAGATGGTACCGAAAGGTGTCCTCATAGAGTTCCGGCATCATCAGTGGACCACCGGAGTCGCCCTGACACGAATCCTTGCCTCCGGACAGATCTCCGGCGCAGATGACGGCTTTATCGAACTGATCGGCGGTTCGTAGGAATCCACGATGATTCACGAAACTCTGGGCGCATATCACATTCTCTATGATGGGAACTTGGAGCTCGTTTAGCACGGTGGCTGACGTGCCATTCTCCATCGTATGTCCCCATCCGGCGACGAAGGGATTGTATCGCAAATAGGATTTCTGGCGCAGATCGGGCGTGTGTGGCAGACAGATGGGCGTGATCTTGGTGGTAAACTCCACATTTCGCGCGAGATACAGGATGGCCAAGTCACTCCGTCCATTTCGGGGATTGTAGTTTGGATGGATTACGAACTAGAAGGAGAAATCGGTGGTAATAACTTATAACTTATAAGTTAATAATTTTATAAGAAGTAAAACTTAAACTTACTCTTGCAATTCTAAGATCCACATGGCGAGTCTCCTTATCTGTGGTCACATCATGTTCTCCCAAGCGCACAAATGTCCTAGAAAAAAAACGGAAGGTCAGAAACAAATAAGGATTATTTCTAGAAGTTTTGAACTCACAAATTCAAAGTGATGCAATGGGCCGCCGTGAGCACGTGTCTGGCGGTGATTAGGCTTCCTCCGCACTGGAACGGAAATCTGGGATCCTTGTATCCTAGCAGTGCGATCCAGGGCCACGCCCCAATGTGGCTTACCACACCGCCCACGATCTTATTTTTCGGTACACTCGTATAGCCACATCCATCCTCCATGTTGAGCAGCCGTCGAGGCACTTCGTCCGAATTCCTGGGAATCAAGGAAGCCGAAGTGGGACGAATATTGGAAGACGGTGTGGTGATCCTCTCTTCATTGGGACAGCACACCTGGTAACCCTGGTTTTTACAAACCCTTCTGGAGGCATGCAAAAAACCCTTGAAATTCTGGTCCTTAGGTTTATCCAGCAGTTGACTAAGCAGGGAATCACACTGACCGAGTTCTAAATGAGGTAGGTTTAATTATTAATTTATTTTTATAATTATTAAATAACTTACCTATACAATATCCAGTTTTGGTGTTTGGTCCTCGGCACCAAGGACCCCGTTGATCGATTAAGGGCTTGAATGAGGTTACTGGAATGGGAGCTATAGTTCTAGTCGTTGTGGTAGAAGTTGTAGTCGTGGTCCTTGGAGTAGTGGATGTCGTGGTCGTACTCCTCCTGGTGGGGATCACGAAGGGATTTTCGGGGTCCTGCGGCGGGAACTGAGGACCAATAAACGGCCGTTCCGTGGTGATGAATTCACGAGGTCGTTCTGTGACCGACTGGAGATACTTGCAGCAGATCTGTGTAGGAGAAGCAGGGCAAAGCTTAGATGGAAAGTATACGGATCGAAGATATATCCCTACCACCGGATTTCCGTTAGTGCTGGGGATGTTACAACTGTTTTTCAGGCCGATCACATACTGCGTGGCCCGATCATAGCTGGTGGTTTTAAAGATCTCTACCGCCTGGGTACAGGAGCTCAGGGGCACACAACTCCCAAAAAAATTATCCGGTGTGCGACAGCTTTGAGGAACTGATCAGAAGTAAAAAATTTGTCGTCAATTGATATACTTTAAACGCTATTAAAAAGTTTTTTTTTTAATTTTTTAAAGGTTAACGTTTTTACATTTTCAAGTTAACTGCACTTTAGTTCATTTGTATCTTCGATATATTTAATAAGAAGCTTTATTTAAAGTTGTAGTAATAAATGATTACATTTTTAAAAGTCAAAGGTAAATCGAAACATAAAGAACTTATATGACATCAGGGTAATACAACATGTTTTAAGGTCTTAATTCTTTCTATTGACGATGTAAATCTTGTACAGCTTTATAAGCCTTTCTCATAATAATAAAAATCTTAGATCACCGTAACGGATGTTACTGGTAAAGCAATTTGCAGTCGTAACGAATTGAATCTAATAGCAATGAGTCAAACATTTCAATACAAATGGCTGCATTTAGCTTGCTATCAAAACAAAAGACTTAGGCAACGAACTTGCCACTGAACCTTAAGATGTCACTAAGTCTGGGCTAAACTCTATTTGATTACTTTTAATTTAATTCAGAGATGCGTTGGAAATATAACTCGTTTGTTGTTTGCTTGGGTCAATCGTAAGAGTTCTAAAGATATTAGATATAAATAGCTCTCAGCTGAGCAAGTGACTATGACTACCTTGCCGGCGCTGATTAAATTGCGGATTGAATCTCTGATTGAATTGCGGATTGAATCGCTGATTGAATTGCGGATCGAATCGTTGATTGAACTGAGCGGCAGAGGGCGGGGGAAGTAGCACGAGGGGCAGGAGTGTAATCACAGCACTAGCACAGCACATTCGTTTCATGGTGAGATTGATTTATATTTTTATTATATCCGTGATATTGACCGAAAACGCGACTTTCAATAAATGTTTCAAAAGAAGATTCTTTGAAGAGTGCCGTGTGTTTTTCCGGGCCAGCGTGACTAAAGCGATCGGGTCTACTATTCGGATGAGCGATCGACCCCTAGATCTCAGCTTTATATACGGGGTTCTCATAGAAACTGCACTTCTCTCAATCTAACGACCGCTCTCAGAAGCTTTCTCGGCGGGAAATTGCACCGGGAAAAGCACTACATAGGGGGTTCACATACATAGGGCCGTTCTCTCTATGGAAATCAAGATTAAGTTTGCAATGTTATATTGATAGTTTTAAAAGCCAATGAATATCAATTAAAATCATATTCTTTCAAACTTTGGACGATTTTAAAGGTTTAAAATAAAAACCATTATAAATATATTTAAAAATATTGAGACAAAGACAAAAGCTGAAATCTGTAATAAATATTTTTATTCATAATATAATCCAAGGTTTATCAGATAACAGATCTCAAAAAATCCTTTTATTCTGGGGTTTATAAGGGGTTTAGTTTAAGTTAGGGATCTTAAGACCTAGGTGCAACATGTAGGCGATGGCAACTCATGGTGTGTTCTGAACCTGTTCAATGATCCAGTCCATGAAGTACTGAGTGCTGGAGTAAACTCCAGGGACATTGGGTCGGGCACACCCGATACCGTAGGACACCACGCCGATCAGGTAGAACCTTAGGCCGGTGGTTCCACTACTGTACTGTTCCGGCACCATCAACGGACCACCGGAGTCACCCTGGCAGGTATCCTTCCCTCCAGAAAGAACTCCGGCACACAGGACTGCATTATCGAATTGATCCGCGGTGAAATATCGCTTCTCCTTCGCGTAACTCTGGACGCACACTGCATTCTCGTAGATGGGAATCTGGAGTTCATTCAGCACGGTGGCCGATTCACCACCCTCCATCGTCTTTCCCCATCCCGCGACGAAGGGCATGTAGCCCACGTAGGATTTCTGGCGAAGACTGGGGGTGTGTGGCAGGCAGATGGGCGCGATCTTGGATGTGAATTCTACATTTCGCTCCAGATAGAGGATGGCCAAGTCACTGCGTCCATTTCGGCGATTGTACTCCGGATGGGCAACGTACTAGAAAGAAAAAAAAGCAGATTGTTAGAACCGAATTTTAGATTATTATTATTATTATTATTATTATAAAGTCTTAAATAATTAACTTAAATAATTTCATTAATAATTATAATTGCTTCATCTTTACTGAAGATATATAAATAATTTGAACTGACCCACGGGGATTTTTTTAGAACAAATCCGAAATCTGGAAAAATCAACTCGGTTCAAAAGTGTAAAAAAATGTAAAATTCAAAAAGTGTTGAACAAAAATATGGAATATAATTTTTACTTTTTCCTTACATATTTACAATGATATGGGTAGATATTAATTTTTTTGTAAAATTATTATTTATTTCTAAACTTTGACTTACCCTTGCAATATTAATGTCCACATGAGGAGTCTCCGTATCCGTGGAAAGATCATGTTCTCCAACGCGCACAAATTGTCTAAAAAAAACATTAATTAAAATAAGAAATCAATACTAAGTATAAGATTTAAACTTACAGATCATCCCTGATGCAATGGGCCGCTGTGATTACGTGTCTGGCGGTGATCAGGGTTCCTCCGCACTTGAACGGCGATCCGGAGGGATCATCGTATCCCAGCAGTGCGATCCAGGGCCACGCCCCCTTGCGGCTCACCTCACCACCCACGATCTTCTTGTAATAGCCGACCGTAGCGCCACATCCCTCCTCCACATTGGGCAGCCGACGAGGTATTTCCCCAGTATTCTTGGGAATAATGGGCGCCGGAGTGGTCACAGTCAATCCATTGGGACAGCAGACCTGGTTGCCCTGGTTGCCACAAACCAATCTGGAGGCCCGCAAGAAATTGGCAAAGGTCTCGTCCCGCTGCTTCACGCGCAGCTCGTTCAGCAGTGCTGCACAATCCTTGATTTCTAAGTAATAACAAATTAATATTTAATTATTTAAAAATTCGGATCACTTTATATATTTTGTTTATTTTAATAATTAAAAACTAATTTTTTGTTAAATCTTCAAAAATATTCATATTATATTATTAAGAAACATGAAAATAAAATGTATAATTAATGTTATTAATTCCTATTAGACCTTAAATTCAAAACTCTTCCTCTAAATAATTTGAATCCTTTATTTTATTGGAAAAACAAGTATTCATATTACTTTCTTTACATGTATTCCTACAAAAAAAAAATTAAGAAAAATACGAACGATTTATTCCACTTTAAAAAAAAAACACACACAATTTTAAAACACGTGTATCAATATTAATTTCCTTATACTTTCTAATTACAAACCGGTTCACATTTATTAAGCCAGCTCAAGGGTAATTGCTGTTTGATTACATCTCTAACATAAAGTGTTATTTAAATTGATCCAATATATGTCAAAAGCTTCTCAAGGAGAGTCGTAAAAATTATAACAAAATCGTGTAAACACATTGATCCCAAAACCAAGAAAATACCGTTTTTCTTATAACATAACATCAAGTAAACTCACCCAAACAATTTCCGGGTTTGGTGTCAGGTCCTCGGCATGAAGGACCCCGTTGATCAATCAAGGGTTCCGATGAGGTAACTGGAATGGGAGCTATAGTTCTAATCGTTGTGGTAGAAGTCGTAGTCGTGGGCCTTGGAGTAGTAGGGATCAGGAAAGGATTATCGGGGACCTCCGGCGGGGGCTGAGGTCCGATAAACGAGGGTTCTGTGGGGAAGAAGGGGTTCCGAGGTCGCTCTGTGACCGGTTGGTTATATCTCGGTTCTGTACAGCAGATCTGCGTAGGAGAAGCAGGGCAAAGCTTAGCAAGGATGGAAGGATAGATAGATAGATCGAAGATATGTCCCTACCACCGGATCCCCATTGATGCTGCGGGTGCCACAGCTGCGCTGCAGGGCGATCACATAGCGCTGGGCCCGATCCCTGTTTGTGGTCTGGAAGATGTTCGCCACCTGGGGACAGTAGCTAAGGGCCACGCAACTCCCATAATAGTTCTCGGGGGTAATGCAGTTCTGGCGAACTGGGTAGAAAAAAAACGGGGCGTAAATTCATTAGCTTTTCTTATAAAATTTCTTAGCTTTAAGTGAGGTTTTTATATTAATCTACTTTGTTTTGTGTTAAAAGGGTTATTTTACAAAAACAATTTCCCCAAACTCACACATTTTTTTTAATTTTTTGAATTTTAAAATCAAATAATTTTCAAGAGTAGTTTTCATAACTATACGAATAAAAAAAAGGATTAACATTTTAACTCACCCATAATAAAATTCATGGCGATTTGTTTTAATGCATGAGAAACTTTAGTTTAATGTTTATTTATGAAGATGGATGATAAAGTAATTATATATTTGATTATTTTAATTTATAAATTAAAATTATTTTATGGTTATAAATATGATTTGGTTAATTTGTGCTGGATGTGTTAAACGGCTTAGCCTTCACCACAAGATGACTCAGTTTTTGGGAATGGGGGATTTATGTTATGTTTTTTTCTCACACCTCTAAACAAGTCAACAGTCTATAGTTAGCAAGAACACAAAACTCCAACCAAAAATTTTCATTGTCCAGTTACTAAAGCTCCATAATTATATGTACTTCACAATCTCAAAAAATAAAACAAAAATAATTTTTAGACGTTCTAAATGATTTATTTAAATTTTGCAGTTATTCTTTTGGTTTATTGTTATTTAATTGATACCCGAACTTAAGAGCTTTCAAATTTAAGTATTGGAAAAATAGGTAAAAACCTTTCAAAAAATCAACGCTTAAGGCATAATTTCCATTTATTCCTTGTAAAATGAACTTTATCTCAAGAAAATTTGCATTCGACTTTCACGTAATCTACAAAATCTTAGATCGTCGTAGGGGCGTTTTGCTGGTCAAGCCACTTATAGACGTCTATATATCTCAATCAAACTTTACGAGTACCGGTCACAAAAAGCGATACGTGCTCTAAGGGAACGCCCCTTCGGGTAATAAACACCTGTTTAAGTCGGTGTCCGAGTCGAAAATGCGACCTTGGTGACCGGTTTCGTGAACTGGAATTGAACTCTCAACACAATGGCCAAAAATTCACATTATGAATAACTTGCGATGATTGCTTTTGTTTATTTTGCAGTTAATACAAATTGCCGCATTTGTCCGGCTGTCAAATCGAAAGACTTGAGCAACGAACTTGCCATTGAACTTGAAGATGTTAGATGTTAGAGGTCTCTGCGAATCGATATGTAGACCATCTGGGTTAAACTCATTTAAATGCGTTGATGTATTTATGGTTTTTTGATTAGATTTCGTGATGCGTTAATGGAACTGGTTTGTTGTTTGCTTTGATCAGTCGTAAAAGTTCTACTGATTTTAGATATTAGATATAGATAGATAGATATGGCGAAGCGGAAAGCTCTCGACGACTAATTAAGTGACTTTGACTACCTTGCCTGCGCTGATTGAACTGCTGATTGAACTGGGCGGCAGTGGGCGGGGGTAGAAAAACGAGGGGCAGGAGTGTAATCACAGCACTAAAACAGCACAACCACTTCATGGCGATATTGATTTATTTTATATATACTATACGATCGATCGTATATGTATATTGGTGATATCGAGGGGCAACGCGACGTTCACTGTCCGAATAACGTTATCAAACTAAATAGATTTTTGGAGAACCGGACAACCGGAGACTGTAGACGCGTCTTCACCCGCGGAAGCTTCTTCGGAGATTGCCGTGTGTGTTTCTTTGCGTGGCCAGCGTGACCAAAGCGATCGCGTCTTCGATTCGGCTGAGCGATCGGCCCGCAGAGCCGAGCTTTATATGCAGGCTTCTCACGGGATCTTCTCAGTCCGCCGATCTCCCAAATCTACCGATCTGGATCTCTCAATCTACCGATCTCTCTCATTCTCTCTCCCGTAAGCTCTCTCTCTTGCCGGGAAAGTGGCTGCACTTTGGAGAGCAATTCGCATGGTGAACCCCATTCGCATTCGTTGAGCACGCAATTTGCTTTCTAGGCAAATTAATCAAGGTGGAAAAGTATTCACACATACAAATTATTAAGTGATTTTCCCAAGCTAAACCAGAAATGGAAACAAATATTTATTGTTTGTTTTGGGCAGCCTAATAATATAGATCAATGGTTAATGATAGGTAATAATATAGGATATAGCCCATCACAGTTCTAAATTGGGAATTTTCAATTGAGGCGTGTGACTCAAATGAGGCGCCAAATTGTTGACCTTGTATACTGCGCTGCTCTGAATTTGTCATTCGATCTGGTCCCGAGAATTCTGTGACTCAATTAGACGTTCGTCTAACTGAAAGAATGATATAAATGCCATTAATCAAGGTAAATTAAAACGGATCCCGTTGACATGTCAATTGGGAATCACTTGGAAAACTGACCAAAGCCACTCGGCGACATTCTAGCTCAAATTATATTTTAGCATCATGATTAGCAATCAATGGGAATATATTCTCATACTTTTGAATTGCTTTCGTATGCGAGTACCGTAAAAAGCTTTCGCTGATTATTTAGATAGGCAGCCTCCCATTAAGAATACGTAATTGCTGGAATTACAGTGAAGATCCATTCCTATTTTGTATTTTTAACTGATTGAATTAACATTTTAAATTATGTACTATGAAATCATTTTAATCATATTTTTAATGTATCTAAAATGTTACATTTTCTAGTTATGAGTTCCAAAAAATTTTTTGGAATTTCAAAACATTTTTATAGAAGAAGAAATGATTGGGAAAAATCAAAAATAATTTATAATCATTAAACATTTTTATTTTTAGTCTAAAAATAAAATCTAACATTCGATTTACCACATTGTAAAAATATATTTTATTTTATTTAATTTAATCTGTCGACAAGTGACGTCACCTGTTTGCAATATGCATCTGATGTGCGATCACAGTTAGCACACACTTAATTCACCCCACTAAATCTCCTGCGATTCGGAATATACCTCACAATACTTGGGGGCACTCAACCTGATTAGAATTCCGTGGAGCCGTCGCCGAAAGTCAATTGGCATGCGATCGATGCAACCGCAGAGGCATAATAACACCGATCGTTCTACTATAATGACTAATCCGGATCACTTGGCCATGCAGTGCAGGTAGAAACAGCAGGGGGCCGAAGTGAATGGAGGGAAATTCCAGACCCTGTCTTTAGTATTTTAAGAATTCCTCATTTTCGGTTCCGGCACGACAAATTCATCTATTTTATTATATTTTATACCTTATCGAAAATATCGCAAAATATACTTACTTCTTTATTTTCCAAAATATTTAGTGATATAATCACTATATTTTGATATCATAATTGCCTAAAGAAACCCTCAGAACTAACAAATCATATGTCATATAATCAAAATAAAGCAAGCACGTTTTGTAATTAATCGAAAATGAATTTTAAAATGCCTTAAGAACACAGTAAATAATGAGAAGAATATGCAAGTCAAACAAGTATTTACATACAAATTTATTGCGTAATTTGAACAATAAATTTTAATCAAACTGTAATCAAAGTTAACTAAATTACATTGCTAATTATTTTTACAGGGCAATAAAAGGTATCAATTTAAAGCACGTACACTTCGATTTTGATTGTAAAGAACATTCATCAGTTTTAAAATAAGATAGGATGATTGAACAAAATATTTTAGTGACTTGATTTATTTTCCTGGCGCAAAACAGGACTTACAAAAAATTCCCTTTCCCCGGGAATTAAAACCGAAATGCATGCAAATGATATACAAAAATGAATGTAAGATCAATTAGGCTTAAATCAAAACGAGAACATAAAAACATGAAATTTATTGCGGAAATTCCGGTGGGTAAGTGTGTATTTGGGATTTAGAATTTTATTACAAATATTTGTAAAGTGCTCCGGATTTGGATGACACATCAAAGATAGCTGACCAATTTAGGATGTGTCATAATTCTAAGCCGATGAGAGGTGTTTCGTGATCCAAGGAATGTAGGAGGCAACCACTCATAGCCAAAGGAAACCAGGCCGAGTAAGTAGAACCTATAGACATTTGTTTCCAGCTGTAAATTCCAAATAAAGTTTTAAAAATTATACCATAAATTCCGAAATTCTTTTCTGCAAGTCACCGACATTTTCGTTGACCAACGAAATCATATCTGCGTCACGAATATTAACAATTAGCGGGCGGTATTCAGTAAACCACCTTGGCGACCGAGCTTAAGACTCAAGAAACTTGGCCAAAACAGGTTCGATGACTCACAGAAAAAGAAGATATTGTAACTGACCTGGGGCATCATGAGTGGTCCACCGGAATCCCCTTGACAGGCATCCACACTGGAGCTGCCGGCACAGAGCACCTGCAAAAGGATTTATTAGCCAGGGGAATTCCCCTTTCGATCAGGATGGATGGGTAGCTTACCTTGTCGCTGAACTGGACGAACTGGAAAACCGACTTGTAACTCTGCTCGCAGCTCTGGCGGGACACAATCGGCACCTGGGCATCTCGCAGCACCTGTGAGGTGGCTCCCTGGTGCTTCACTGCCCCCCAGCCGGCCACAAAGGGATTCATGCCCACAAAGTCCTGCTGCACAAACTTGGCGGCCTCGGGCAGGCAAATGGGGGATATGTTACCTATGTTAAACAAATATTAAAATGGTTTTATATAAATTTCATTCATAAAGTTGTTATATGACAAAAGGTCTTATAAAGAATTTTTTATATCGAATATGATTCATTATACACAAAACAAATTTCAATAAAAATAATATTAGTTAAGGAAATTGGAAATGCTTTTAATTTTGATCAAATGAGTGTAAATTTAATGGATACATTAATTAAAGAACATTAATATTAATATATTTATATTTTTTAAATTAATATTTTTTTATATTTTCTTACCTGGCAACGTGCCCACTCCATTTAGCTCAATCAAAGCTATATCATTCGATATGGAGTTCAGATCGAAATGTTCGTGGACAACAGTTCTTCGGATCCGGAAATCCATTGCACCCGGTTCAGCTGCTTTAGAGAGATCATGGGCTCCAAGTCGCACCAATGTCAACATAGGATTGATGCAATGTGCCGAGGTGACCACGTAATGCGAATGGATCAAACTGCCACCGCAGAGGAACTTAAGGGCATTCCGATTGAACTCCTCAAAGTAGCCAAGGGCAGCTATCCAGGGATAGGCTCCTAGAGAGGATTAAGGTTGGGAAAATTAAAGAAATATTAAAGAATATTCATATATTTATTTTAAATCTGTAAATAACCATTTATTACCTTTTCGAGCCTCCATTCCACCCACAACTCGATTGGATGTGGCACCACTTATTCCACAAACGGTACCCGAGCGTGGAACATTTGGAGGAGGTGGTGGAGGATTAGGAGGCTGTGGATTAAAGCTGGGACTCACCACCTGATTCAGAGGCGGAGTGGGCTGGAAAACCATCGGAGTGGCAGTGGATCCTCCACTTAACGGTGAGAAATGGAAGAAGCCAAATGGTGCAGCAGTGGTCACAAATATATCCTTCCTGCTTCTGCCATTTCCACTTCGATCCGAGGCACAGCAAACCTAATGGCACAAGAAATCCTAACTTTGAAAACCTTACCATAAAACATATATAAAATAAGTCTTAATCTTAGTAAGTTGACTCTTGATAAAATTTGTTTTTTTTTCAGTTCAAACTGTTTTATCATAAATATTATATTTCTGTTAAGATTAATTTATCTTAAGGATAAATGTATCCCATTTTAATAGTATCAACATAGTCGAATGCCTACCTAAATAGTCGAATTCTTTCGGAACCTTTAAATAATTTTGATTGTGGCAATTACGAAGGTATTAAAAAAAACAATTATCTAAAAATAAATGCAATTTAATGCGTTGTTTGAGATAATAATTTCAAATAATTTTTCAATTAGCAAAAAAAATTTTATAAAATTATATTAAAGAGCGCAAATAAAAAGAGAGATATAAAATGTAATTCCCCTAATTGAATAAAGTATTTGAATGAAATAAAAAGCGAAATAGATCTGTGGGATTACCATAAAAGTGGAGCCATCGAAGCCGCAGATAGACTGTCCCAGAAAGGTGGTGAACTCTTGACCCTGACCCTGATACTCCTCCATGAGCTGCGGACAGGAGGTCAGGGGCAGGCAGCTTCCCGGCCGGGATCGGGCATCTTGGCAGGATTGGGCTATAAAAGAAGTAGGTGATTGGGGGAAAGGGTGTGGCAAAGGATGCTCAAATATTTAATTGGCCAATTCGGTTTAATTTTTTGTGATCGTTTTTATTTTGACTAATTTTGCGGTGTATATGCAAGGGATTTTTCTTATTTTTTTTCAGTGTGAGTGTTTGGGGTTAGGTGAATGCTATTTTTTTTGGTGGTTAGTATGTGATCTTAGTAGATTATCCGACGTCTCCGGCGACGACGCCGCCTACGTCCGGAATTGAGCGGCATGAAAACCATCATATCCGAACCGATCTGTGGTCCCGTTGGCGGCGACGAGAGCAGCGGTGAATTCTGCTGCTGGCGGGGATCGATGCACGGGCAATTGGGCAGCGGACGTGATCCTCCCGGCAGGCAAACAAGTGGTTGAGATGGACACGTGGGCACCGGAAGGGGCAGAGTGGTGCCAGCAGTTGTACTCGTAGTCGTAACACCCGTTGTGGAGGTGGTGGAAATGGTGGTGCTACTGGTGGTACTGCTGCTGGTGGTGATCAATGGTGGGGTCACTGGCGTCTGGGGATTCGGTGGAGTCGGTTGGAAGGTCGGAATCACTGCAGGAGGAGCAGGTTGAGGCGGTATTAGTGGACCAATCGGCTGGTAGGGAGGCAGCGGCTGTGGAGGCGGCTGAGGAGGAAATTGCGGCGGTGGCAGCCCGTAGATGGGATAGTAACCTGGCGGATACAGCGGACACCAGCCCTTGATGCTGGCCAAATACGAGAGGAACGGCCAGAAGTACACCTTCACACAGAACTCGTCCAGGAGAACCATTTCCAGTGGGTTATCTTTATCCGTATACGCTTATCCGTTTTATCCGTGCTCGCTGCTCGGCCACCAGGTGGCAACTAACCCACCGAACTCTTCTATTTCGCCCATTTGCAACTCCGCCAAGTGGAGCATGGCGGCAAATAATGATCATAATTCAATTGTACTTTAGTGGGGCACAATTATCCAAAGAGTCGTCTGGAATGGCCCAATTCAGGAGCGGATCAGGGGAACTAAAATCTCTAAAAATATTAACATTTTTCTGAATTTTTGTTTTAAGTTTTAAAACTTTTAATGAAATAAATAAATGTTCTCTTAAGCTATTAAACATTTAAAAAAATAATAATATTCCAAAACAAAATTGAAATATTTTAATTAAAGCCTTTAACAGTATAAGAATTTTTAAAAATTTAGAAAGCGTCTTTTTTTATAACTTTTAAATACATTAAATAAATATTTCAAAATTAATAACAATAATTTTACTACCAAGCTTATTTTAATTTTTATCAATACATTAAATCTTATAAAAATATTTAAATTAAATTTTAAAAACACAATTACATTTTTCTATGTGACTAATAAATTTAATTGTTAAAATTCCTCTTATTTTAATATGAATAGGTTATAAAAAATTAAAAAGCAAAATAACATAAAACATGTTTTGACGGATGTCCGTGACTAAAGAACCTTATCATAATACACAAAAACGAATATAATATCATCACAAAATAAAAACGTTGAATTATTTTTATGACCCATTGCTCATTTTATATTGTGTTCCGAGTATTTAATGACGACCGGGAAATGCACATTTTTAAAAACTTAATTCCGAGCATTATTCAACCCTTTAATTGCAGTTCCAACAAATTCACACCGAAATGCATCGTTAATTCTGGGGGAATTAAAATAACTGGGCCAGTGGCGCTTGAAATCCGATTGAAATCATTTTCAGGGGAGGTCTGCTCAAATCATTTGCTTTTGCTGGGTGTTTTATGATGATGATGTGCTATGTGTCGGGGATTTGTTTATGTTGACACATTAAATGGAATGACACGATCACATAACTCAAACAGATCTATTGGCACGATCTGGTATGGTATTTTTAAACCGAATGTGGGATTAAAAATAGGAACAAGAATTCACACAACTTACACTTGACGGTCGAGAAAAGGGAGACAACCAAATAAATTATAAGAAATTTATGGGCTTTCGGGGAGCCAAAGACCGCACTCATTCTGAATCCTATGAACCTCACCGACGAACTGAACCCGTGGGCCACTGACACACTGGAACTTAAGTGCCAAATGGAGTGGCTGGGTGTCATCAAATGATTTAATTGTGGCAATTTTCGAAATCACATTTAATTTAATCGACAGGTAGAATTTTTTGTTTTTTATACGATGAACTTGAAAAGTTGAAGGATGGTTAGAGGTAAAGCACCCGAAATTCCCCCTTATTTGAAAGCCAATCTCAAATACATTTTGGATGCGCTTATTTATTGTTTGGTTTGGGAAAGTAAAGTTCCATTAAATCTAAATGCCGACTACGACTACCTTGATAACGTGCTGTTTATAAGGGTATTTTGTATATAAATAAATTATGTGTGTGCGTGCTAGACATCGTCCGAGATCCAAAAGTCCAGGATCTGGCAAGGATCAGGCCACCTACTCGCGGTGCTTGCAGTCCAGGAATAGTTGAGCCTGGGATTGCACAAAACGGAAGATCTCGAGCAGCATTTCGTTGGAGGTCTTGCAGTTGCCTTGCTGGGACTCGAAAAAGGATCCAGGACCAGCTCCGCCCACCGAACGCTTGCCCCAATCCGGCGAGAAAGTTAGCTAAAATAAAATAAAATATTAAATATTATCATGAAGATCCAAAGAGTGATATTAGATCTACTCACCTGACACTGGACGCAGGCCAGGAGCAGGAAAAGCACTGCGGCAATGAGGACTTCGCTCTTGGGATTCATTTTGAGTTCTATGCTGCTTTATCCCGATTTTACCCTGCTTTTATACTGGCATTCTGGACCCCAAAGTAGCCAGCAATTAATTAACCCCAGCACTTGCAAGGATTTCAGCTATAATTGGTTTTTTGCTCCTTCAATTCCAATCGCCAGACGTCATTAAAACATTCTTCTATGTGGAAGCGTTTGTGATTCTCCATGTGTTTATTAGAATTGCGCATACGTTTAATATTAAATATAATTATATATTTATTTATATACCATTAAATAAGTTTCGTTAAATTAAGCAGTGTGTGTATAAGAGTTAAACGAGATTGCGGCTTAAGCAACTGGTTGCAAATACATTTTGGCGAACAATAAACCATATAGAAATCCGGCTGGGGACATGTACAAAAATATTATGTTAAGTGAGTTTTTGTGCGCCTGGCAGCCTGGCGGATATATAGTACAAAAATGTAGTGTGTGTGAGTTTTGTGTGAAATACAGAATTTGATGTTTTAGCTTTCTACGCGCGAGAACGAGAACGAGGCACTCAATTTTTTGTTACAACAAAATCGGATTGTAAGCAGTTTACATATATGTATACGTATATATATTAGTAGTAAATAACAATACAAATTACAATAACACATTATTACGTTTTGGCTTAATCGAAACAAACGTTCTGGGTTTTAGTTATTGCATTATAAAAACAAATGGCCAGCGTTTAGCCACGATTGGTAATAATTATATAGAAAACATTCGTCCTTAATTGTTGTCGTCGATCAACAAATAATATTACAAAAATATATGTAGAAATATATATATTATATATGTTATTCGTGTGAATCTGTTCTTGTATATATCTAACTATGTTTCGTGTTGCTGTTTGCATGTGGCATTGTTAGTAAGTAAGTTTCTTCGTAGCTATTTGAAGGTGGCGAAGCTTTTATTCGATTCGTTCGTTGAATGCGACATGGGCACCTGGGCAGGTAAGAAATGCACTTCGTTTGGGCTCGTTGATTACTGGTTTCGGTTTTGGGTTACTGGTTTATCGTCTTCTCGGAACGGAATTCAAAGCTCAGTCGACGCGTGTTTTTCAATTTTAAAAAATTTGGTGTTATACTCGTTAAATGTTTTGTTTGGCTCCTGCTTCCGCTGCGGCATTCAGGAGATTCTCTCTTTTACATCAGGCAGCACTTCCTCTTGCCCTTCTTCTTGTAACTCTGCTCGATGAAGGGACGCTCGGCGATTTGGAACTTCCGCACGATCCTCACCAGCTCGTGGAAAGCCTGATCGACATTCACACGCAGCTTGGCACTGCACTCGATGTAGGGGATCATTAGGCTGCGACTGGTGTTCTGCGCCTCCTCCAAGGAAACCTGCTGCTGGTGCTTCAAATCGCACTTGTTACCGACCATCAGCATGGGGAACTCGTCGCGATCCTTGACGCGCAGTATTTGGCGCTGGAACTTGGGGATCTCATCGAAGCTGGAATGATCGTTGAGGGCGAAGACGAGCAGGAAGCCCTCGCCGGAGCGCATATACTGCTCCCGCATGGCACTGAACTCCTCCTGACCAGCCGTGTCCAGAACTAGGGATTATTAGGGATTACAATTTATGATAGAAAGGTATAAATTTTAGAGTTCTGCATGAGTGTACTTGAAAGTCAATTTTTAAGATCAGTTAATTTGATTTTTTCATAAGGAAAAACAAGTGATAAATAGATATAAAATAAATTCGAATCACCTAAATAATTTGCTTAGTAATTTTATCACTTCCACTCATTTTTATTCGGTGCTTGTATCACTTGTTTTTTTTTTACGAGTGATCAAGTGAAACGATAATCCAAGTTTACTCACTTAAACTCACTCACTCTATTTTCAAAAAATGGACTTGTTTGTCAATTCAAGTGTACTTATGCAGGACTCTAGTATAAAAGTCCTAACTTACTGTCCAATTTGGCTGGCACATCATCTATGTTGCACTGCTTCGTATACGAGTCTTCAATGGTGGGATCGTAGTCCGTGACGAAGTAGCTCTGCAAAAGATTAGGAATGGTATATTACTATGATAAGATGACTATATAAACACATATCACTCTGTTTCTGCTGCTGTTTCTGATTTGTTTACACACGTCACTTTTATCATCATCCACTATGCTCTATATATCTTCGGGAAAAGCTACATACTTATATATATGTATTTTGTAGACGAAAGATGTGCAGATGACGCAAATGACTAAAAATAAATGGAAGCGGGCGGGCATTGTGGTCGTGACCATGGCACACACTATATGGCTATGGATCGTTTCGGCACACCCAGAAAACTAAGGGGGGCTACTTTTTGGCTACCACAACTCCCTGATCCGAATCCGGATCCCCCCGAAATGGAGATACACACGGGGGTGTGGCTGATGATGATGATCTCTGACCAAAACTATGCACACACGCATGTCTAAATCCAAATACAGACGCAAGTCGCTTGTTGCTTGTTTGTTGCTCTGGCCAAAACAAGGGCCGTCCCCCCTCCTCCGCCCCTGTGATTTCCCCTCTCTCTTCTTGACTCCACACCGCCCCTGTGCGAAAGCGACGTCACCTGCGGGTGTCTGGGTGCTCTATGGTTGCTCCTGGCGCCTCACCTGGATGAACTGTATCGTGATCGCAGACTTTCCCACGCCGCCGCCGCCGACGACCACCAGTTTGTACGTTTGCATCTGCATTTCCCCGTTTATTTCGACCAGTTGGCCAGCGAAATTTCTTAGTTTCTCTTCTTCTTCCGCGACACCTCAGTGTGACCAGGGCGTATGCGCAATATTTGGGCGAACGTAAGAGAAGCAACGTAAGCAAACGTAAGTGATGTAAAATAATTAAACTGTCGTATCTGAATCGTCCAAATTACGACTAAAACACCGTTAAACTAAATTTTTAAAAGAAAAAAATACAACTTTTGCTAACTATACACATTTATTTTCGCATTTTATAAGTTTTAGGTATTGTAAAGAAATTTATTTACCGCACACATCAATACACTTACATTAAATACTTAAAATTTTCTTTGAAATTATTAATTTTTTTTCGTATTTAATAAGTTTTTAGTATTGTAAAGAAATAATTTAGGATCAAATTGTTCTGCTTTTTATAATTTTTTTCTGTTATTAAAATATTTTTTAATTTTTGTAATAATTACTTTATATAATTTTTTACAGTAGGGGGATTCCCTAAACTGTTGAATTGCTGAATTGTTGAATTTTGGTCAGCTGTTAATCAGCTGTTCCATACAAAGTCAACTTTCAGAAATTTCAGCAATTCAACAGCCTCGGGGCTGCTGAAAATTTTGTTGAATTGCTGAAAAGCCAGAGTTGTCACCTTTTTTAAAAGTCGTGGCAACTCTGTAACATTTTAGTATCACCAGTACACATTATTAATTTTAAAATCAACTTAGAAAGCATATTTGTGGTTCTTTTTACCTTGGTAACACTTTTAGACAGTAACTAGCAATAATAAATCAAATTTTACATGCTTTAAGTTCCGTGAAATTTTTCAACAAATAACAGCTGTTTGAAAATTCAACAGGAACCATTTTGGGTCGTTCCCTTAATTGCTGAAATTTTTTGTTGAATTTTCAACAATTCAGCAATTCAACAGTTTAGGGAATCCCCCTAGTGCTAATACCCTGTAAATCAGCGACGCTCAATATACCGACTTATTGGAAAATGTTATATTCCAGCCAGCAGCGACTGGTCATACTGTGGTATAGTCATCCAAAAAAAAAAACAGAAAAAAATACAGAAAATTGGCCAAGGAGTAGATAAAATTCTTTAGGCCAAGTTAAGACAGCAAAAAACATAAAAAACCCTACAAAAACAGATAGACAAAGTGCAATACTAAAGTGTTCATTAAGCGAGACCAATAGAAAGCAGTGAAAATGGCCTTGAAAGTGCTGGTGGGCCAGAAGCTGATGAACGAGGTGGTGAAGTACAAGCCCCCAGCCCCCAAAAAGCAGGGCGTTACGTCGGCGGCCGCCGCGGGGGCGGGTGGCATGGAATGGAGGGTCCTAGTGGTCGACAAGCTGGGAATGCGCATGGTCTCCGCCTGCACCAAGATGCACGAGATCAGCGCCGAGGGCATCACTTTGGTGGAGGATATCAACAAGAAGCGCGAACCGCTGCCCACAATGGATGCGATTTATCTGATTACCCCGTCGGATGAGTCAGTGCGTGGGTTGATTCGAGACTTCGAGAATCCCGCAAGGCCCATGTATCGCTATGCGCACGTCTTCTTCACGGAGGTCTGCCCCGAGGAGCTGTTCAACGATCTCTGCAAGTCCTGTGCCGCTGGGAAAATCAAGACCCTGAAGGAAATCAACATTGCATTTTTGCCCTACGAATGCCAGGTTTTCTCGCTGGACTCACCGGACACCTTTCAGTGCCTGTACTCCCCGGCTTTTGCTTCCATAAGGAGCAAGCACATCGAGCGGATTGCCGAGCAGATAGCCACCTTGTGCGCTACTTTAGGGGAATATCCGAATGTTCGCTATCGCAGCGACTGGGACAGGAACATTGATCTCGCCGCCTCGGTGCAGCAGAAGCTGGACGCCTACAAGGCGGATGATGCCACCATGGGCGAGGGTCCCGAGAAGGCCCGCTCCCAGCTGCTGATCCTCGATCGCGGCTTCGATTGCGTGTCGCCACTGCTGCATGAGTTGACTCTGCAGGCCATGGCCTACGATTTGCTGCCCATTGTCAACGATGTGTATCGCTATACTCCGGGGCCCAATCAACCGGATAAGGAGGTGCTGCTCGACGAGAATGACGACCTATGGGTGGAGCTGCGTCACGAGCATATCGCTGTGGTCTCCACCCAGGTGACTCAGAACCTCAAGAAGTTCACCGACTCGAAGCGCATGGGCTCGGCCGACAAGTCGTCGATGAGGGATCTCTCGCAGATGATCAAGAAGATGCCGCAGTATCAGAAGGAGCTGTCCAAGTACTCGACCCACTTGCATCTGGCCGAGGACTGCATGAAGTCGTATCAGAACTATGTGGACAAGCTGTGTCGCGTGGAACAGGACTTGGCCATGGGCACGGATGCCGAGGGCGAGAAGATCAAGGATCATATGCGCAACATTGTGCCCATTTTGCTGGACGCCAATGTCTCGAACTATGACAAAGTTCGCATTATTGCCCTCTATGTGATGATTAAGAATGGCATTTCGGAGGAGAATCTTACGAAGCTCTTCACGCATGCGCAGCTGTCGCCGAAGGATCAGGATATGGTGCGTAATCTTAGTTGCCTGGGCATCAATGTCATTGCAGATTCGCGCAAGAAGGTGTACTCGGTGCCGAGAAAGGAAAGGACTACGGAGAGCACCTACCAGATGTCCCGCTGGACACCGGTGATCAAGGACATCATGGAGGATTGCATAGAGGACAAGCTGGATCTGCGTCACTTTCCGTTTTTGGAGGGCAGGGCCCAGAATACCAACTATCATGCCCCGACCAGTGCTCGCTACGGTCACTGGCACAAGGATAAGGGGCAGGCGCAGGTGAAGAACGTGCCCAGGCTCATCGTTTTCATTGTGGGCGGCGTCAGCATGTCCGAGATGCGTTGCGCCTACGAGGTAACCAATGCAGTTCGCAATTGGGAGGTCCTTGTGGGCTCTTCGCACGTCCTGTCGCCCGAGATCTTTCTCAGCGACTTGGGCAGTCTCTCCAAGGAGGACTAAACTACTTATTGGATCATTGTCTTGTTAACGATTTTGTCGTCATTTATCGTGTTTAAAAATAGTTTGTTATTCCTTACCAAAAGGTTCAAAATGATTCCTTAAGAAATTATTATACTAATATTGCAATATATAAACAATACATAAATTATATACGCATTACATAATATATATATTAAAATTATATAGTATTTTATTCTTAGCCGAATATAAATAAATATTAACGTCAATAATACGCGTAGTATTATTTCAATTAAGCCCCTATACTGGCTCTTATACTGTAGTATGAAAAATATATAGAAAACACGGGACACGGATTTCACAGCACCATCAAATATTCACCTCGGATAAATAAACAAAAAATTAAATGTATTTCCGAACTTAGTCAAATTGAAAAAAGTTATGGATGAGCCTGTGTACTAATGCATATTCGGCAAAATGACATCAGAAAATATTTAAATGTTAACACTAAAGATAAAATATTGAACCAAACTTTCCAAAAATTATGATATTTCGAAATTGGTTCAATGATTGTATGTATTTGATATAATTCGAACTATATTAAAGTGCAAGTTCAAATTTTTCGCACCCGATGCATCTAAATGTATTGTAATTTCTTCAATACCCAATAAAGCTTACAAAAAAAATTAAACAAATGGTTTCTAAGTTTTAATTTAATAACTTATTTGAGAATAACTTTTTTTTTAAACAAAATTTTGAAAATTTAAACCAACAAATTTTTAGTCTGAAATTTGTGATGCAGTTCAAAAATGTTTTTACACAGTTTAAAAAAAAATAAATATGGTTTGAAATTGAATATTTATTACCTATTTGAGTTTAAGGTTTTTTTCTAAAACACTTTCAAAAATACCAACTTACAAAAAAAAAAGTTTTTAAATTATTTTTTAATGGTTTTTTTCATATTTTAGAAAAATATTGCAAACTGTTCTGAAAAAAATAAAATAAAATGGGGTTTTTAAAAATTACTTTTTAAAAAATCCACGAAATCGATGGTAGGTTTGAAAAATACTAAACAAAAATACCAAACATTCGTATTTTGGCGCCCAGGCAACGGTCATACTGCAGCCCCACGCCAAACAATTTGTTGCCTTGCTAAATTTATAAAATTGCACACACAAAATGCCGGAAGAGATTATCGCAGACGATAAGAAGAGTCACTTGCCTTGGATTGAGAAGTACCGACCGGTGAAGTTCAAGGAGATTGTGGGCAATGAGGACACGGTAGCCAGACTTTCCGTCTTTGCCACCCAGGGAAATGCACCCAATATCATAATAGCTGTGAGTTTTTACAGATTAAAATATAGAAAAGGTTACTTATTGTGATTTATAGGGTCCCCCTGGCGTGGGCAAGACCACCACCATTCAGTGCCTGGCGCGGATCCTCCTGGGAGACAGCTACAAGGAAGCAGTCCTCGAGCTAAACGCCTCCAATGAGCGCGGAATCGATGTGGTGCGCAACAAGATCAAGATGTTTGCCCAGCAAAAGGTGACACTGCCGCGGGGCAGGCACAAGATCGTGATCCTCGACGAGGCGGACAGCATGACGGAGGGCGCCCAGCAGGCCCTGCGCCGCACCATGGAGATCTACAGCAGCACCACGCGATTCGCCTTGGCCTGCAACACCAGCGAGAAGATCATCGAACCGATTCAATCGCGCTGCGCCATGCTGCGATTCACCAAATTGTCGGATTCGCAGGTTCTGGCCAAGCTCATCGAGGTGGCCAAGTGGGAGAAGCTCAACTACACGGAGGATGGCCTAGAGGCCATTGTTTTCACTGCCCAGGGAGATATGCGACAGGGCCTGAACAATCTGCAGTCCACCGCCCAGGGATTCGGCGATATTAATGCGGAGAACGTGTTTAAGGTCTGCGATGAGCCGCATCCCAAGCTCCTGGAGGAGATGATCCATCACTGTGCCGCCAATGATATACACAAGGCCTACAAGATCCTCGCGAAGCTGTGGAAGCTAGGCTATTCGCCGGAGGACATCATTGGGAACATTTTCCGCGTCTGCAAGCGCATCAACATCGATGAGCACCTGAAGTTGGACTTTATCCGGGAGATAGGCATCACCCACATGAAGATCGTGGACGGAATCAACTCTTTGCTGCAGCTCACCGCCCTGCTGGCCAAACTGTGCATAGCGGCCGAGAAGCATTAGCTGTTATGAAAAACTATTTGTTATAGGGTCCTAAGTTTACGGTCAAGTTGCTGAATAAATCTCGAGAATGAATGTTTGGTAAGGATTTTTTTTATTTCAAATTTTTAAATTCTTAGTACATTTTATATGCTAGATATATTTGATAAAACTTAATTTTAACTTTTTTTAAAAATGTACCTAACTTGAAAGTTTTACCTAGTATTTAAAATACTTGACAACCCTGGCTGAGTATTCAAAATATACCGCTACTAAAACAAATTGGTACCACAAGATAAATCGATGGAGTATACTTAATAACTGTTAATAAAATTAATCAGACATAAATAACAACCGTTTAATTAACATAAATAATAAAAAATAGATATGTCTAATTCAACCGCATTTAGTATTTTCTCCAAATCAATAGGTATTTTTTCACCCACCACATTGCCAGGTATTTTAAAAACATCGATGCTATCGAAAGTCTCCCATCTCTAGTTTGCAGCGCTAAAAAAAAGAGCGAAGTGAATATGGCGAGTCTTGGGGTCCAACACGAAAATATTTCGACTAATCCAGAAGGTACGCATTGAAAACAGCCTTCGAGGAGTGCGAGATCGAAGGACGCAGCCCCCCGCGTGGTTGGCGATCCAAAAGCGGCCAGGACCTACGCGATTTCGGGGCGTTTTCGAGGGCCAAAAGGTGCTGGTCGACTGCGCAGCAAAACGGCACTCACACCACGGGCCAAAAAGCAAAAACGGAGTGAAAAAAGAGAAAAAAAAACGAAAACCAAGAAGCCAGAAGTGTCTCCCCCTCGAAATGGGTGGATATTTCGAGTTCCCCCGATTTCGATCCGGAGTTTTGAGTTTATAAATAAGTTCTCCAGTCCGCAGGCGAGAAGGAGAAAGAGATTTTCCGTATTTTCCTCTATTCTCTCTCGCTTCGTCATCGCAGCTGCTGCTTCTGCTGCTGCGCTGCCTTTGTGTTTGTGTGTGTTTTTGTGTTCCCTCCCTCCTCCGCTCTTTCGCCTTCTTTTTCCACCTTTCCTTTTTGGCAAAAACGGAACGGCAAGGCAATTGATTTTCCCCGCGATGTAAAACTCCCGGAAAATCCACCGCACACACTCATCCGACCAATTTTTCCGTACTTCTTTTTGCAGTGGAAAACACACCATCCAAGCGAGCCGAAAGTCGCGAGGGCAGCGCCGAGCGAAAAGGTAAGTTTTTCTAAAGGGGATTATCTCTCTACGGGGGTTACATAAAGTGGGGGCACCTCTATATCTTTTTGCACCATATGAAATCTCCTTAAAAAATCACAAAAAATTCACCATTCAGCCCACGCACTCGCACCTGCCAAGATCACGGGCTGCAGCGCCGGCGCAACCTTGCATTGGTTCGCCCAGGTGGGCGGTCCAATCTCCGCCAGCGAAGACGACTCTCAAGGTAGTTGGCATTCCATTAGCCACGCCCCTTACCGTACCGCTCCGCCCACAAATAAAAACAACGAATGCTCTAAATGCTTGCCGCATGATCTCACTAACAAATAATAAGACCCATAGTCCACCTTATCGCGATTTTAACCCCCGGAATACCTCTGTCATTTGTCTATTACAAGTCTGGAGCTCACTGAGAACCACTGTTTTGCTCATAGCTAAATCTTCTTATCTATTCTTCTTCACTAAAGTGACACGATTCATAACCACAGTGACATCTTAACTATCCACTTTGATTTTAAATATATTTTGCTAAGCTTGTTTGTTTTTATTAACTACAAACTAATATCAAAGTATTGTAAATTTTATAATGTTTATAAAAAGTGTATATCGTAGAAAAAATTAATACATTTTCATCTCAAAAGTGATAGAATGCTAAGGGAGCATATCTTCCAGTTTGTCTCTCTCGATTTAAGATGTTAAATGCCAATATGAACTTGTGTTTATTATTATAAAAATATTTTATTTTTTTTTAACAAGCATGAATAAGTATTTTGGAATTCTTAATTTATATGACAAACAATATATGAAGAGTTTTTAAACGAGAGATATGGGATACATCAGCTTTTACCAGCTTATAGAATTCATTAAAAATCAAAGTCACGCTTTATTGGCTTTTAGTTATAGTTCTTGTTTCTCCAAACAAAATCAAAGCTCAGATAAAAATGGCTATGCATTAATTAGCAAACATTTCTTCTAAGCTTTTGCCATTTGCTATCTTTGAATCATAAAGTTCTTATAAGATTTATAGGAAATAATACATTGTTCATTTGGATTTTCCTCAAATAAGAAAGAAAATGCAAAAGCGAGTACAAGAAAGTAAATACAAAATTGATTTTCCCAAGTGAAAAATCAATTGCAAAATTCTTGGCCTTCCAAAACGCATTGGTGGTTAAAATCCACAAAAATTTGCTTGCGACCTTGGCCGATGATAATATTTTATTTGTCTGGATCTTTTTTTTTTTGCACCTGTAACGAGCGACAAGATTGACTTGCAGTTGTTCCTTTGTCGTCTCACTTACGTCATGGAATTCCAAAAATATCTTAACCGATAAGGCGATAAGAACCGGTTCCCAGTTCGATTATGCAGACTTTGGCAGAAAAAGCAGCCGCATGTTAACAATATCATTATTATTATTATTGTTTATTTCTCGCATTTTTCCGCCTCAATGTCATTTCAATAGAACACAAAATGTGCGCTTGCATTAGCTATTTGCTTTTTGCTTTTTCTATCGCCCATTTTGCACATAGGCAAATTTTCCGAGCGTGTATTTGTGCTGCTAGTTTGTCAATTGACCCACAAAAAAAGCGAGTGTACATCGTCGATGACGTCAGCGTGCTCGGGGGCCCATGTAAATAACTCTCGCCGGCAAAAGTCGAAAAATGTCTGGTAGCCATATACATTATATTAAGCAGAAATTTATAGATTTTTCTGATTCGGCCACAGGTAGCAAGTTTCCCACTTTTATTTGCCTGCGAACCGTAACTTGTTTATCCAAAAATTCGATTTATTCCCTTATACGTACAAGAATCTCCACTAATTTGTTACGCTTTTTAGCGTCCAAAGACCGCGAGGAGAAACTGAAATATGCCCGCGATCGACAAAATGAGGAGCGGCACCGGAAGATCGAGGAGCTGCGCGCCCAGGCGGAGGCTGCCCAGCGGTATCGCGAACAAAAGGAGGAGGAGCGCCGGCGACGCATCGAGGAGATCCGCACCCGGGACACAGAGAAGCGCCACCAGGTGGAGGAGCGCAAAAAGGCAATTTACGAGGCCGAAAAGGAACGTCGCGAGTACATTCTCAAAAAGAATCAGGTAAGTAGTTGAACCATATACCTTTAAAATTTAATTCCTATCTAATAATGCATATATTATCCCTCCAAAGGAACGCGAATCCCGGATAGAAGTTAAAAAGCGGGACAGAAACTCCATCGGCTTCGCTTTCGGCTCCTCGACTCCCCGCCTGCTGGATGTGCCCGCGGATTATGGCCTGGTATCGCCCAGTGCCTTTTGGGGTCAGCGGAGGTGAGATCCGAATGAAAGATATCTTGGCACAGAGCACAAAAAACTAGCACAAAACACACATATTTGCTTTTAGCCAGTATTTTGGCCGATTTTATCTGGCGCTTTGTGTTGCACATGACTAATTATCGCCGGTCTTTTGATTGACATGCTAAATTAGAGACTAGACTTTTTATTATTTAATTTTTATTATCAGTGTTTGAAGTTTTTACTGCAAAATTGTTTACCAAATTAATGCAATTGCTTTGTAGTTTCAATTTAATAGATGTCTCATATAATATTATATTTAATATTGATCGAATGGCTATTCCTTCTTATCTATTTTCACATTTTAACAATTGTGAATTAACACTAAAAACATTTTATTGAAAGTTATAATGGGTTTCTTATCAAATACCTATGATAATAAAATTTCACCATGATTAAGCTGTATTTCTAGTGTATGAAGGTAGATTTTAAACCTTAAAAATTTAAAATTATGAGATTTATAAGAGAAATACGACTTTGTGCTTGTTTTGATAAATATTATTTATTAAATATACCTTGAATACCTACTAATATTATTTCTATTCCCTCCAGATCCACATCTATATCGAACGTAGCGGGCGCCTCACTCACACGTCGAAGTTCAGAGCGTGAACTTGCCGACAGTGGTGCTAAGAAGCGTGCCTCCTCGTCGACGGACCGACAAGATGGTGAGTCCCGATGCCACCGGCGGCACTTCAGTCACCCCCGAAAAACCGAAACAGAAATACACACACACTCTTGAACACTCCACACACTCCAATCGCTGAGACACCAGACACACATAATGAGATTAAATTTTACTTTGCAGTTATATCGTTATCGTTACCCTAGACACACTCGTAACTCTTGTAATTGACAAGTCCCAGTTATTGTTTAGAGATTTTGTATAACCTCCTTCCTCTACCATGTGTTATCACCCAGATGGTGTACATGTGAATTACTTTTATTATATGTATATAGAAGATATATACAAACCCCTAGCACCCACAGACTTCTCACACGGCACGATCACATTTGTTTCCTATTTCTTGATTTTTTTTCGTTTTAAATTTATTTTCCAATATGATTTGCACCCAAAAGCAAATACAGCAATCACACCTCTGTAACGTTCACTTCTCTCTCTCTGAAAAAAAATCGAAACAAATCGAAAAAACCACCGACTTCACACACAGATCACCGACGCAAGTCTTCCTCCATGTACGAGGTGTTCAATTGGGGCTATTCCAATGACGAGCCGCCCAAGCGGTTCTCGCTCTCCATCGCCGGCAGCGAGATAAATATCGATGGGCCGGCCAATCCCAATCCGCCGCCCACTTCCAAACAAACAGCCAACGCGCACAGACCTACAAATCTCACAAGAACAACAGCCACAGCAACAACAAGCACTACAACTGCAGGCCACAACAACAACAACTTTAACAACCATAACTCGTATCGTAAGGGTGAGGGTTCTTCTACTCTTCTCAGCTCCTCCTTCTCGTTCTTAACCCCCTTTTGTCGTTCTGACCCCGATTTTTCGTTTTGTTTTTGCCGTAACCCCCCCTAAAACCAAACCTAACCCCGTAATC